TGTATGTAAAATCAAAATAAGGTTTTATTTTGAATTTGATTCTGTAAATATTTCTCTCTGGAAGGGTCGTAGTGGATGGTGTCATACTGTTTCTAAGGTGGCAATAGAACATTCCAAGAGTCTAGAGTCTAGAGTGACATCATCGGGTTTCTATTAGTTATAAAATACATATTATTATTGTCTACAGGTATTGACTTCGGGAACATCGATGACGTAAACGCTATAAAAAATATCACTAACATTTACATTTGTTATTGTAACTTCGTAAGAGAACTAAATGCTTGTGAGAGTATTCTTCTCATGACACACGTTTACAAATCAGCAATGCACCTTATTGCTACTCTTCTTATTAATGGTCTCTTCTATTTTGTCTTTCTTTGGTAAGTACAATGGCACGCACACATATATCATCTGAATACTAAAGAAAAATATACGATTTTACGATAAGACTATGTATTTTACGTTGCTTTGAATGGATAGGTTGCTAATCATTCTTCATAGATTAACTATTTTAAACACCAATGTGTTTAAAATAGTTAATATTGCTTTAAGCGGGCGATTTTGGAAGGGTTTGAATGAGAGGGCAAAAAAATAATTAGTTTGTCGGCAATGTGAGTATTATCACTGAAACTGAAACAATGTGTATAGGGAGAAAACAAGACATCAGCCTTGCGTATTCGTCTGATTTAAAACCGATTTTATGTCTACTTTTATTTATAGAAAAATATGTTTTATTTTTCAGACACCGTGAGTTCGCAGTTTAGCGATATTTCTTACTGTAGCTTCATGACTATATTTTACGGCATGTTACTGTTCCTACTTGTTGAACCATCTTACAGAGCGCAAACTGAGGTCTCATCTTTTTTATTATAATAATATAATAATTTTAAGTAGTAAAACCTTTAACTTATTAATTTTACAATTTTTAAGTACGACCTCACCTTTTAGGATCCTTGGTCACGGCGGGACCAAAAAAAACATCCTTTACCCTTTATTCATGATAGACGATGACTGATATCTCATCAGTCATTCTCTATTCATCATCGACTGAAACGTGCCACATTAACGATATGTGTTTTTTTGTTTTTGGCAAAGCTTAGGAGAATTCATCTTAAATAATAAACATCCACCATATATATGTGAAGTTTAGGGTAAATAATTTAAATTTGTAACAGATTAAACAAACCTATCTCCTCGTTGGCAAAGAATTAAACCAAGCATTGGATCGTAACGATATAATAGAACTGGCGGAACTACGAGCCTTGTTAAAACAGCTTCATCTCAATCAACCATTTTACAGTGGATTTGGATTGTGCATGTTGGAGAGACCACTCTTAATGACTGTAAGGCATATTATTTTATTTGTTTATTTAGATAGGTTCACCAACGTTATACTACGATCTTACACGCCACATATATTACCGATTCTTTAAAAAAATGTCTGAAAACAATTAAAGGTAAACCACTTGTCAACAAAGGCGTACACAATGCATCATTATATACAACACAGGGCAAACTACGACAGGCTACAGACTTTATTACAAACTAGCTGTGTCAGCGATTTCGTCCGCGTAGAATAGTTATTTTGGCCATCCAAATTAGTTTATGCAAACCTCTTCATCTTTATAAATTTAAGCTGCTCACGACATGGGTCGGGTTCCGTCGTTCGGGCCCCGTCGTTCTTACAAGTTAATCTTTGAAGATTGACATATAGAGTCGCGGATATTTTTTTTATTATTTAAAGAAGAATAATTCTTTGATACGAATCGCAGCATACGTATCTGAAAACCACAGAGATAAAAAATCTTCGCTTCTATTTGTTACAGGTCGATGTTTTATAGCCTATAGCATCTCTCGATAAATGTTCTAACCGACACAAAAATAATTTTTCAATACGAACCCGGAGTTCGGGTTACCGGGTTCGGGCGCGTTCAAACAAACAAACTCTCCAGCTTTATATATTAGTATAGATAATAGATAAAGTAAAAATACTTGTTTTCAGGTCGTCAGTGCAGTTGCGACGTCCTTAGTGTTGATGTTCCAATAAACAAAATTTTCTCTCATCACAAGTGAAAAAATATGTTAAATATTGTGAATTTTGCATCATTTTCAATATGGCTTTATCTGATAGCTTTTATTACAGCTTTGCTTCCTGCTATTTCTGTATTTAAAGCAGTAAATAAAGTGTGTCTGTATCTCTTTTATTTGTCGCCAAAGTAAACAATTTCTTTTTCCGATTCACTCATATTAACCTCCCTATTCCAGACTATGGTGATATCTGATTCACTGATTTAACTGAAGTCCAACTTGACAAACCAGAGCGGGTTTAGAATACGTGTATCCGTTTCATTTTTGGCCTTCGCAATTTCTGAATTTCGTCGAAAGCTTAACTGGCTCCCTCTATCTACTCCATCGCTTAAACCATGTCCTTTTTGATACCAAAACTTTCTCTTATTTAAAAGTAATATTCATCCTTTTGAGGTCCCACCATTTAAATCTTCGTTCTATCGATAATCTCCTTTTTTTTTTTTGTTCCAAAAACATTAAAGCTCTCTCTTCAATAATTCCGTCACAGTTAAAACTATCCGTCTTTGGAACTCTCTTCTCACTAATATCAAAAAAGTTCAACTACTCCGTTCTTTTAAGTAATTCAATTTTCAATATTTAAGTTAGTTTCTCTCCTCCTATTCATTTATTATTACTTACACTTATCCACTAAACAAGTTATTTTCTATTTCTTTTCTCCTGTACTTCAGGTTGCCTGGAAGAGATCGCTACTTAGTCATAAGACCGCCTTTTATTTATTAGTAAGTACGTAAAACTATTCCTCATTAATATATATTTTCTGTGATGTGTTTTATAAATAATAAAGCAATAAATAAATAAAATATTTTTAATGTCCTAATAACAAATCGACATGAAAATTTCTACCCACATAAGCACAAACGAAAAGGTTTCATTTTTATTGTCTAAGTTGTTATTAGGAAATTGAAGTGTAAATTAAACGAAACAATATTTATTATAACATCACAAATTCTTGGTATAATAGGATTGTAATTTTGCTATGTACGTAAGATATGTTCTAACATTGTATGAACATATACAGTATTATAATACACAAATAGATACGACTTAAAAAGGTTCTCCATGCTTGTAGTCTACAATAAATGTATGATCATTATATAAGTGCTTTCAAGAAAGTAAACATAAATTCATTTACCTAAGATCAAAGGTATAATAATAACAAACAAATAAGCAAAATTAAAAAAAAACACTTAATTGGTAATACGATTACATATGATAAAACATATCATCTTAAGTGATAAAATTACATTGCCCGAGAGTTGAAGAAAGTTGACGATGTCGTTTCGGACACGGAAGCTCATTTAACTAGTCATATAACATAATTTCATAGTTGAATTTTTTTAAATACATTGAGCTGTTTATGCTTTTTGGAATATATATATTTTTGATATATATAATATTTTGTAGACCTCAATAGTAGTACATTGAGACTACATTAGGATTGTAAATAATAAAACTATAGTAATTATTTTGTAAAAAAAGGAAATTTGTAAAAAGGAAATTTTTATTTGGATTTTTTTCTTATAAAACATATAATATATGTTAAGTACAAATATTTTTGCGTACTATGTTTTAAAATAATACGTAATACTGGGGGTAATTATGTACTAATGGATGCGTCATATCATGTATCCATCCTTTTCGTGGTTTATTCATAATAATAAAGACGGTATGAGTATTAAATCTATGTTTTTTTTATTTTTGTTTTTTATCTAATTGATCTAAATGACTCAAAGATAAGCTAAAACTAAAAGGATTCTAATAAAGTGTTGTTGTAACCCTAATTGTTGAATAATTCAACCCGATATTTCTAGATCATTAGTACTGCGGCGACAAAACAAAACGCTGCAGGGTAAATATATCTTTAAATTAACGTTACATACCTCAATAACGACACGTTACTCGAACTATTCACTGGACCTAGCCCAACGCTAAAACTCGCGGCTACTTCAAGTGATATTTACGACACCGCGGTTCTCAACAAACAAATGCAATTATCGCGTCGTCATCATGTACTAGTTACAGTTAGTAGTTACATAAGTGTAATGTTTTAAAATCTATTTTAGATTGTAAAAGATCGAAGAAACGAACTGGCCACTGCGATCCGGGCCCCGCAGTGTTTTTCACAGTATAATTAAAATAGTAGGTAAGAGCTTTGTAATCCACGTCTCACTTCGCACTATTTGATAGCGATATAATAATTGTCACAGGAATAAAGAAATAAATATTTTCTGTCTCTCATATTAAAACAACGGGCTATTTTGTAATATGCCATAATTACAAATACAAATATTCTTTATTGTCACAAAACAAAAGAACAATAAAAAATATATAAAAATTAATGGAAATTAAGGACAAACGGCGACTTTATAGCTAAATAGCTATCTCTTCCAAGCAACCGTGGTAGAAATGAAAATTCAGTAATAAAAAAGGAATGCGTGACAGCAAAAAGACTTAGCCTACTTACTAAAACTTATAATAAACAATAATACAAAATGAGCTTAACTAAGTTACTTAATTAGGCATAAATAGTAGGACTTGACAAGATTCTTGAAGGAAGCGAGATTCTGGGCTTTTATTATATTAGAAGGTAAATTGTTCCAAAGTTTTATAGCTCTCGCATGAAAGGATGATATTTATTTGCCACAATAAATATCCTAGTTTAATAATTAGGCATATTATTCGAGATACTACTAAAAATAACGGAGACTTAAAGTTCCTAATATACCGTTTAAGCAACAGCACGCCACATAACACGTATCGTGAGTTCGAGGTTTGGCTTTAAGTAATCCTTTTTTATTATAGGCTAATGCTGTGATTTGAAAATGATGAACAGTTACTAGTATGTACTTGTATAATGATTAAATCCTCTTCTCTGGTGGGTTTTACAGTTACTTAGTCTCATTCATTCAAAGATGACTCTCGGCTTAGAAAGTGCTTTTAAAATAGTCTTCGGCGTGTCGCGGGTTCTTGGTGTTGCACCCATCAGGTTTTCGGATATGCCCCGTGTTTCCAAAATATTGGTTATATATGGCGGCATATTGCTTTTGCTTACAAGTGAGTACAGCAAGATCTTCTAAGCAATGATGACTCCGTGTGAATCTCTATCAATAATTCGCATTTAACCGTTCAATGCGTTTTATTAAATTTTTACCATCGCTTGGTGAAAATCAAATAAAACACAACTACAGACATACTTACTTAGAAACTTAATCTAACGGTGAAGTTGCTAAAATTAATGATTTTTTGACATCGGAAAATAAAAGATTAGAATAGACAGAAACTTGACATGAGGGAAACATAGACTAATGAAAAAAAAAACTCGTTAGTATTTTATCATCGCCCTTCATTTGTTTAAACTAATTCATATTGATGTTATTGCAGCATATACATGTTCATAAACCTTTTTAAATTTCTAGGCTACGTATATGGAGGTGAGGGTGCATTTTTAGTAGCAGAGTGGATTAAAAAAAGAGGAGACGTTAACTTCACAGTGAAGGGCAGTTTAATGCGCCTGTTGGAAGCGTCCGTCGATTATATCATTTATGTTTATGCGATCGTGAAAAGTGTACCACGAACGAAGTTTTTATTGAAAATTGTAAATGATCTTAAAAAGGTAACAATTCTGACTTCCATATTCATAGATAAAAATTTAAACAAGCTTAATGGGAAATTTTATGAAATCATGTCAAAATCGTGTAAAAATTATATAAAAAAATTTAAAAGCATCATTCTTGCGTTTTATGTTCTATCTACACGAGGATCTTCTGATAATTAGTGTTGAAGTAATTATTTTAGCCTTTTGAACAATCAAGGAAAAGCAAGGACATGCCAAAAGAAAGAAACACTATTTATTTTTGTCTAATAGTGATAACTTTTATTGGCTTCATTTCAAGGACAGTCAAACATATAGTAGACGACTACAACCCCGACAAAGACATAATCTGTAAGGAGGTTTTTTACTTAATTATTTAATGTTTTGAACTTTTTATGGATGGAACTTATGTTCGTGTTGCATTTTTAGGGAATGCTCAGATACTAATCGCCATGTTCATTATTCGTACTACAAGCGATGTAATATTACTGCAGTTTGTTGTCGTGGCCCTCTTCGTTCATACTATGCTGCAGGAGTTCAATAGGAAATTGAAAAATTTATTCAGTACAAGTACCGTTTTTCTCTCAAATACAAAAAAATAGAATTTGATTATTGCGACACCCGTTCTGACAAATTCGACTGTTCACGCTTTATAATGGTGTAGTTCCTTTGGTATATTACTGCAAATAATACAGTCCTTTATATTTTTACATAATTTAAGTAATATTATCATATTTATTCAATTTTTATAAGTCTTTAAAAAAATGGATTAAAAATGACTATAGAAGAACTTTTTATTGTATATATAAGATAGTCAGTAAAGAGGGATATGTTTTATATAATATGTAAAAGCAAAGGGTATGTTAAAAAGATTTGTATGTCGTCAAATGGTCTAGTCGAAGGCGGGACTTGCATGAATGTAGGTACTACACAATCTGCAGCAGCACCATGTCATTGGAGTGAATTAATATAATGGTATCCATAAGCTTCGTTACATATATTAGCTTTGTAGTAAGTTGAAGAAAGAAGTTCTCTTCTTTATACGATTTTCTGAACTACTACTACAGTACTATTACGGAGTACAACACTGAGACTTTTAAGTTATATTCTCAATACGAATGTTGTTTGTTAGTTTGACGTCATGGGAACACCTAAATGTAGTTTTTGGTATTTTTTACCAATTCAGCGAGTAATTATTATTTAGCACACCATAGAGTTTACGTTTCAATTGTATATCATTAAATTTCACAATATTTACTAAATTAAATTTTTTATATATTTTGGTCATCTATACACAAAAAAAAATTAAATCAAACATTATGTATATTATAAAACAGAGGTCTTAGGTGTATCCTTGAGGTGCGCCAGACGTAACATTAACGAAGTCTGATTTAAAGCCAAATGTTGGTAGTAATGAATTGGCCCTGTCCATTAGATTGCCTCTGATATAGCTTCTGAAAAGGTATTCAGTGATCCACTGTGTCAAATACTTTTTCTAATTCAATAATAATTACTTATGCTCTATCTTTTTTATTTTATCATTCATGTCGCTTTAATCATTCAAACAGCTAAATATTATAAAGAGGCTCTCACTGTGTTTAGCTTCTGAGTAGAGATTTTTAACCATTTTCAGAAAGTACATCGGATAACAGATTGTCAATCTTATATAAATGTTCGACGAAAAGGATTAGAGTACCTGTCAAGGACATTAGTTCAACCATTGACTCTTTAGGTACTACACTTACTAACACCTTTGGTAAGAAATTTTTAATATCAACACTTAAAAGATTTCTAATACCTAGAGGTATATGCATTATTGTAACAAAAATATCTAAAATAATCATGTAGAACAGTCCTCCTCTGGTCAGCTTCTGTAAAGCATTCAAAATGTAGGGTTACAATTGAAAATAGGTTAATTAAAATATTTCACATTTTAAACCGATGTTACCACACCAAATGTTGAAAAGACATACAATTTTGTTGCTATTTGTTATAATATATATATATTACTATCTACAGGTATTGAATTCGGGGACACCAATGATGTGGATGCTATCAAAAGAATCACACATATTTACATTTCTTATTGCAATTTCGTACGAGAACTAAATGCTTGTGAAAGTGTTCTTATCATGGCACACGTGTACAAATCAGCAATGCACCTTATTGGAAGCCTTATCTTACTGGCCTTCTCTATTTTATCTTACTTTGGTAAGTACAAGTGAAATATTATATTATAATAAAAAAACGAATTTATTTGGGATAGGGCTTACGTGCTTAAGAATGGTTAAATTGCTAAACCATTATCATATATTAACAATTTTACACTCATTGCCTTAATCCCGTAAAATGTGGATGTGAAGAAAACAAGATGTGAGCCTAGCAGTAGCCAGTGTTGGTCTAAGCTAATATCGGTTGTGTCTAGTTTATTTTTTTCAGAGTACAGCTCTTCTCAGCTTTGGATCAACCGCGCTCTTTACTTTAGCTCCATGAGTATATTTTACAGTATGTTGTTGTTCCTACTTGTAGAACCGTCATATCAAGCGAACATTGAGGTATAAGGTTTTTTTTAAATAAAGTAACTTTAACAGGTTAAAACACGAACATAATTATTTTCGTAATGCACAACGTTAACTTTTTAGCAACCATGTTTACTAAAAGGCGGGACTAAAAACGAGTGAAACGCCAGTGCCATCTGTTTTTCCTTTATATAGGATTTGACTTGACATAAAAGCAATCTTTATGTCTGCACATAAAGATTGCTTTTATGTCAAGAATTTTAGGATAAATAATTTTCAATTCGTAACAGATTAAACAAACCTATCTCCTCGTTGGCAAAGAATTAAACAAAGCATTGGAACGTAACGATGTGATAGAGATGTCGGAACTGCGGGCATTGTTAAAACAGCTTCGTCTCAATCGACCATTTTACAGTGGATTTGGATTGTGCATGTTGGAAAGACCTCTTCTGACGACTGTAAGATATATTTTTTCAATATAAACAAGATCAAAATATGGCCGTATATTGTGACAAAAAATATTCCTCATTTCTTCTTTCAGTTTATTGAATAGATTTTGTTGCGTACTGCATTTGTTGAAGTCCCTAACCTATGTACTTTTCTTTAGCTTTGTGACTATTAGAAAAGTTCCTAAAAAACATGTATCTTACTCCTATATAAGTCACTATAGAGTCACTGATAGAAAGGCTACAGACTTTATTATTAATACTAAAGTAAGGATATTATAATAGTACAGATACTAACGTAAAAGAACTTGTTTTCAGGTCGTCAGTGCAGTTGCGACGTCCTTAGTGTTGATGTTCCAGTAAACAAAATTTCCTCTTACACAGTGAATATTTTAAATATTGTGAATTTTGCATCAATTTCAATATAGCTATATCTGATAGCTTTCAGTGTCGCTTTTCTTCGTGTTGTGTGTATTTAAACAATAAATAAAGTATCTCAGTAATTCTTTAATTTTTCTTGAACAATTCCCTTTTCCCATTGACTCATATTTATAATGTAACCTGGAGTTTATAAATAAAGTTAGGCACTAAGTTTAAGTAAATGGATAATATGATCTCTTTGTACCGTTGTAAATATTGCAAACGAAGAGAAGGCTTCATTTTTATTGTCAATAAATTGTAATATAAATTAGGCGAAACAATATTTATTATAACATCACAAACTCATAGTGTAATGGGATTTTAATTTCGCTATGTACATAAGATATATTGTAACATTGTATAAACGTATACATATCTAGACTTAAAAGCTACTCTCCATGCTTGGAGTCTACAATTAATGCATGATCATTATAATATTAATAAAAGGTTCGATATAAAACAAAAATGTATTTTATGTTGTCTTTGTGCAAACAAAGTAACGTAAATTTCCCCATCATTGCTTTCAACAAAGTAAACATAAAATCATTTACTGAAGATGGAAGATACAAAAATTATACTTATGAATGCAATAACATGTGATAGATATATTAAAGTTATGAACGTTAAACTCTGTGATTTCATGTTCAATTGTGAGATTACATTGCCCGAGAGGTGCATGAGGGTTAAAGAAATTGACGACGTCGTTACAAGACACGATAGCTCAATTAACTATGAATATAAAACGAAAACATAGTTGAATCATTCAGAAATTGAGCCATTTTGCGTCGATAGCGCATCCTGTTTGATGTAATATGTATGTTTATTTCACATTAATAGCCATATAAAGAATATATTTTTTCAGACACCAAGTCATTGAGTTCGCAGCTTATTTACAGTATGTATTTTATACTGTAGCTTCATGACAATATTTTACAGCATGTTACTCTTCTACTTATTGAACCGTCTTACACAGCGCAAACAGAGGTCTTATCTTACTTATTCTTACATACAATAATTTTAATTTAATTAGTTTTAAAATTTTTAAGTACGACCTAACCTTTTTACCAGCCACTTTTTTGTCACGTCGTAACCAAGAAAACACAATTTTCACTCTTTACTCATCAGTGTCTACCTCGAATAGATTTTGTTGCGTGCTGCTTTCGTCGAATGAATTCATTATATAAATTTTATTGCTATTTTTTAGCTTTGTAACTTACTTTTAAGCAGTTTCGCTAAATAAACAAAAAATACATCTTCGCAAATTCCACCGAAAATCGTTGATTATTATAAAATATTAATTGGAAATAGGAGGAGACTCGTGTGAAAATACTTGTTTTCAGGTCGTCAGTGCAGTTGCAACATCCTTAGTGTTGGTGTTACAGTAAACATAATTTCCTCTCAATAGTGAATTTTGCATGTTTAAGTTTAGTGCAGCGTTATCTGATAGCTTTTATTGCAGCTTTGCTTGTTGTTATATATGTGTATTTGAAACATAAATAAATGATATCTATAAATCCTTTATTTGTCCCGACAGCTAAGTGAACAATTATTATTTATAACTAGCTGTGTCAGCGACTTCGTCCACATACAATAGTTACTCTGGGCAAAAAAAGTAGTTTTGCAAGCCACCTCTACATATCGCTACATCGTCCGCATCCCGACGTTCTTGCAAGGTAATTTAAAAAGATTGACATATACTGCCATGGACATTTTTTTTGGATTATTTAAAGAGGAATTATTGTTTTATATATATATTTGGGTATCTTTTAACTGTTTACTTCGTGTTTACAACGGAATCAGAAAATCTTCATCTTCAATTTCACATTTCCCGCTGTTTCTTCGCTCCTATTAGTTACATCGCGATGTTTCATAACCTATACTTCTCGATAGATGCTCTAACCAACAATGATGTTGGTTTACAAAAGAAATTTTCAATTCAAACCAGTTTCCTGAGAATGATTCAGTGTTAAAAAAAAACAAACTTATCCGCAGGAAAGGTCGAATAAATGAAGTTAAAATTAAATAATCACATATTCTTTTTGGTGTGACATTGAAATTTTGCTATGTAAAATTTTAACATGTTCTTTATTAAAACTTGAAAAACCTTCTAATGCATTAAACTGATTTGTTTCAATGAATTAATTAGTGTTTTCAGTAAATCTATACAAATATATAAAGCTGAACAGTTTGATTTTAACTTAAACTGAATAACTTGCGAGAACGACGGGAACCAAACGGCACCGATGTCGTGGATAGCAGCTTAAATGTATAAAGATAAAGAGGTTTGCAAAACGAAATTTGGATGCCCAAGATACGTCTACGCGGACGAAGCCGCTGACGCAGCTAGTGTATGATGATTGCTAATGAATGGGTTCAACATTAAACGAGAATATATTGTACGTCGTAACAAGTAACGTGAAAGTGCCTTTATTTCGATTATACCGCAGTGCTTTCTAGAAACGAAATGTAAATCCATTTAGATGGAAGATATATTTGCTACAAAAAAGGTTGACTTAATGATGAAAGCAATACTCTGAATTCATTTTATCGGTGGTACAGTTACTAAGTAATTTGTTCAAAGTTTCAACGTTTTTATCTTTACGTAGTTCTATACAGTTGCAATTGAGTAATTCTCATGATATATCTGATCTTTCATAACCATAATACAATTCAAGTCTTTTCCAGAGACCTTGAAGAAAAATGAAATCCCCTCTGGAACGTTCTTTTAACGCGATCCTTTGCGTGACGCGAATATTTGGTGCATGTCCCGTGCGTTGGCAGGCAGACCGACCACGTTTTTCTCTTGGCTTCGCTATATACGGAGGAATAGTGTTATTGTTCATTGGTACCTATGCTAATTACTATATCACTCGTAGAAATGAAGGCTCATGCATTCTATATGATTATAGTTACAATAGAATGCACCATGTTTATCGTTCATGTTCTCTACATAAGTAAAAAGAGGAATAGGAAAATGGCTCAGTAATTTTGCAACCACATTTTTCCACCCACTCACTGCGTCTTGAACGAATACAGAAAATATTTATGTTACATCTAGTGTATTCCTCTGGTCTTTCAAAATAGAAGTTAAGATGCTATATTCTTATCAATATTCAGAATGAAATTGATTCTCCTCAGTTATTACAAAAAACGTAGTTAAATTAATTTGCACTAGTGTTTTTATATAATACTAGCTGTGCCCGCGACTTCGTTCGCGTGGAATAGTGACTTGGGGTAAAAATTTTAATTATTTAGGCTGTTTATTTTATTAATTTATGTAATTGTGCATTTATCACAGCCAATCTATGTTGTAAGTGCTACTTTGCCGCAACACTCTCACCTCACATCACTCTTACTCTAACTCCCATTCTCACTCTCATTCCCACTCCCACTCTCCTATTCCCAAAAAGCCAAAGAAGAAAGTTTCATTGTTGTTGCTTCAAAAACCACGAATTTCCATGCAAACTTTTACCCCCCCTTTTAACCCCCTTTTCGCAATAAAAAGTATCCTATCTCAGGGTCTAGACCTATGTGTACTTTCATTCAAATGTGTTCAGTAGTTTTGGCGTGAAAAAGTAACAGACAGACAGAGTTACTGTCGCATTTATAGTATTAGTAAGGATTGACACGTAAAATAAAATTCTGACTGGTAGGTAGCATCATAATTGAAATAATTATATCAGAAATAGCGCTTACTGAAACAAAGGAAGATGACTCCATGTATACAAATCAGACGATACCGTACCTTGTACAATTACTTAAAGATGTTCTTGTATATGTACTGATATTTCAACAAGGAGCTCGTCGCATAAAAAACCTAACTGAAATTCTACAGAAACTTAAAAAGGTATTTGTTATACGATATTTACTACGAAAAACATGCATTTTGCACCATTTGTTCCTAATACAGACACAATTTATGCAAATTTGACATATCTTTAGGTACAAATAATAAGATCATCTGAGAAAGAAGATAAACGAATCATTGCGCATCTAGTGATACCGGCGGCTGTGTTTATTTTTATGTTCAGAATCCTGAAATTCATCAGGGACAGAAATCATTTTGGAGAAGACCTATTCCGTAAGATGATTTTGTATAGCTTTATGTTAGTTGAAAATATGAAGATTTGGATAGAAAATTATAATTACATATACATAGAACACGTTTTAGTGAATACTTTCGACACATATTTTTGTGGCCCCATAGGTTTTTCAGGACTAAGATCATGGCTGCTCAAAAAGCATGAAGTTCATTTGATGGTAGGTGGAAATACCCCAGCCATATACCATCTTACCGACATGCCCTGTCGAGATATTTTGCCTTTGGATAGTTTACACGATCTTAGTAGCCCAAACCCAAAAACAGGTGTCTTAAAACGACAGTGCAAAGTATCTATAAATAGACTTCATCTACTTCAGTGCTTCTATCAAGAACAAAAAAGTACGATAGATCTAAGAACTTATTAATTTAAGTTTTTTTTTATATAGGACAGGCCAAGCTGTTCCTAATGATTCTATTCATTCGTTGTACGATCGATCTTATCCTTCTTCAATTTGTTGTTGTGGCTTTATCCATCAACATGTTGCTGCTAGCCTTATATGAAGATCTTCGGCAACTGGCTAACAGTATGATTACATTACTATGTAAACTACGTTTTATTTCTCTAATATGGTGGAAGTTTACCATTTACCATCTCAGAGAAAATAATCCTTAGGTTAAAGGCAAAATTCCTTCTCCAGTACACAAACAATAAGGAGTATTGAAAATATGTACTAATTGAAATATGAAACAATTGAATGATTCTTCTGTAATTAAAATATTTTTTAGATTAATTAATAAATAATTATATTAATGTTAAATGTTAGAAGAAAACCGCAAATACAATAAATTTAATATCCATATTTGGCTTCTTTTACATCGTCAATAGTTAGGTATAATATTTGCGGTTAATGAACTGTTGTAAGTTTTGCTCGCACAGCAAAATCAGTATTGTTTTTCCAGAAATAACATTAAATATATATACAACAAACGTCAATCCGCATAGCTTGGGTAGACAGACATGTTCAACAATCATGGTTGAAGTGCAGAATATTACTTCGAACTTTAACAGTAATCATTCACAAATATGTGGTAAATATAGTTTGACTATCTACCCTTAACAAAACTAATTAATTATGTCTAAGAAATTTAAAATAAATATAGAATTTTACCTATTCCTCTCCTGTCCCACGAATTTTGTTCAAAATCCTCGAAAACGGCTGAAGTGATTTCAGTGAAATGTTGTAACATAACAATACAGTCGTTACGCCTGAGAAAACGGTTTCATCATTTTTGCCTCCTTCACTGCTGCACTTTTTTCTACCAAAATATTCTCTATTGTTTATTGTAAACAAGTGCAATTCAAATATTGAATCATTTTTTAATATGTACTCCTAAACTACCAACAATATTTCAGATATTCAGAAAATTCGCGAAATGGCCCGTACCTACGTGACGTATTGTGGTTTAGTACGTGAATTGAACGACTGTGACAACATTCTCCTGCTGGCTCAGCTGTTCAGGCTGACCATGCACTTGGCCGGCAACCTTGTTGCTTTTCTGCTGTTCCTCTCGTCGCATTTCAGTACGTATTTGAATGACACCATAACCTACAATAGAGTTTGTATTTCGACACAAGACAACAAAATTTAATTGTAGAAGATACTGATCTACTAAGAAGTGTCAATTGTCCATAACTTGAAGTTACTCTCCAGCACTCCCTTTGTAAATATTTTGGCTGCATAACCAAGAGTAAAAAGTCCAGGTTTCAAACTGGAAGTCCTTATAAATAAAGTAGAATTAGATTTACTGGTCTCATAACTCTTCCTTCATAGCCAACCTGGATCTGGACGCGCGGGTTTTCATGATATGCTACAACAGCTTTGGAATGATGTTCTATGGAATTTTAATGGTGTTAGTAGTCGAACCATCTTATAGAGCAGAAATTCAGGTTGACAATTATTTCTTTCTATAAAATAAACTTTATAAAATGGACCATTGGCTGTTTGTAATAATTAGTTGCGTGTGAAATAATTTATTGTTTTTAATTGTTTTACAGTTGATTACCACTAAATACAATTATCAATATGTATGTATGTGAATTTGCTAATTTTTCAGCTCAAGAAAATCAAACTTCTAATTGATAAGACAATATGTCACGTTTTAGAGAAAAAAGCATTCGAAGAATTCACTGAACTGCAAATTCTGTTGCGACAGCTGCATCTCAATAAGCCAGTTTACAAAGCGTGCTGTGTATTCACCCTAAAGAGACCGTTTGTTATTACTGTAAGTCTATTGATAACAAGTACTTTTTGAAAATTATTTTCTCATTTTATATTCTATATGCATAGTACTCTCAAATCTAAACTTTGATTTCTAGCTGTTCTAGAGACCTACAGACCATCCAGCCTACTTCACGATCAACTTACTTTATAAGAGAATTTGTTATGACAATTTCGCGAAAAACGTAAGTTTAGCTTTAAAATAATAATTGACGCTGATTATATTTCAGGTGTTTGGTGGTATTGCTACGTTCTTGGTACTAGTCTTTCAATCATCTCCCATTACATTGTTCTACTAAGAACTAATCCTGGATTATGAAAGCGAAATGCAAAAAACAAAAGGGATTTATTACGTTTATAAAATACTAGCTGTGTCAACGACTTCGTCCGTGAGCATTTGTTTGGGCATCCAAATTCGTTTCTGAAAACCCCCTCTTCATCTTTATAAACGTAAAGTTAGACATAACCTTCAACACATATCACTCTTATTACAAAACAAGGACTAACTCTCAAACCTGGTTTTAACCTGGTTTATTTGAAATCCTTATTATAAAACGAAGTTTAACGTATGTACTGGACTAACTATAGTACTCTCTTAGATTGATTTAGACCATGGTTTAAGAGTTAAACCAAGACTTAGCAGTTCTGGTTTAAGTATTTTTTTTGTAATAAGGTCGATAGTGTGGGGAACTAATTATTATATTATTTATGGTATTTTGAACCGTTTTTGCAGAAACCCATAATGAGGAATAATTTTTCCATGTATTTTTTAATTCTTGCTGTAGTGGCTTGTTATTTATTTATTCATTATTTATTGTACAAAACATAATAATGATACATACTATGGAGAGCAATGAGCGGCCTTATCGCGAACAAGCGATCTCTGTCTATAGTTTACGCGAGTAGTACACATTTAAATAAATCACTTTAACGGTTTAAAACGCGATATATTAGTTAAACTGATTTGAAAATGATTTTTAACTTGTCTCACTAAATCTCCCCGTGACCACGGCTGCTGCAAAACATCCGAAACGTCGTGCCGAAGTTAAAAATCATTTTCAAATCAGTTTAACTAATATATCGCGTTTTAAACAGTTAAAGTGTTTTATTTAAAAGCGATCTCTTCCAGGCAACCTAATGTTAAGAAAATTAGATGTGCAAAATAGGCGAAACTAATTAATACAAACAATAAATAATCATAAACAAATCTTATATATAATATTTCCGCTTGTATTAGTCACTCTATTTTAAATGCTCTAACCACATTTTCAATTCGAACCAGTAGTTCCTGAGATTAGCGCGCTCAAACATCCAAACAAACTCTTCAGCTTTATATATTAGTAAATAAAAAGTGTAGATTAATTACCTTCACTACTGAATGTCTTTTAATTTAGCACCACCAACATCGCGAAAGCTTATAATACCCACTATACTCCTGAGGTGTATTTTAATTAATATAGAGTGTTATAAATAAATCTTTTATTTCTTATCCTTATTTATCTTACTTGACAATTAGAAAACGTAAGACTTGACACTGATACTCTTTTTGTTGTATATCATTATCTTTCGGGCTTTTCGACCGACGTGAGCGAGACATTTCGCCATCACGTGCGGACGGCTAACTCCTCGATTACTCGAACAGCCCGAAAGGCAATGATATGGTGAACGATGGCCGTGAAAGCCTCATACGTTTATTACTCGTGGTAGTATTAGAGTTAGTAAGATAGTAGTGTCAATTAACAAAATAGTATTGTACTATACCTACATATATTATGTAAGTGAAGCAAAAGAAGGCGAATTTGATAGTTATAAGTTATAACGGTTCATAGACGCTTAATATGTAAATTGTTTATTTCAATTCTAAATTCGAATTCTGTTGGGAGAATATGAGATTATACTCCCAGCTGTTTGTTTAGGATAGGAACATAATCGTCGTATTGAGCCTGGAAGAAGTTGCCGGCGATTGGATCACCCAGATTGTACTTTTCCGCAAATTTGGCGATCGAAAACATTGTACGATTTTCGCCGGAGCTGAAGAGACAAATATATTTGTTTATTTTATTACATGAGATAATTCAAGAATCGAATATTTAAGAAGATAGACAATTGAAATTCTAATTTTAAAAACATTTTTACACGAAACAAAACAATTAACACAATACATTTAAAATTTCACCAATCTTAAGCATTTAATTTTCTATATGAAATGCTTCGGCGGTGAAGCAATTTGTAAAGCAACTATCTTTTGGAAACATCAAGTCTCAAAGGAATATAAAATAAAGGAGTAAAACGGCTGTGTCGGGCTCGTCTAATTGTAACAATGTATGGCGAATAATCAACGGGTCGTAGATTAGATCGCCACGGAATCCAACATATTTCTAATGTTCAATGTATAATTTTTCTGAAACATATTAACATATTTAATTAAAAGGTACTTAACGCAATATGAGATAATGCGTTTGACAATTGATCCACAGAAGCACTATTTCAGGAGAATAACAACTACGGCTCAAAATTAGGCTATATTTTCGAACATATGAAACAAAAATCAACCTTCAACTTCCTATCAGTTTACCTACTTGTGAATGCACAATTAACATTTTAGTTATTTTTATACACCAAAAGTAAATACTTAATAAATATAGGTACTCACAATTTAAAAATCAAAAATACATTGAAAAAAAATTTTCGACTCGGGCAGGACTTGAACCGGTATCGTCAGCGTTCCGTGCTGTTGCTCTACCAATTGAGCTACCGAGTCCTACATTTATTTTCGATCTTAAATTATATAGTGCCTTCATGTGCAATAACAAGTAAAAAATAATAATAAAGTTTTCAAAGTATACTTACTGCAAGTAATTTAGCCGGTGCTTTGGGAATTACATCGGGCACCACTTCGTTCGCTTCGAAACTCTTTGCAACCGAAGACTTCAATTTAGCAAACACGGTGTTGTCTGCTATTAACAAAAGAATCGCAAATTTCAGAAAAACAGCCATTTTATTGAGCACAACTTACACTCACGGCGAATAGGCGCGAAGTGTAAAACCAAGACAAGTAACGGATTGGCGAGAAAATAAATGCAAATAAAGAAGACGAAAAGTGTCATAACTCCGCTATTATTTTTGTAATACTGTGTAAGCGACATCGTCCGCGTAGAACAGTTATTTTTGACATCAACATTTCTTTTTACACACCTCCTACAAATTTAAAAATTATATTATAGCTTTTACCCACGTCCCCATCGTTTTGTTAATGTTTTAAGATAGCTAGATTTAGATAAATTTTGGTTGAATTTGAGAGTATTTACTAAGGGTTTAAAACAGGAAATGGAATTTACTTAAACTTATTTACATACTTTATTTTAACTATGGCCCGACGTCGTGTACTACTCGTATATAATAAGAGTCAGATTAATTGTGTTAGGCTTACACAGTTATCGTTCAGCATATCATTGTTTTTCGCGCTGTTCGACCTACGTGAGCGAGAAGAGGTTCTCGACGTTTCGCCCGAGCTCGAAAACAATGATAAAAACCTTTTTTTTATTTCAATGAATATTACGTATTATCTGCCGGGCCCATCAATAGTGCGCTAACGCTCGCTGATTAAAATTGTACAGTACTGTGTGAATAAAATGGCTTCTACTTACTAATGCTGGTGCGGCTTGTATGTTATTTGAACATAGACATAGAGACATTTATATCTATAAAGACATTACACTAAAACATTACAATACATTTAAATGTTTACTAGTGAATCGTGTTTGGTTTAAAGTAAATGTAATAGAAGTCTCATTAAAAAAAATATAACACAGATGCAACAAGTTATATCAGTATAAAATTAATTTAACATGTTTCTTATCAATTACCACATAACATGTGCCGAAACACAAATCTAAGAGATTTCGTAAAGGTATGTGTTTATAACCTTAAAAGGTAAACTTAAAATAAAATTTTTCACAAAAGATATTATTTATATTAAGATTTTTTATTATTAACACTTTTTTATATTAAGTACGTAGTAGTAAGTAGGTCTTAAGTAACAGTTCTGCATAGGACTGTGAATTCAGAATGTAAAAAAGGTTTTCTGCGGGACGACGCAACTGGGCCTGCAAGATTTTTTACTAAAGGTTTTCCAATAAGATGCCTTGCTCCTTCGGCTTTGTATGTAATATCAATTTTGTATAATGTTTTTTATAGCTACACTTACATCGCGAGGGATTAAATTTTTACGCTTAAATTAAGTAAGTAATCACTTTTGATTTCTAGTTGATAATCAGATATCTTCATTTTAATAACAATACTTAAATTTAATTCTGATGTATATTGTGGTAATATAGTCTCTCTTTATTCAGCTTGTGTATCTTTATTGTGTTAAAGGCGAATTCGTGTCATAAACCTATTAATTATGCATGAATCTTATGTACGTAGTTTGACATTGTTTGTTTTCTCTACACAAATAATTAGTGTAAGTATTTCGTCCACCATAACAAGACTTTAATGTTTCTAATCAAGGAATGTATTCTTTGTCAATTGTCAAATGTTCTTTCGGAATTAGCACAGATTATACTTGTGTTACTTTTTTCCACGAACCATTCCTAATGCATTTTTGTCCTTTTGTGTAACTGATGGTCTAACTACAGTAGATGGCAACGATAGTACTAAAAGGGTTCAGATTATAGCTAGCTCTAGTTCTCTAATTGCTAGGTAATACAACATCGTGATTTAAGTGAACATGCTATACAACAAACCGTACTTTAATGTTATTAGTTATTACATATTAACCTATAAGTTAATTCATCAAATATGTTTTATACTATTTAATATGTCATTAATTTTTTTAACTAAAATAGATTTTAACCATTCAATCATAATTAAACAATAAAACTATAGTAAATATTTGTAAGAAAAAAGGAAATTGTTTTTATTTGGATTAAAATTTTCTCTTATATTAAAAAACATATACATATATGTTAAGTACAAATATTTTTGCGTACTACGTATCGAAATAATACGTAACACTGTAGGTGATTATGTACTAATTTATGCGTCATATCGTGTATCCATCCTTTTCGTGGTTTATTCGTTATACGTTTTTTTTAATGTATTTTATCTAATTGATCTAAATGACTCAAAGATAAGCTAAAACTAAAAGGATTCAACTGAAGTGTACCTAGTCTAATTGTTGAGTAATTCAACACGATATTTCTACAACATTAGTACTGCGGCGACAAAATTAAAAGCTGCAGGGTAAATATATCTTTAAATTAACGTTACATAACTCAATAACGACACGCTACTCGAACGATTTACACGACCTAGCCCCCCGCGCTAGAACTCGGGCCGAACCCTACTAGATACTCTCTTACTAAAACAACGGGCTATTTTGTAATAATTGTTTGCCACAATAAATATCATAGTTTTATAATTAGGTATATTATTCGAGAAACTACTAAAAATGACAGAGACTTAAAAATTCCTAATATACCTTTTAAGCAACAGCACGCCACATAACACGTATCGTGAGTTCGAGGTTTGGCTTTTAAGTAATCCTTTTTTATTATAGGCTAATGCGGTGATTTGAAAATGATGAACAGTTACTAGTATGTACTTGTATAATGATTAAATCCTCTTCTCTGGTGGGTTTTACAGTTACTTAGTCATTCATTCAAAGATGACTCTCGGCTTAGAAAGTGCCTTTAAAATAGTCTTCGGCATGTCGCGGGTTCTTGGTGTTGCACCCATCAGGTTTTCGGATATGCCCCGTGTTTCCAAAATATTGGTTATATATGGCGGCATATTGCTTTTACTTACAAGTGAGTACAGCAAGATCTTCTAAGCAATAATGACTCCGTGTGAATCTCTATCCATAATTCGCATTTGACCGTTCAATGTGTTTTATTAAATTTTTACCATCGCGATGGTAAAAATTAAATAAAACACGACTACAGACATACTTACTTAGGAACTTAATCTAATGGTAAAGTTGCTAAAATTTAAGATTTTTTGACATCGGAAAATAAAAGATTAGAATAGACAGAAACTTGACATGAGGGAATAAACTCAAAATTAGAATAATATAGACTAATAGATAAATGAAAAAAAATCTCGTTATTATTTTATCATCGCCCTTCATTTATTTAAACTAATTCATATTAATGTTATTGCAGCACATGTTCATAAATCCTTTTAAATTTCTAGGCTACGTATATGGACGTGAGTGTGCATCTTTAGTAGCAGAGTGGAGTAAAGAAACAGGAGAAGTAAACTTCACAGTGAAGGGCAGCTCAATGCGCCTGTTCCAAGCGTCCGACGATTATATCATTTATGTTTATGCGATCGTGAAAAGTGTACCACGAACGAAGTTTTTATTGAAAATTGTAAATGATCTTAAAAAGGTAACAATTCTGGCTACCATATTCACAGATACAAATTTCCCATTAGCAAGGTAGAAGGTAGAAGTGAATTGCGTAAGTTTTATTACGTAAAGATATATCACCAATCATATATCATGAAAGAGAATCACCACCCTGAAACTGGGATATATCTTTAGGTAACAAAACCAAAGATTTTTATCTAAATATCCAAATGTGATCGTGAGCTTTCAATTAAACTACAGATAAAATCATAACATAACAATCTTCTCTTTGTTCTGCTTTAAATTTAGGACCCTCAATTTCGTCGATCCTTCCTTTATAATGCGGCGAAATCCATAACTGGCTTTATGAAATCAGCTTATGAAAAAAAAAATATATTTATATAATTAATATATTCTAACCATTAGACCGATTAAAAAGCATCATTCTTGCGTTTTATGTTTTCTGATAATTAGTGTTGAAGTATTTATTTAAGCCTTCTGAACAATCAAGAAAAAGCAAGGACATGCCAAAAGAAAGAAACACTATTTATTTTTGTCTAATAGTGATAACTTTTATTGGCTTCATTTTAAGGACAGTCAAACATATAGTAGACGACTACAACCCCGACATAGGCACAATCTGTAAGGAAGTTTTTTACCAATTTATTTAACGTTTTGAACTTTTTATGGATGGAACTTATGTTCGTGTTGCATTTTTAGGGAATGCTCAGATACTAATCGTCCTGTTGATTATCCGTACTACAAGCGATGTAATATTACTGCAGTTTGTTGTCGTGGCCCTCTTGGTTCATACTATGCTGCAGGAGTTCAATAGGAAATTGAAAAATTTATTCAGTACAAGTACCTACCGTTTTTCTCTCAAATATAAAAAAATAGGAATTTGATTATTGCGACACCCGTTCTGACAAATTTGACTGTTCACGCTTCATAGTAGTGTAGTTTCTTATCTTTATTACTGCATATAATATAGTAATATTTATATATAAAAGTCTACAGAAGAAGCTTTATTTTATACATCTGAGACAGTCAGTAAAGTGATAGTAGTATATACAGGAAGTAAAGAAAGATATATTTTATGTAATAAGCGAAAGCGTAAGGTACGTTCAAGAGATTTGCATGTTGTGCGAAGGCTTGGGACTTTTATGAATGTACTACGCAATCTGTTCCGAAAATCTAGTTTATTATGTAAAATGTCGTAAAGCAGCACCATGTCATTCCAGTGAATTAATAATGGTATCCATAAGTTTCGTTACATGCATTAGCTTTGTAGTAAGTTAAAGAAATTTTCTTCTTTATAAAGATTTTCTGAACTTTTTCAAGCTTAGGGACACTACATAAGTGGAATATAAAACTTCTAAGCACGATACATTGTTGATAGTGTTACTAGTACGGAGTACTAGAACTGGAGTAGTAGAACACTGATACTTTTAAAGGCCTTTTCAGTTATATTCACAATATGCATGTTGTTTGTTAGTTTGACGTCATGGGAACACCTGAATGTCGTTTTTGGTATATTTTACCAATTCAGCGAGTAATTATTATTTAGCACAACATAGAGTTTACGTTTTAATTGTATATCATTACATTTCGCAATATCTACTAAATTAAAGACTTTTTATTTATTTTGGTCATCTATATACAAAAAAACATTGGCTAGTAACTAAATCATACAAATATATATTATAAAACAGAGGTCTAAGGTGTGATCCTTGAGGTACGCCAGACGTAACATTAACGAAGTCTGATTTAAGGCCAAATGTTGCTGGTAATGAATAGGTCCTGTTCATTATAGAAGATTGCCTCTGATATAGCTTCTAAAAAAGTATATAGTGATCCACTGTGTCAAATACTTTTTCAAATACAGTAACAATTACTTATACTCTATCTATTAGTGTTTTATCATGTCGCTTTAATCATTCTAAAAGCTAAATATTATAAAGAGGCTCTCACTGTGTTTAGCTTCTGAGTAGAGATTTTTAACCATTTTCAGAAAGTACATCGGATAACAGATTGTCGATCTTATATGAAAAATGTTCGACGAAAAGGATTAGAGTACCTGTCAAGGACATTAGTTCAACCATTGACTCTTTAGGTACTACACTTACTAAAACTCTTGGTAAGAATTTTTAAATATCAACACTTAAAGATTTGTAATATTTAGAAGTTAGTGATTCGAGATATATGCATGTAGAATAGTCCTTCTCTGGTCAGCTTCTGTAAAGCATCCAAAAAGTAGGGTCCCAGTTGACAATAAGTTAACTAAAATATTTCACATTTTAAACCGATGTTACCACACCAAATGTTGAAAAGACATACAATTTTGTTGCTATTTGTTCTAATATATATATATTATTATCTACAGGTATTGAATTAGGGGACACCAATGATGTGGATGCTATCAAAAGAATGACACATATTTACATTTCTTATTGCAATTTCGTACGAGAACTAAATACTTGTGAAAGTGTTCTTATCATGGCACACGTGTACAAATCAGCAATGCACCTTATTGGTAACCTTATCTTACTGACCTTCTCTATTTTATCTTACTTTGGTAAGTACAAGTGAAATATTATATTATAATAAAAAACGAATTTATTTGGGATAGGGCTTACGTGCTTAAGAATGGGTCAATTGCTAAACCATTATCATATATTAACAATTTTACACTCATTGCCTTAATTCCGTAAAATGTGGATGTGGAGAAAACAAGATATGAGCCTAGCAGTAGCCAGTGTTCTTCTAAGCTAATATCGGTTGTGTCTAGTTTATTTTTTTCAGAGTACAGCTCTTCTCAGCTTTGGATCAACCGCGCTCTTTACTTTAGCTCCATGAGTATATTTTACAGTATGTTGTTGTTCCTACTTGTAGAACCGTCATATCAAGCGAACATTGAGGTATAAGGTTTTTTTTAAATAAAGTAACTTTAACAGGTTAAAACACGAACATAATTATTTTCGTAATGCACAACGTTAACTTTTTAGCAACCATGTTTACTAAAAGGCGGGACTAAAAACGAGTGAAACGCCAGTGCCATCTGTTTTTCCTTTATATAGGACTTGACTTGACATAAAAGCAATCTTTAAAAAAAATCTAAAATTCTTAAAAGATTGCTTTTATGTCAAGAATTTTAGGATAAATAATTTTCAATTCGTAACAGATTAAACAAACCTATCTCCTCGTTGGCAAAGAATTAAACAAAGCATTGGAACGTAACGATGTGATAGAGATGTCGGAACTGCGGGCATTGTTAAAACAGCTTCGTCTCAATCGACCATTTTACAGTGGATTTGGATTGTGCATGTTGGAAAGACCTCTTTTAACGACTGTAAGATATATTTTTTCAATATAAACAAGATCAAAATATGGCCGTATATTGTGACAAAAAATATTCCTCATTTCTTCTTTCAGTTTATTGAATAGATTTTGTTGCGTACTGCATTTGTTGAAGTCCCTAACCTATGTACTTTTCTTTAGCTTTGTGACTATTAGAAAGGTTCCTAAAAAACATGTATCTTACTATATAGTCACTATAGAGTCACTGATCGAAAGGCTACAGACTTTATTATTAATACTAAAGTAAGGATATTATAATAGTACAGATACTAACGTAAAAGAACTTGTTTTCAGGTCGTCAGTGCAGTTGCGACGTCCTTAGTGTTGATGTTCCAGTAAACAAAATTTCCTCTTATCACAAGTGAATATTTTAAATAATGTGAATTTTGCATCAATTTCAATATGGCTTTATCTGATAGCTTTCAGTGTCGCTTTTCTTCGTGTTGTGTGTATTTAAACAATAAATAAAGTATCTCAGTAATTCTTTAATTTTTCTTGAACAATTCCCTTTTCCGATTGACTCATATTTATAATGTAACATGGAGTTTATAAATAAAGTTAGGCACTAAGTTTAAGCAAATCGATAAAACGATCTCTTTGTACCGTTGTATAATATTGCAAACGAAGAGAAGGCTTCATTTTTATTGTCAATAAATTGTCATATAAATTAGTCGAAACAACATTTATTATAACATCACAAACTCATAGAGTAATGGGATTTTAATTTCTCTATGTACATAAGATATGTTGTAACATTGTATAAACGTATACATATTATACATAAATTGATTAGACTTAAAAGCTTCTCCATGCTTGGAATCTACAATTAATGCATGATCATTATAATATTAATAAAAGGTTCGATATAAAACAAAACTGTATTTTATGTTGTCTTTATGTAAACAAAGTAACGTAAATTTCCCCTTAATTGCTTTCAACAAAGTAAACATAAAATCATTTACTTAAGATGGAAGATATATGCGTTACAAAAATTCTACTTAGTTATGAATGCAATAACATGTGATAGATATTGAAATTATAAACGTTAAACTCTGTAATTTCAGGTTCAATTATGGCATTACATTGCCCGAGAGGTACATAATATATGGGTTAAAGAAATTGACGACACGGTAGCTCAATTAACAATGAGTGCTGGAGGAGGTCAATAGGAAATTGATACATTTATTCAGTCCAAGTACCGTTCTCACATCATGATTCTCACAATACAAATTAATAGGAGTTTGATTATTGCGACACCTGCCTTGATATAAGTTTGACTGTTCACGCTTTTAAATAGTGTAGTTCGTTCAGTAGATTGCTTGATACGAGTATAATATAGTCCTTTATATTTTCATTTATAAAATTATAAAGGACTATAAATTAGTGATATTTAAATTTGTCCTCCATGCCTGATCATAATGTCATTATTAATGAGTAGGTTCGACATAAAACGAAAATAGAAATTATGTTGTCTTTGCGCAAACAAACTAACGTAAATTCCCCTTAATTGCATTCTAGAAACCGTAGATCCATTCAGATAAGCTAGAAAATATATTTATTACAAAAAAAGTGAATCGAACTGAACGTTGACTTAATTATGAAAGCAGTAAGTACTCCGACTGGATTTCATTGGTAGTGCAATTACAAATTCATTTGTTTGAAATATTAACTATCATATATCTATTTTTTATAGATGATGACTCATTTTCTGACCATATTTAATTCAAATCTATTCATAGAGTCCTAGAATAAAATGGATTCCCCTCTAGAGCGTTCTTTTAACGCGATCCTTTACGTCACGCGAATATTTGGTGCCTGTCCCGTGCGTTGGCAATTAGGCCGACCATGTTTTTCCACTGGCTACGCCATATACGGGGGAATTGTCACGTTATTCACTGGTAGGTTTTACTAATGACTTATTAGAAATGAGAACTAATATATATGAGGCCGCTAAGGGCAGAGTAGCCTATATGCCATTTTATGACTTAAATTATTTATATTTTTATAGGTCAAAAATTTACTACAAGAGCACCTATAATTGTTAAAATAATTCACTCTGCCCCTAGCAGCCTCATATGCACAATAGGATGCAGTATATTTATCATTCATGTTCATTACATATGTATATAACATGCGATTTCGTTAAAAGTTATTTGACTACTTACTTAAGAAGTAAAAATTATGAAAACTCTATAAAAATATGTAACATCTATTGAATACAGCTTAGTTTATTAGTCGTATTTACTTACAAGTCAACTTATGCTCGGTTTGCGTTATTACATGCATTTGCACTTGTTTTTGTAAAATATTGACGTGGTAAAACTTAAATTCCGTTTTGTAGGTTACATCATAATGGAAATCATTATATCAGAAATAGTGCTTACCGGAACAAAGGAAGGTGTATTCGGGTATACAAATCAGACGATAGCTTTCCTTATACAATTACTTAAAGATGTTCTAGTATATATACTGATATTTTACCAAGGAGCATGTCGGATAAAAAACCTGAATGAAATTCTACAGAAAGTTAAAAAGGTATTTATTACATCAGATTATTTTCTCTATAAGTCCTACTAGTACTAGCTTAAAGTATCACCATATATGGGTAGTACATAGAGCCAAAAGGCTGTTCGCGTATCTTTACTAATCCTTACTAATATTATAAATGCGAAGGTAACTCTGTCTGTTTGTCTGTCTGTCTGTTATTCTTTCACGCCAAAACTACTGAACGGATTTGAATGAAATTTGGTACACAGATGGTTTAGACTCTGAGAAAGTATTTTTTGCGAAAAGGGGGTTGTAAGGGGTTAAAAGGGGGGGTGAACGTTTGTATGGAAATTCATAGAAATTGAAGCTTGAACAATGAAACTTTCTTTTTTGGCTTGTTGGGAATAGAAGTAGGAGTGGGAGTGGGAGTGTTGCGGCAAAGTACCACTTAAAACATAGATTGGCTGTTATAAATGCGCAATTACATTAATTAATAAACAGCCTAAATAATTAAAAATTCTACACCTAGTCACTATTCCACGCAAACGAAGTCGCTACTTAATTCGTAAATAAACATGTATTTCATACAATGTCTACTAGTTGTGCCGATATAGCAGAAATTTGGTAATTTAACGTTAATAGTAAGCAGATAATGTTTTCAAAATAATAAAAATAAGCATAATCTATGTATAAAAATATTAAGGCTGTGCAAATTTATCATATTTTTAGGTACAAATAATAAGATCATCTGAGAATGAAAATAAACGAACCACTACGCATCTAATCATACCGGCGGCTGTCTTTATTTTTATGTATAGAATCCTGAAATTCATCAAGAAGTCTTTCCTTAATGATAAATTTGGAGCCCCATTCCGTAAGATTATTTTATATCTGGTATATATGTTAGTTGAAATAATGAAGATTTGGAAAGAATATCATGATTACATATACATAGAAAACATTTAGGTCTTTTAGGACTAGGATCTCAACTGCTCAAATCAGTGCAGTAATTTTGGACAGTCAATAGGTTTTTATAATAGAAGAGAAATTCGATTGGTGAAATTACACAAGGTATACCTTTGTAGCAAGATGCGCTGTCCAACTATCCAAACCTAAAGTTTGCATATTTAAAATGATCTTACCAGCCGATGGTTTTATTAAGAACGACAACATAGGATCTAGATTTAAGAGCTTATTGATATTTTCCAAGAGTTTTTATATAGGACTGATCAAGATGTTTATACTGCCTTTATTCATTCGTTATGCGATCGATCTTATCCTTCTACAATATGTTGTTGTGGCTTTATCTATCAACACGTTGCTGCCAGCCTTAATTGAAGATCTTCAGCAGATGACTAACAGTATGGTGACATCACTATCTAAACTTTTATTTTCTTTAATATGGTATTTAAATGTGAAAGGCAAATTCCTTTTACAGGAATTTCACAATTATTGTTGAAAATATCTAGCTTTAAACATTGAAATGATTCTTCTGTATCTACTATAAACGGATGTAATTTTTTCTCGCGAAGAAAGTAATCAGTATCTTTTCCAGAAACAACATTAAATATATATACAACAAATATGGATACACATAACTTGGATAATCAGACATGTTCAACGATCACGGTTGAGGTGAGAAATACCACCTCGAACCTCAACTGTAGTCATTCACAATCGGATGTTTGTGGTAAATCAAGTATGATTATCAGCTGTCCTTACCAATTCTCCTGTTACACTTTTTGCGCAAACTCCTCCAAAATAGTTGAACTAATTAATAACGTATGCTCAGGCGTAACGTATTCTCTAAAAATATTTTTTACGTTAACATCGTTTTATTTAATATGTACCTCTCAAGCAAACTACTAACAATATTTCAGGCATTCAGAGAATCCGTAGAATAACCCGTACCTACGTCGCGTATTGCGGTTTAGTACGTGAATTGAACGACTGTGACAATATGCTCATGCTGGCTCAGTTATTTAGGCTGGTTATGCACTTGGCTGGTCACCTTGTTGCGTTTCTGCTATTCCTCTCGAGTATTCCTCGTGAGTATTCGTTTTACGTCCCTTTTACGTCATCCGTTAGACCTCGACTCTTTCTGAAATTTAACTCTACTCGCAGAGCACGCTGATCTACTGAACAAGTGTCTTTGAATTGAAGATACTCTTCAATATCTTTTGCAAATATTTTGGCTGTAAAACTAGGAGTTCAGACGAAATGTCCATATAACTAACTTGATTTCACTGTTCCTATAACTTTTCCTACTTAGCCGACCTGGACCTGAACGCGCGTATTTACTCTATATGCTACGACAGCGCTGGAATGTTGTTCTATGGAAGTTTGATGGTGTTATTAGTCGAACCATCGCATAGAGCTGAAATTCAGGTTTACAATTATTTCTCTAAAATTTATCGATTTTGTAGAAAACAGGACGATTGGTTGTTAATATAGGTCAGAGTGTGAAAAAATTTACTGTAACTATTTTACAGTCAATTATCAATAAATAAAACACGAATTTGCTAACTTTCCAGCTCCAAAAATTCAACCTTTTAATTACTAAGACAATATGTCAGGTATTGGAGAAAAATGCATTTGAAGAGTTCAATGAACTGCAAATTCTGTTACAACAGCTGCATCTCAACAAGCCAGTTTACACAGCGTTTTCTGTCTGTACACTACAGAGACCACTCATTACCACTGTAAGTTTTTTACAACCTGCGGATCTCTTAGCTCACGTCAACTTACTTTATAAAACTACTAAGTAAAATAAATTGTGGTACAACTAATTTCACGAAAAGCTTACGGTTAGGATTAACTATAAAATAAATAAATCACGCTAATTCTGTAATATTTCAGATCTTGAGTGGTATCGCTACGTTCTTGGTAATATCCTTGCAGTAATCTTCAATTACATCATTATACTAAACACTACGCCTGGATTATTTGAAGGATAGGGCATAAGGGATTTATTATTGTAGAGAATATTTATCACCTTCAAAATGTTAACTCATATTTTTCAAATCGATAATTTTGCATAATCAACATCGCGTAAACATAATAAATACTAAGTTCATGTGGTGTATTTTAATTAACATAAAGTGTATTAAAATGAATCTTTTATTTCTTATCCTATTATAATTTAAATAAAACACTTTAACGGTTTAAAACGCGATATATTAGTTAAACTTATTTGAAAATGATTTTTAACTTCGGCCCGACGTTTCGGATGCTTTGCAGCAGCCGTGGTCACGGGGAGACTATTATAATTGACAATTTCATTAGCAAATACAACATATGACCCTGATATTCTTAGTAATTTAACAGTTATTATATTAACAAAATAGTACAGTACTAAAGAAGTTTGGGTTCACCCTTAATAACTGGGAATACAAAACGGCAAATTTTATGGCCATAACGGTTCTTAAAATATAAATTGAATTGAAATCGAAATCTTAGAATTTATTTAAATCTAAAATTATAAAAACTTAACAACGGACATCTTTCACTTTAGTTTTACACTCGAATTTCCTTAGGTAAATGTTAAATTTATGCTCCCAGCTGTTCGTTTAGGATAGGGACATAATCATCGTATTGAGCCTGGAAGAAGTTGCCAGCGATCGGGTCACCCAGATTGTACTTCTCCGCGAATTTGGCGATCGAAAACATTGTACGTTTTTCGCCGGAGCTGAAGAGACAAATATGTATTTTTTTATCACATAAAAATAATATTGTAGAACGGGGAAAACAGCCCTCTAATACAAATTTTTACACGAACCAAAAAAATGTTGACAATGCACTTTTAAAATTTCACTAATCTAGTGGCCTTTAGTTTTTTAGTTTTCAAATTATGCCTATCACTATTCTTGTTAAACTTGCTTTTATTCTTATGGGAATACAAAACATTTTCATAAATGTACTGCGAGTACACAGTAAATATGCCGATATTTTTATGACTCCCGAGATCCCATACCGTAGACAGCCCGGACCGCCCTTTCAACCAAAACCAACGCCAACTATCTCATGAAACATCTAAGCTCACAGGGAAGTATAAAAGAGTAAAACTTTTGACGGACTCGCATAATGATAATTTACGGGTCGTGTTTTCGATCACCACCGTACCGAACATGTTGGACATGTTTCTAATTTTTCTGAAACATTTTGAACTTCGTTTAGAAATCTGGAGGTGGTAGAAATATTGAAATTCTGTCCTGGTCACGAACCACCGTCCACAGATGAAAAAGACGTAAAGTTTAATCGCGTTTCTGTTGCAGTCTGTGATATCCAAAGGCAAAATAGGTCGACAGCGTAGCTTGTTTAGATGCTATGGGCTGGATTATTTCACCCACCATCGAGTGAACCTCTTGCCCCTCTGTCCTCCTCTATGATTAAAAAAACTTAAAAAATAATGCCTCAACTAGTGACCTAGTTGTCTAATCAAATGCGATACAGATAAATATTCTTACGTGTTAGGTAGACGTGGCTCATCAAAAGTCAGCTTGCCAGGTTGCTTGTACACGAGGAATACGTAACGGTGGAGACCAGTACCTTCCGGTGGTCCGGCTCCGACGTAAGCAGATAGGGTTTCGCCAGAGGATACATTTTCCCCGGGGATGTTGCCAACGAGCCAGTGATCCCATTCGCGGAATTTGGGCTCTTTACGGGATGGTGCATCTGGGTCTGTGAAAAGTTTGTTGCAATAATAATTACAGGATGCAGTCACGACTCAAATAGGAACTTAATCATCAACTAAGACAGCTTATTTTTCCTTTTGTTTTTAATATCCTTTGAACAAGTTATTTGCTTTATAATTCAACAAAATTTAAGCAAGGGTAGCCATTTTTAATGTTTCATTTTTAAATAATTTAAAGCAGACTAAAAAAACAAAGATATATTTAAATGGGTATTATTAATCAAAGTAGCGTTATCAAAATAATATAGTGTAACCAAGGCAAGTATAAACACTATACAAATGCTTAGCTAGCACTGAACCCGTTTTTATTATGTACATTTTACATTACATTACATTTATCTACATTAGTAGAAAGTTGCCAATTTTATTTAAATGTTTTTCGAAGTAATCTCCTTTCCACTCTACACATCATCGCCTTTGATGGAACCACTAAGAAAAACAGTGGGCCTCTTCTTTTAATAGAGCATTAAGGCATTCTCGTATGCATCTTCACGACTTGTAAAGCGAAAATTTCCGAGCAAAAGAATGATCTTATTTTTTTTCCTTAGTTGGCCAGCCCTCGAAAAAAACACCCACAGTGTCATTTGGTTTCGGGTTCGTAGCAGTGCATACCCACCTTTGGCACTGTGTCGATATAAGCATTGTGTCCATCAAAAAATGCTGATAAAAAATGAAAGTTCAAAAGAGTGACCACAAGTCTTCCTCTATCATGCGTCGCACAGCAATGATATAGTGGATCTTTACTGGGCACTGTTAAAAGATGTCCCTTACGCGGATCATCACTTAGATTGCCCCACCACGAATAAACTCGTTAAGCTAATTGTAAATAGTGGCACAAGATGGGGATTTACTATGAAATACCTATGGGCCGTCTTTACCTGGGGGTGCAAAGCGTGCACAGCACCCGGGCGCAGGGCCCTAGGGGGCGCCCTCGCATCCCGGAATATGAAAATAGAATTAACCTTCTTTTTCTATTGTAACTTCATTGCATCGTCTCACAATAAAAACAAATAAGTATATTTTTATTTAAAAATATTACATCAGTTGAATCTAAAATTTAAATATCTGCGCTCTTGTTTTGAGAAGGCGAAATGACTCCTAATCACGATCGTAACTAGGCGTACCTAAATTCTCTTAAATCATTAATTTGCTAATTGACTTTTTATACAAATCTTATATTTTTGTTCTTAAGAGTTCAATTTTCTTTTCTAATATAAAAACAAATTGATATATCAAAACAAATTCCTATTTTCAAATCTAAGTGTGAGTAATTTAGTAAGAAAAACGAACTACGCATAAAATGATTAGCGCCACCTAGCGCGCTTAATATGTATTACAAATTGTGCATGTATTGTTACATAGGTTGGGCATCATTGTACTGAAAATAGGCTTCCAACGAATAGTGTATTCCGCAGTAAGTATACGGAATACCGAATAGCCGAATATTCGGCAAAACTATTCAGTCAGATTTTAGTGCCGAAATTTAAACAGGTGTGATTGTTTCAACATTCTCAACCAACCACTCAGTTACTATCACTTTCAACCTACTATTGTAAATTAATTTTTCACTTATTAACTGCAAAAAGAAGAAGCAAAGCATTGCACATTGATGGAGAGCATAATTACTAAACATGCAAAAAACATGTCCTTTTACACCATAACCTTCCTCTTCTACAATTTGATTATGCAAATAATTCAAATGCTGCAAAATATTTATTAACTTTTCTTATATAGAATAGGATTATGTACCTGTTTTATGTACATACTAATCAATAAATAATCAACTAAATGTTGATTACGGTGATAATTAAAATAAATATTATAATCTTATTCAATAATTACTTAAAAGCTATTTAATTATTCAATTTATTTTTCATTTTATCAAGTCCCTACAACTTAAATATTCTGTATTCTGCCGAAAATTAAAAAAGACGCGAACAGTCCGAGTAGGTACCAAATACCTACCTAGTAGGTAATGTTCGTTGCAACTTGCAAGACTAACTAAAAATGATAAGAACTACAACGATAAAAACAATGTTAAATATTAACATTATCTTTTGTTTGAGTTGAATAAATAATGTTATGTTAATTTAAGTTGATATTTATAAGTATGACTAAAACTACAGGTGGAAAATAAAGTACTTCAATAACACGGAAAAAGTACTGAATCCGAACGGTGCTTTTTTAATATTTACATATAAAGAAAGAAATGACCACGCTGTTATACTTCAATAGAAAAAATACTTAAACTTATTTTTTTTTAAACGGCAGCGGCGCCGGCTCATCTGATCTGCACCGTGTTGAACAGCCTAAAAATAGCCTGAGCCATAGCTTTGTTGTTGAGTAAGCCCACAACGAAAGTCAGAATAAATAATTCACGGAAAATTCAGAAAAACAAATGACAAATTAATGCTTTGCTTTACCAAATTAAGTTGGCAGAGAATTATAAAATTGAAATTTAATAGTTTTCATTAGAGATGTTTGTTGCATGAACATATTGTAATTTTTTAGCATTAAACTAATACAGAGTATGACACCAGTCAGCTAATAAGGTAAAATTGGATACTACCCAAAAAAAATCTTCTTTTTTTTGCACAATGAAAAAAACAATGTTCAACCGCTTAAGCTTTATATATTGTCTTACCAGTCATAGCCAGGGTATAAAAAGCGTGAGCACTGGCTTCCCAGCTCACGGTAGGCACATCCTTCACTTGAGTAGGTGTCAATTCGTTACCTTCTTTAACTTTAACACCGCTTGGGTACTTCACCTAAAAATATTATGTCGTTTCAGAAATGTGTACCTAAGTGTACCACGAATTCTAGCTACTAAGTTATATTTATTTTGATTTAGCGCAAGGTAATACTTGAAAGACCAAAGACATTCATCTAATTACAATTAGTGTTTCCAACCGTTCTATACCTACCATATTTCGTTTTTAGTTGTTAAATAATTCTCCGTAAATTATAATAATTTTTATGCTGATTTATAAAAATATTATATTTAGCACTAAACTTATTGGCAACCCATATAACCTTATTACTTATATGCGCGATTTGCATATCAGATAATCGTTTTTTAAATTGTTTTGACTAATGGATTTTTACATTAAACGCGATATACTGTTAGCCTTTTAAGTTCTAGGAACACTAAATACTGTTGCTATAGTTATATATAGTTATGAATGACATTTAAACTTCTAGAAATTTCATTACGTCTCCTTGTCTCTATTTTCGACTCTTAGAACTTCACAAGGGCGTATCGATGTTAATCGGCAGGCAATGAAAGAAAGAACCCAGACTCCATTTTCTAATATACCCGATAACTTTGTTTTTTAGCAAATAAAGTAAATCTACAATAAGAACATAGTTGAAATTAGCAAACACGCCGATGTCAATAAAGCAATTATGTACCATTATATTAAATGAAATGGTTGGAGAATATTTAATTGAAGCCTTGTATGGCTTCACCAACGATCAAGTGATCACCTTCCTTTATTAAAAAACAAACTCCTGGAAAGGACTTTTGGAGAAATCGATCTATCAAACATCACTAAGAGCCATTCTGTATGACGTGGAGAGGGTGGGACACAGCTGCAGCCACCACCACTTCCACAATGCATAAGAAGAGCAATTCCTGAAATATAGCACAGCCTTGTGTGGGTTGACCCGCCCTACCACTCTGCCGCTTGTTAGCGACTCTTATTTTAACTGGCAACTTTTTTCCGTGAGATTCTCAAATAGTTGTTTTCCTGGTATTCAAAGCAATGACCTTGCCTGTTTAACGCAGTATAAGATGATGTGTTTAACAATTGTGCCACAGAGGCACTTTATCAGTAGACTAACCTATCAGTTTACAAAGTGAAATTATTGTTTTTTATACACAAAAGTCTAATACTTAATAAATATACTTACTGCAAGTAATTTAGTTGGTGCTTTGGGAATGACATCGGGCACCACTTCGTTCGCTTCAAAACTCTTTGCAACCGAAGACTTCGATTTAGCAAACACAGTGTTGTCTGCTATTAACAAAAGAATCGCAAATTTCAGAAAAACAGCCATTTTGCTGAGCACAACTTGCACTTGCGGCGAACAAGCGCGAAGTGTAGGTGTGTACCAAGACAAGTAACGGATTGGCGGGGAAGTTCAATATATATTTAACACCTAACCATTTAAATGTAAATAAAGAAGAGGAAAAGTGTCATAATACCGCTATTATTTTTGTAATATTGAAATACTGGCTGTATCAGCGACTTCGTCCGCGTAGAACAGTTATTTTGGACATCAACATTTGTTTTTGCAAACCCCCTCCACATCTTTTTAAATAATAGCTGCTAACCACGACGTCGTTAGCGTCCCGTCGTTCTAGTTAATCTTAAAGGATTTAAAGAGAAATCATTCTTTGCAACATGCTCTTTGCGTATCTTGTTTTCGTAGCCTGTTTTTGTAACGTATGCAACGGAAACCCACAAGGATGAATAATTTTCCCCCCCTTTTATTACATTTCCCGTTGTTATTAGTCACATCGCGATGTTTTATAGCCTTCATCGATAAATGCTCTAACCAACAAAAAATATTTTTTCAATTCGGTCAATTTCAATTCAAATCAGTAGTTTGTTCGTTGGTTAGCTTGTTCAAACAAAAAAATTCTTCAGCTTTATATATTAGTATAGATTGGCGTATAGTTTTGTAATGTTATGAGAGCTAGACCGAGTTTGATAAATTTTGTTTGAACGAACGATTTAAACCAAGAAATGTGTTAGTTAAACTTGGTTATTTAAATAAAACACTTTAACGGTTTAAAACGCGATATAACTGATTTGAAAATTATTTTTAACTCATGGGGAGACTGACCACGGCTGCTGCAAAGCATCCGAAACGTCGGGTTGAAACGTTGTTATTTGAACATATACATAGGGACGTCTTTTATATGTATAAAAACAGGTGATACATTAACATTTTTACTAGTTGGTTGTGTTTGGTTTTAAGTGAATTTAGTAAAAAAAGTATCAATTGATAAAAAAAATATAACACAGAGGCAACAAGTTATATCAGGATACAATTCATTTAACATGTTTGTTATCAAGTTGTCATGCGCAGGAGAAATTGATAAATATTTACTACCAAAACATGTTACTAAAATATACAACAGCTTAATAGAATTATGCTTATCTAAAAATGACGCAAAACAAAATTCAAAACCAACATAAATTACTGACATGATAAAGGAAACCTTATTTAAGTATCATTGCATTTTATTTTTTATCTAAGCCAGGTTACGTGTAAAAACTGTTACAAACAAAAATATAAGACATTCTGAAAAAGTTTGTGTATATACCCTAAAAGGTAAATTTAAAATAGAATTTTTAAACTTTACTTTTTCACAAAAGATATTATTTAAATTTTTTTTAATATTATGTTGGTACATGATTTTCTTTATCATATACACAATATAATCCGCGAGTTTCAAGTAAGAATTGTGCATAGGACTATGAATTCAGAATATAACCTACCTAAAAAAGGCAGCGGGACGACGCAAATGGGGCTATAAAAGGATTTTTTATTTCCAGAAATATATAATTTTAAGATTAGTATATTCAAATAAGATATAAGTTTGGCTCCTTCAGCTTTATATGTAATATAATTATATAAACTAGCTGTATGAGCGACTTCGTCCGCGTATAATACTTATTTTGGGCAACAAAAATTGCTATTGCAAACCTTATTCTCACCCCACGTGTGCTGTCGTTCTTGCAACTTTTTTTAGATTAAAGAGGAATTTTGGATATCTTGAAACGTTTTTGAAGCGTAGGTACGCCACGGAAACCCGTAATAATGAATAATTTTCTTATTTATTTTTTACATTTCTCGCTGTCTTTCCGCTTGTATTACTCACCGGGCAATGTTTTATAGCATATAGCCTTTCTCGATAAATGCTCCGAATTCCTCGAAAAACACAAAAAAAATCAATTCGTACCACTAGTTCCTGAGATTAGCGCGTTCAAACATACAAACAAACAAACTCTGCGGCTTTATATATTAGTATACATGTATATAGTTATGTATCCAGCCACACCTACATCGTTGCGAGGTATTAGTAAGCATTCACTTTTGATTTCAAGTTGATAAACTGATATCTTCATTTTAATAACAATAAAACAATCATATTTAACTTCTGATGTATATACTGGATACTATTTATAGCCTCTCTTTATTCAGCTTGTGTATATTTGTGTTAAAAACGAATTCGTGTCATAAAGTGTCTATATATAAGGTTGAAGGCCTATTAACTATGTATGAATGTCTGACATTACTCAAATAAATAGTATAAGTTTTTCGTCTATCTTAATAAGATTTTAATGTTTCTAACCGAGTAATATTTCCTTTTCTGTTCCTATTTTTCAATATGAAAAAAAAAATGCCTTTCGTGTAGTTGATAACAATTAAGTAAATGGTGTAACACTTATTACATTAAAATGCAAAAGATGAATGCAATTTATAAAATGCACGTTTTTTTAAGATGTTAACCGCGCAATCTTAAGTCAACCCTTTGAAAATAAATATTAGACAATTTTTAGAGTATTCATTAGTCGACAAAATAACTCAAATAAGCGTTAACCTGTAGAGGCCGAATAAAAGGCATATTTTAAATCGCAAAACTCACGAAACAACAAAATGAAATGAAAAATAGATTATTAAAGTATTTTTCTACAAAGCACAGATGTTTCATGTTTTACCAGAATTTTCTACATAATTAAGGTAGCGTGCTGCTTTTTTACAAGTCCCAGTCGCAGATATCAGGAGTTCGAACACTGAACTTATTATTAAAAATAGAACAATTAAAATGCCAGATGAAAATAAAAACATTAACCACATTAAATACTGTCTATAGTTTACGCGAGTAGAAAAGAGATTATCCTTTAGTTAATTTTCAGCCGGCTGAAGTATATAAAATTCTTAATAATTGCTCAAGCCGTTACGGAGTAGAATGGCCACTACTTACTAATATATAAAAACTACAAACAACCTTTACGTATTTTAAATTTCAAAATAATTTGCAAACAATAGTCACCACTATTACAATGTGGTTAATTTAAATAAAACACCTTAACGGTTTAAAACGCGATATATTAGTTAAAATTATTTGAAAATTATTTTTAACTTCGGCTTAAAAAAATAATTTTCAAATAATTTTAACTAACATATCGCGTTCTAAACCGTTAAGGTTTTTAACTTTGTAATGGTGAGCAAAATAGCCACATTAGTATTAATCTTACAACAAGTAGTTTTGTCGGTAAAGTGTTATTATTTATAATGTCAAATGAAAGGTACATTGCACTTTATACCTATAATACGACTATAGACAAGTTTTGGAAACGTTTTGCCATCACCAGTAGCAATATGAGATGTCGAACGATCGAAACAATTTCTTAATGACGAATAATAAGAAATATTATAATATTATTTAATCGAATATATATTAGATGAAAGAAAATATTAATAATATTGGAAAATAGAATGGTTAACTATAATACTGTAATATTATTTTCCTCCCATATATATAACATGTGGTGTATATAAAATAATAATAAAATGTACTAAGGAGTCTTTTATTTTCTTAACTTATTGTATTTGTCAATTGCATTAACAAATACGAGGTTTGACACTGGTATTCTTAGTAATGTAACAATTAACAATATAGTCGTGCCAATTTAGTTTAACAAAATAGTATAGTAGTAAATAACTTTAGGTCACCCTTCAGGATTTGGAATTAAGAATGTAAGCGAAAACAAAATATACACGTTTGATATAGAATTAAAATATAAATTGAACCGTATCTTAGATTTTATACTTCGATTTTCTTATATCAACATTTTACTTAACATCGGATGTTTCACTTTAGTCTTACAATCGAATTTCTTGTGTTATTGGAAAAGCATTTTATGCTCCGAGCTGTTTGTATAGAATGGGGACATAATCGTCGTATTGAGCCTGGTAGAAGTTGCCAGCGATCGGGTCACCCAGCTTGTACTTCTCCGCGAATTTAGCGATGGAAAACATTGCACGTTTGTCGCCGGAACTGTAAAGATGAACATATATATTTATTACGTCACATTTAAGAGGTAAAAATTTAATTAATAAAAAAAGGGGGAACACGACGCTCACATACAAATGATTTCTAACAAAACACATTTAAATTTGAACTGAATTATCTACCATAAAGGTAAATCAAATCAAACAATTGACAGATAGGCAAAAAAATGTCTATCTAATGGATGAAACTATCTCACCGGAAACTAGAAGTAATGCTTCAACTAGGTCTAACAGACGATACAGATAAATATTCTTACGTGTTAGGTAGGCGTGGCTCATCAAAAGTCAGCTTGCCAGGTTGCTTGTACACGAGGAATACATAACGGTGGAGGCCAGTGCCTTCTGGAGGTCCGGATCCGACATAAGCAGATAGGGTTTCGCCAGAGGATACATTCGCCCCGGGGATGTTCCCAACGAGCCAGTGGTGCCACTCGCGGAATTTGGGTTCTACACGGGATGGTGCATCTGGGTCTATGAAAAGTTTGTTTAATTATTAATTATAAGTTACTTCTCAAATTAGTGCCAAGGTTATGTTAAATTGAAATGCTAGTCAAGAATTGTAGAGGAACTCAAACATGTATCTCTTTTTATTTTTTATATTGTTTGAAAAGGTAATTTGTTTAATAATTAAATAATCTTTAAGAAGTAATGTCTAGAATTTAGTGTGTTTAAAATATTTATAAGTAAAAAAATATATTATTTTTATTAAAAATAGCATTATCCAAATAATAAAGTCACTATATAGTCACCTAAAGTCAATAGGTCAATTATAGTATTATATAGTACTATATATGGAAAAGAACCAAAATGTACGGGTTATAACAAGGTTTTAAATATTATTACCAGTCATAGCCAGGGTATAAAAGGCTTCAGCACTAGCTTCCCAGCTCACGGTAGGCACATCCTTCACTTGAGTAGGTGTCAATTCGTTACCCTCCTTTACTTCAACACCGCTTGGGTACTTCACCTACAAAATATAAAGTAGTTTGAGACACAAATGAGGGCCTGTTGTTGTTATTCTATTAAAATGTGAGCCTAATTATACTACGATTTCAACCTGCAAAATTTTATTAAATTTGATTTATCGCCCAAGGTGATTCGCATAGTCAACAAAGTAATAGACCAAAAGACCAAAGACTTATATAACAATTAAGGTTGTCAAACGTGTTATGAGTATAATATATTGCATTGTATTTAGTGTGCCTACTAGGTAGGTAAGCGACTGTCGAAGTTAGCATGTATTTTTTCTTTACGAACGTCTTTTAACCATACTGACTGAAAGAACTTTATATCTAAAACTACCTAAGTCCAACATGACTTGTATATTAGATACTTTTAAGTGTAGTTAAAACCCTTTTCGTAAATTATAATACTTTAAAGTGTACTATATTTTTTATAAGCCTAATTATAAAACACTATAATCCGACGGTAATAAGTGGGCAACCCTAATATCAATCCATGCCATTTGCTTTATTAGATAATCGCTCTCTAAATTGTGTTGCCCAATGGATGCGTCTTACGTTAAACTCGACGGAAGGTTATGCTTCTTAGTAATTCTAGTGTATATTAGCGTAGACCTGTAATTTCTAGAAACACTTAAAACTGCCGGTATTACGAGCATTATGTATGACGTATAAACCGCTCCTGGAAAATTAAATACATCTCCTTGATGCTTGCTTTATTTTGGGCTCCTAGCACTTAAGAAGGGCCTACGGTTGTCAGACTGCAGGCAAGAAAAAACACCCAGACTCAAAACAACCACTAACATTATGTAAAAGGGAAGAGAAAAGTCATTTATACGCCTAAACAAAGCCAATAAAGCAATAATTTACCATTATTAGTACAAAAATAAATAACTGGGAAGTATTTAGCTGAAGCCTTGTTTTATTAGCTTGTGACCTTCGAGATCCTTCAATAAATGAATCGAGTAACGCAGTGTATTTAAACGCCCTGGGCTTACTGAACAGGATTAACACTAATTTATTACACCTCAGGGCGAATATACCTAATTGTGTCACTTCAATTTTTGTGTTCTTTTGTGCCCTGCGTGACAGAAACAATCAATTGTTTCGCTGAAATTAAAACCCAAGATTTCCATGCATAACGCAGTGTGCGATAATACGTCTAAAAAATGAGCCGCGGGGTACTATTTTCTATCAGTTTACTTGTATCACTAAATTTGATATAGATTATAATTTGGCTATACACAAAAAAGTTGAATACATAATAAATATACTCACTGCCAGTAATGCAGCTGGTGCTTTAGGGACGACATCAGGCACAACTGCGTTCGCCTCGAAGCTCTTTGCAACCGTAGACATTGCTCTAGCAAACACCCTAAAATTGACCATAGTGTTGTCTGCTATTAACAAAAGAATCGCAAATTTCAGAAAAACTGCCATTTTGTTGAGCACAACTGGCACTAGCGGCGAACAAGCGCGGAGTGTAAAACCAGGCCATAGTAACGGTAGGTGAGGAAGTTGCCTATAGAACCTACTTTTATATATTTACCTAATACCTTACCATTGAAATGTAAACAAAGAAGATGAAAAGTTTTATAACTCCGCTATTCTTTTACAAATATTGAAGTACATGCATATATTGTTTGGATATTGGAAAATCCAAAGACTGAAACCAAAACGTTATTAAATTTCATGACTTTTTCTTGTTACATTGATTTGTGACCAGGATGGAATTTCAATATTCCTATTTAATGTGTTATAGCACTGCGTGTAGAAAAGGGAATGGTAACTATATATCTACATTTGTACATATCTAAAAATGTTGCAAAGCAAAATTCAAAACCAGTTTTCAATACATTACTGACATGATAAAGAAACCTTATGTAACTATTATTGCATTTTATTTTTTATGCCAAGACTACCTGACACATAACCTGTTCCCAAACAAGATATCCTATAAAAGATTCAAGTCACCTTCCAGTTTTTTAAGCTGTTGATGTTTTTACTAACGAAAAGTATTATTTATTTAAAAAATACTCACATTAATCTTTTACCTATATTGAATATTAATTTATTAAATAAACAAGAAATTACTATTTTATTGCTTTACTAAAGAAGCTACTAGAACTACCCACACACAATTAGATATATAAAAATTAAATGCATTGTCATGCTGTATGAGAAAAATCTTTATCATTTTAATTATTTGATAAGGTCTACAAGAGTATTTATAATTTAAAGTATAACTATTAATTAGCATAAATGTATTGTATATAGTCTGAATTTTTAAAGCAAATGTTAAATTTTCCCAACATTAGATACTCCTAATATTTCAAAAAGTTTTATTTCAGCTATAGGATAAAAGACTAAGGTCAAAATTACAATTTTGATATTAATGAAGTTAGTATTTATCATACCTTACGTAAGTGGACGGTCTAGACCAGACCATCTAGACTAGAACTTATGAGTCTAGTACAAGACCAAAGTTCTACTATTAATACAAACTATAAACTAGGATAAGAATTATGCTGCAAATTAATATTTAAGATTACATCATGTAACCGCCTAAAAAAAACCTACACTTTAGTCTAGAATCTAGATAATGATAAGTTACTGTTTCTAGAATCAATCTTCCGGTGATGAGTGGACGACGGTTATGACATTTCTGCAAGTTAAAATATTAGGACAAAACTATGAACATACATACCTTGGTCGGTTCAGTGGAAGGCAAGTTAAAGACCCAGAGCTTCTTTAACGGTTAAAAAACAAAAATATATAGCGAATTCTTTTAAATTTACAGATTTATATACACAACGACAGGTTAGAGGTTATCTTTATCAATAAAATCTATATAAAAAACAGTAATTGACATTGACATGTTAAGAAAGAATTACTAAAGCCACATATTATCTGTAAGTTATGTCACGTTTTGACAAATACATAATTATTACACCTATTTTGTTTTGTCGTACATAATCATAATCTTAGTAACATCGACATTTTATTTCATGAAATACAAGTATTTATCTTTCTTTGATCTAATAATCAATAATAAATTAATCAGTGTTTTATTGTTTTCGTTTCATAGTAAAGTTTTTTTTTACTTGTGATTTTTAATGCAAAAGTAATGATTACTTAAACCATGTCGCCTCGTAAACAGCCTAGTTGTTTATTGAAATTGTGTATTAAAAGTTCTCTTAATTTAATCAATGAATGTTGTTACATTATTGAGAAAAATAATTCAGATCTAGAATGTAGGGAATGTGAAAGGCAGGTTGTTGCATTGAAAGGATACTTAATGTCTCTGTTACCTGCGAGGTATGTATAATAGAATATTGAGGCTGTACAATGCTGCCTCATTTAATTTATTCAAATAAATAATTGAGAAACATTAAATGTATTGTAGCCTCCTTGGCCTCTTCTGTTGATTTAAATGACTTGCATTATATGAAAAATGTAATTATACCTTAATTGCATTTTTTTCTTTCAGGTTGTTTGATGTGCTTTGTTTAGAAAGAGGGTGCTGCAGATATCGCGGTGATCCCAGAATTCAGCTTAATGTTTTGATACATCCTAAAATGTCAATATTCCGCAAAAGTGATGTTGACAACGGTATTGCACAGAATTTCTGGGCCCGTGTAATTCCTTGTTTCAGTCGATTAGTTGTTCTCGATTTAAAATTCATCTGCACAGATGAAATTCTTGAAATCATTGGATCTCAATGTCTACTCCTCGAGGAATTAAATATAGTATCAAGGGTTGATATATGCAAATCCTTAATTAATGCTTCTGTTCTTATTAGAAATGTTTCTGATGCAGGTCTATGTTGTATAGCAAATTTAAACAATTTGCGAATATTATCTATGGACCCACCTCGCAACGAAAGAGCTAGACGTGTAGGAAGATGTGTCTCACAAGCTGGTATCATTATGCTTATCAGTAAACTTCCCTACCTAGAGGAACTACATATAGAATCTTGCGACATTGGTTCCACATTGATAGGCACTGATATAAGTATTGGACCTTTGAGTCTACGAAAAATTAATTATCTTTTTGCATCGGCAGAAGGTATGAGGAAACTTGTAAAAATTTGTCCTCATTTAAAGGAGCTGTGTATAACTCATTTATCTGCACATAATAAGGATTCTATTTTGGAAGAAATAGCATTAAGTGATCTCCGATTACATAAATTAGACATGTCATTCTATTCACATAGTGACTCCTTACATAGACTCCTGCAAGTTAAGGGCAGTTATATAACACATTTTTCCCTGTGGGAGATTGATCATTCATTAAGTTTAGATTCTGTCATTAATTTAGGTATGTGTTGTCCAAATCTCACATCTCTTTGTCTAATGACGCAGTCCAAATATCTTTTAATTCCACGTTTCTTTCGACATCCTGGTAACATATTCTGCAAATTGGAAATACTGACATTAGGTGATGAGAATTTCAGTATTGAAGATATACTGGTTTTCTTTTTAGATTGTACAAAGTGTATGCGTAAGTTGACATTAAAATTTGAAACAAAACTAGTAATAGACAATACCTTAAGATATATTTTACAAAAGGGTTATTTAAAAAATTTAAACATATTATGGTTGGACTGTACGTTGGAGGTGTCCAAACAGGTAGTGAAGGAGGTGATACAGGGATGTGAGATGTTGCAAAATTTTACTGTTAATTTTACAGAAGACATGAGCGATGTATACAAATACATAGCTGATAATAACTTAGATTTTAATTTAGGCAGTTATTAGGTCATACATATCTCCTTAAATTCTGTATTTATTGTTGGATTTGCTCACAAAATAAAAACATTCTTTACTTATAAAATGTGTTTTAGTTTACTTTTGTGAATAAATGTTGTTTTAATACTCAAGTGGCAACTGGATGCATTTTCTTCACTACTAGAAAGAGCTCTAAAAGAAAAAGACTTTAATTGACATTCATTTTATTTTCCATAATTTGTTAATTTTATTTCTATAAAACATCCTAAAACGATAATAAAACATACACTTTAATATAACATTATTTTAGTCATACATAAAATCCAGAGAATAAAAAGGGAACACGACATTTGTTACATTTACAAGTGGGATTAAACGTTCTAAAATATTTACAACAAATTGCTTTCAATCCTACTCACACAATAGACAAAACATTCATATTTATTATAAAATTCCCTATACATTATTTTGCTAAATGCTCACCAAGATATATGTACAATAAATGTGTCATGGAAGTTATTATATTGTATAAATTTTTTTAAGTACATGTAGCAAATACATTTATAAGAGATGAAAAGTATGTATGAGATTGAAAATTTATAACCACCCAATTGCATGTCATAAAAAATAACATACCCTATGGAAATAATCATTCTATCATAATTTATACCGAATAATTATAAAACATCCGTTACATGCGTTACGATGACGGTTTAAGAAACCATAAATATGTATGAGTGATTCTCTTTAAATGATGTAAAAAATGTCTGTTACACTATATGTTCTTTTAAAAACTTAAATCTAAATCGTGTAAAATAATAACAAATTGACGCGAACGACGCCATGGGTTATAATGTATAAAGCTGAGCTGAGAAGATTGTTCGCAAACATAAATATGATGGCCAAAATAACTATTCCATAGGACATCATGGGCACATTAGTGTTAAAATGATAAATTTTTCATGTCATTCGTAAAATATCTACTACTATAATATATTTACATGATTCTATATTTTATTCATAAAATTCTATAATATAGTTAATAACGCCAACAACTTTCATAAGCATATCACTAAACATATTCCAGTCACTGAACAGTTTCAGTATCTTATTCCATTTATTTTTAAGCATATTTCACTATTTTTATCAGCACTGTAATTTTTCCTGCTTTAACACTGAAGCACTATTATTATTTCATTGAATTTGGGTCTCTGTCTCACTGAACGAAAGTCCCATAGAGTCTAGCCCACACTCGTCGCTCGTTATAACCGTATCAGAGGTGCTAGAAGTTTCTCCAAGCGACTCATGATACTTCTTGAATTTGCCGTGTCAGGTGGGCGTGACAGGGCGAGAGCAGGGTGATTGCTAGGGTTCCTTGTTCTCTGGTACTGATTCCTGAAAATATCCAAGTTACAAATAATATGAAATATATGTTACAGATAAGATCACTATAGTAATTGTTAGAGAGAGGAGACAAGCATGTCATTTACTTAATCGGAGCTGTAATACTTGAGCCATCTGCACTCGCGCCTTAATTGGACTTTAAACATTTGGGATCCATAAAAAACAATAAATGTATAAAGGTTGTTCAGAAACTCGAACTTCAAATGCACACTTATCAAAATATTTATGTACACTTAGGTATGTTGTATTTACCACCTTGTCATTGTCTTTTTCATCATCATAGAATTCATTTTTTGCATCAATCATTTTATCTGCTTCTTCTTGGCTTATACGCACGTCTGGATCCGTTTCGTCTTTTAATCGTTCATCCTCAGGGAAAAAGTCACCTAAAAGCAAAATTATTTTTCAATAGTTACTAGTTTAATGATTGGAACAACTGGTAGTTAAGTTCTAATTTCACACATAATTTTAAATATGGTTGCTTGTTGGTCAGAGAAAGGGTACACAAGTCTGATCACTACTTGTCTGTAAAATGTTAGTCCCATTCCTCAAAACAATTAAGTAGGAATTTTACTTCACTTTTCTTTTTAATAAAACTATTAATTCAAAGACCAAAAAAAAGTATATTTGTTTATACCTGGTATATGACTCATTTGAACAGCAGGGGAATGCTGACACATCTTGAGATTATCATACACATATTTGCTGATTGCTTCAAGGTACTGTTTACTATTTGCATTAGATGTTCTAAAAAACAAAATACACTTTCATGTAAAGCAATTGTATTCCTGTGATTGTTACAATATATATACAACTAACTATGATCAGGAATACAATAAAGTAAAAAAGTATTATTATATTATACTATTTCTAGTATATTATTATAAATTTTTTGACTGTTCTTTTAATGTCTATCAAGTTAAGACTTACTTAAAATGGTATAAGAAAAAGAAAACATTATGATAGAAGAGATATTTACCCAGACACTTCTGGATGCAACTGGAAGTCAGGCGCAAAGAACTCAAGATACTCAGTGTAGGGAAGTTCATTTGAGATGTCTTCATCGATAAGAAGAGATGTCTCGTAGGTCCAGCAACGTGCCACATTTCGTAAAGTATAGCTAAAAAAATATAATCAAATATGGAATAACAACTTCACACCTTTGTAAGTTTGTATTTTGTTTGTTAAGTTATATTTCTTTATGCGTAACATAAAATTTACGTAAATTATAATCAATTTTATATGTGAACTAATGTTACTTACCCTCCACCTCCAACGACAAGTGTGGGTAAATTGAGATTTTTTACAAATTGCACACACTCTCCATGACCACGTGTGGAAAGGGAGAAACAGCCAAGCCTGTCACCAGCTAATGAGTCTGCGCCGCATTGTAGGACAATAGCAGTCGGTCTATAGAACTCCATTACACTTGATATCACCGGTTTAAAGACCTAGAAGACACAATTGAATTTGTTACAATATGCACTTTAAAGCTTTGTAACCTTAAGAGCACATAGATAATAAAATCTACAACCTACTTATTAAAATGATTATTAATAAAATGTATGAGAACAGTTTAATTTTACAAAATATATACTTTGTATAAATGAGATTCAGAATCATTATAAAATGTACAAAATTGCCATCCCAGAAAAACAGACATGTTCCTTTGTTCTACTTGTTACATACAAGTATTCATATTACATATTTATTTATATAACTTTATTATCTACAAACACCACAATTGAGAAAAATAACATGAGTAAAATGATTTAGTGAGCTAGCTTATAAATAAAGGACATCCTTATCTCTAAAAAGCGATCTGTTCCAGGCAACCAAATGCGAAGGGAAAACAAGAAAGTACTATAGGTAGGTGGTGCTTGTGAAGGACGGACAAATGAGAAAGAAACGAAAAAGGAAGTAAAAAAAAGGATTAAGATCTGCAAAGATACAATTTAAAAACTAAGGTTTTAAAGGTATGGAGAGATTAAACTTTTCTGATATCAATAGGGAGAGAGTTCCATAGATTAATTGCTTTAATGGTGAAGGAATTATTGAAGAAGGAAGTCTTATGCGCGGAAATAAATAATAAAAGATTATGGATAGAGCGAAGATTCAGGGTATGAGAGCTTAATGGAATAAAGTTATCTTTTAAATAGGGAGGCGATTTGGGATCGAAGAGAATCCGATAAAGGAGAACAAGGACATGAAGATTTCTATGGGAGCGAATAGGCAGCCAGTTAAGTTTCCTGCGACATTCAGATATGTGAACATATTTGCGTAGACCAAAGATGAACCGAATACACGGGTTCTGAAGCCGCTCAAGATTATCCAGTTGCTCTTCCGTTACATCAATGTAAGAGACATCCGCATAGTCGAGGATAGAACGGAGAAGTGTGTGAGAGAGCAGGATTTAAGAGCATATAAGACTTGTTTTATTTACCTGAACATAACTTTGATCATCAATTCCCTCTTTTAATGGTACATTTACTGAGAAATACCGACCACTCTCAGCTCCAGTCTCATACATGTCCCCTGTACCAGGGAAGAAATAATTTCCATATTTGTGAAAGCTCACTGTCATAACTCGATCTGTTAAATAAAATGCTTCTTGGACGCCATCTCCGTGATGAACATCTATGTCTATATAAAGCACTCTTGGATGATACTTGAGCAACTCCAATATGGCTATAACTATGTCATTGACATAGCAAAATCCTGTTGAGTACAAAATATACAATGTTTAAGCACTTTATAAATACGGGCCTACTTGTAATTTTTATTCTTTATTATTTAACTAGCGACCCTCCCCCAGCTTTGCTCAGGTGCGATGCTGATACTAAATACACTGCAGAAAATCTGTGAATGTTGTATATAAAAACCTTTCTCTTGAATCACCCTACCTATTTAAAAAAACGCATGAACGTCTGTTGCGTAGTATTAAAGATTTAAGTGTACATAGGGACTGAAAAAGTAATATTGTTTTATACTATGTAGTGATGGTTATTTATGTGAGCACAGAACCAGGATAAATAAGTTTCTTTTGGGTAAATATCTTAATTTTACTTTAGACACTTGTTCCATTTAGGTAAAACATACCTGAAGGTTCAAATTTCTTAGCATGATGAAGGCCACCTGACCAATTTATAGCAATGTCACAAGCGTTATTGTTAAGTTTCATTGCCCCTTCTAAGGATGCACCTGTGTACATAGAGCAGAAATCAAAGAGTCCTTCAAAGACTGGACAGTCATCACCTACGTTATAGTGAAGCAAGTCTTTGGAATAACCTGAAAAACAATCATTCATCATTGTTTTTATTATAAACTTAATAAATATATAAATACATTTGTCACTCATTGTGTATTTTAAGTTGATCTTAAAAAACATGACCATCTTAAAGGTTAAAATGTTTGATGTCTTATTCCATTAAAAACTATTAATCAACTTACTTTGAATATTTTGTGGGGTAACATTCTGCAGGAATTCTATATAATCCTCACTATGGAAGCGACACATATCATGAGCACTTGCTCTATATGGCCTATAGATGAGCATCTTTTTATGAAGTCCATAATTAAGCACCAAACTGTGTGTTACGGAAAGTCGATGTGGTTTCATTGGGTGTCCCGGTCCATAATGAAAATTCCCCACATCAGAGTTGTAAAAGTAAGCCACCCTGGATTGAGTCATTGTTGAAAACAAACACGTATTCTTTTAGAATAAGAATAATACCAAGCACAATCGCAATAACAACTAAACGCTTAGTGAGCTGAATATCATTTAACATGCTTCGGTGATACTGGTTAGGTCACTTGATTTTACTGTACATTATGTAGATAATTTATCCTAAACAAAAACAATTTAAACTTTACAATCAATTTACCGCAGTTTTCTATATAGATTGAATATTAGCGAATAAGTAATAACAATCATCAACCACAGATACAGACTGCATGAGACTGTTATCTAGGACGCCAGAGCTTGACAGTTGAGCTTTGACACAATGTATTTTTTCATATACTGTCTTATATCGAGTTTATTATGATCGATATTAAATATGATTTTACGTTCATTTGTCTATTATCCGGATTTTCATCTTAACGTTAACTACACGAATTACAACACTATATTAATCGATAATCATTAGTTTTTCTTAGAATGGTATTACCATTCACAGAGAATGCTGCGCACAGTACAACAAACTTTTAGTCCTACAAAATATTTCCCCTGGAACCAGCTTCTATACCGATTCTAGTCAATCGATAACTGAAGACTATATTATTATGATCTCTTTTTCGTTAAAGTTAGTTTAATTCTTTTTTATCAATTTATTTCCAACATTCCAACAAGATTATTTGTTTATTTGATAGTGACAATGAAAGAAATAAATGGTTTTCATGTTTCTTTTGATATATTTACGATGAACTAAAATGCATGGGCCTATGGAGTTATGTACCCGATAAAAAATACCGTGAAAACCATGATGCCCCCAAAATGTAAGGTAAAACCTTTAAGTTAGTATCACTAGCTGTGCATTGACTGCAGCGCCGTCGCTTTTAATCGGCAAGTTAGAAGTATCCAACACAAAACGAAAACAAAAATTCTGCCTTGGTGTTAAGATAGACAGCCAAATGACCTACTTCGCATGTACAGTATGGTCTTATTATATTAAAGATATTAACTGAAGACTATGTTTAAGCTGAGCAGAAATATACATTGATATATTTAACCAATGATGTTATACATCCAATTTAGAGGAGTTAGACTGGGCTTGCACTAACAAGGTTACAATAAAAAAACAACACTGAACTTTTGAATTTTATTATTAGATTTACACTGTCATTTACAATAAATTTTCAGTAGTTGGTAGGGCATAAATCAATATTGCATAACACTAAGGCTAATTGCATCAGTATTTTTGTGGACAAAATTAACAGAAATATATGCAATACGACAAATTCAAATAAAATAACGCTAATATCTTACTCGGGCACGCACACACGGCACGCGGCAGCACTGGCGCATACGAGATGGAATGTATCTGACTCTACGTCGCAAATAAATTATCATTAACCGAGTGCTAACCTTAAACCTAGCACAACTTTACAACTACCGTTTTTCGTCCTGTAAAAATCGTACAGATAACATGTATAGCGCTACACAATGATATTCTCGAGAAATATGCGAAATTATAAAATAAATTAAATATACAAATCTCTATCACAATACTCGTAAGTAATTAAAGCGATCCAAGTGTGAATACTCCAAACGTTCATGTACGGGATGCCCCGGTACAGTAGACGTAACGACTATTTGTGCAAACCGAACCAGACGGACAATACAATGTTATCTATTATATCCACGTGATAACATACAAACCACTATTCGCCAAAATGTAATTAATAATTATCATAAATACATTAATCGATTCTGCCGCTATAGTGATCGTTATAAGATTCAACAGATTTTTAAAGTACAATAATAATTTTACACACGGTATAAAATACTTAGAAAATTTACAGTTCTTAAAGAGTAGCCACAGGTGTGTAAAGATAGCGACCACTATGAAGTAATAAGATCCCAGGCGGTACAGTAGACACTAACGAACGCTAAAGGAGCGGGGAAGCTAACTTTAAACTGTAGAGATCAATTTTAACGTTAAGAAAATACATTCTTAGCAACATACAATAAAATGCATTACCAAAGTACTTGTTTAAAATTTATTACGCGAAACAAACGTTCCATTATCATTATTATACTGAGTACACGTTTATATGATAACAATATTTTTGACTCATCAATGGCTGCCAATGTTTGTCTGTTAGTTAGTGGGTGGTGTCGTCGAGGGGATCTTAACGAGACGAGACTATAGTAATGTTTTTATATAAATAAAGCGCCGTGCGTAGAGTATTACGACACGTCCTGGTCCTCCACGTCCTGCGCGGGCTCTTTCTGTTCTGCTTCGCCTAGAAAAAAGACACGAATGAAATCTACTATTTGCGACTTTTAATCTAGCACAATCCCTTTGAACATCCTTAAATATTTAATTATATAACCGCTATTGACTACAAATACTAAAATAAATATTTAAGAGGATTGCCACAACGAGACGATTCTTTTGTTAATTTTAGAGATATTCGCAGATCCAATCTTGCAATCTTCAAAATATATTCAGAAAACTAACCGGACTCGCCGTCGCCCTGCATGTCGGAGGTCCAGAGGGTAAGGTTGTCACGCAGCAGTTGCATGATGAGCGTAGAGTCTTTGTAGCTCTCCTCCGACAGGGTGTCTAACTCGGCAATCGCGTCGTCGAATGCTGCCTTCGCGAGCCGACATGCGCGATCCGGGCTGTTCAGGATCTCGTAGTAGAACACCTACATATAAAATAAGTTTTTATTAGCAAAACTCTTTGGTGTAATAATGACTAGAATAATTAATTGAATAACCACATTTTCTAAACCTGATTATTGTAAAAGGCATACAATAATTCTATTTTTCCTTATTTTTCTCTTGATTGATATTTCTTTTAAGATGTTAATGTCTAGCCTATATCAGTTAGAATTTTTTGATTCTTTCAATATAATAATAATATAATCGATTTCAAATAGTTTGAAATAATAATAGTGTAGCATAAATATATTGACTGCTTTGTCAAGAGAAATACAAGACATTCTTACTTGTGAAACCTGATCATCATCTAACATTGTCCTCTGATTAAATAAAGTTGTTGTATAATGCTATTTATTCCCTTTAAGGATATATTTTTAAAGAGATTGAATCAGGTGACATTCTGATTAAAATGTCAGATTTCAATTCATGTCGAGAGAATTTATGTTATAAATTACATCCAGTTATTAATATGTTAAAAAATTATCCATGAGCAGAAATCATATCATGAGCAAAGAAGAACAGCTTGCATTTAACTTAGTCTGTTTCTATGCACTAATCTCAAAAATACTATAACACTATGTGCAGCAAACAAAGCTTACTTGGACCTAATAATTACCGCGCAATTAACAAATAATTGTAATTGAGAATTGTACTCACAGAGAAGTTAAGTGCGAGACCAAGACGTATGGGGTGTGTGGGTGGCAACTCAGTCATGGCAATGTCGGAAGCGGCCTTGTACGCCACCAATGAGTTCTCCGCCGCTTCTTTACGGTCGTTGCCGGTTGCAAACTCGGCCAGGTACCGGTGGTAGTCACCCTGTAATTGCAACATGTGTCTAAAATTTCAAACGTGATGTCTAATTTTCCATCCTAGGAAAATATTACCGTTATAAAACGTTTATTTTTAATGTACTAGACAAAGAGCAAAGGAATCGTTGCATGATAGTAGAAAAGTTCAGACTTTTGATATGATGTAAAAAAACTTATCCTCTACATAAAAATATCTATCAATTAACTGACACATACACAACAATAGATGTGGTCTTGTATCTGTGTCTGTATTATTTCTTATCTTAATGCCTAATCTCGTAAGTTAGTTGCTTGGTGAGATAATTTTTGACCCTACAATGCAGAATAATTATGGAAAATGTTTGAACCCAAATTTTTTTTTTAACTTCTGAAATGATAGAAAAACAAACTAATTTAAGAATTTATTAGGCAAATGTCACTTCTGTGAAATGACTTACCTTCATTTTGTAATAGAAGACCTTGGATTCGCCAGTCTGTGAACTGGGTATGAGATGCTTGTCGAGAACGTTGAGAATATCGGAACAAATGTCTCGGAGTTCCTTCTCCACCTGGCTGCGATATGCACGGATCATGTTAAGTTTGTCCTCAGCGCCCTGCAATTAAAAATCTATAACTTGTGGACAACCCCTATATAAATGCATATTTTATAATGCAGCTATTCTTTATGGTGTATAGTGCAACACTATCACTAGATTTGAAGATGTTTTGTCAACGCAATCCTTATCCTTCGCTGGGCATTGCGAACATGCCAATTTATTTAGCGTCAACGTGATGACCGCTGTACTTGTAGGATAGTACTTTCAAGCAGATCAGTATACTTTAGATTTAAATAAAACAGCAACGGTTTAAAACGCAATATTAATTAGTTAAACTTATATAAAAGTTATTTTAACTACGGCCCGACATTTCGAATGCGGTTTCCGTGACCACGGCTTATATTTCGCGTTTCAAACTGCTAAAGTGTTTTTATGAAATGTATACTAATCACGAATACTACAGACAGTATTTTATATTAGGTTTACATATTACAGAAGTTACGATGTATCGACAAAATTGCCATCTTACGGCGCTCCTACTAGAACTTGGTATAAAATAATAACTTCTAAAACGCTATTTAGATTTTAGTATATCATCAAATTAAATTAACCTGCCCAATTAAAAAAGAAATCATCATTTCGCCGTTCCGTCACTTAATCTGTTTATTAATTAGGGTAAGTGGGTCAATTCACAGCATTATAACGCATCCGTGTATGCATATAATTTTACCCACAATGCGTGGTTGAAAAGTATACTCATTTTTGGCAATGCATTTTTATAAATTAGACTAGAACTAAACTTAATAAAGCTACATTAGTCACCAGTAAAGGTCCGTGGACACGCCCAATAAGGATAAACTAATTTTTCAAGTAAGCGATAAACCCATTCACATTTACGTGGTATTGTTAATTGGTGAAAAGAGCCAATCAATATGCAAATCATAGTATTCGTGTCGACCTTGACTCACATTTTTGACCCCTAATAAGCAAGCAAAATGTACTAGAGTAGAAAGTTATTATAATCAACCCATTGTGGGTTCTCTAAGTCTGCGAAAGATCCCCAATATATTAATATGTTAAGTGTGGCCTTTATTTGGGTTGTAGGCAACAACAAACAAAAATAATAGAATTTAAGAGACAACTACAGCAGTGTTCATATTTTATTATCAAAATCGTGTATACTTTTTTTATGATAAAGTGAGAAAGACAAACACGGGATTCATTTGATGATAGTTGAAATACCCCAGTCATATAACATGTGAACTACATGTGCTATAGACATATGTGGCATCAGACATATTCCACACGTATTCTGTGTCTTTTTGCTCCCAATACTTTAATAATTATGCCTACATTAATAACTTGATATCTTGTATGTAGTTGTAAACTCTTGGCTAATTTACAGAATAATAACTAGATTCACATGGCAAGGTAACTCATGTCTCACAAGATTTGCACTCCCAAGTGAATTACTCATCCAGACATAAGACTATTAAATATTCAGTGCTAATTGGACAAAGATTTGTTACATGGAATGAATTATAATAACCCACCTTGAAGAGTAAAGGTATCTCATATTTCTCTTGAGAACAGACAGATTCTAATATATATTCAACAATTAAATAAAAGAAGGATGTGTAACTTGTAAAAAATATAAACAAATTACAGAATAAGATTTTAGAAGAGCAAAGATGTAGCTAAATTATAATTCATTAAAACAAAAGACATTTTTGAGACAGTAGATGTTGGATAACCTGACATCCTTATGTAAAATTGAGTGAAATTACCCATTTCACGCTGATTTATGTGAACTGCCATCAAAGTTTGTATAAAAAATAATAAGAGGAAGACTGGAACTACAAGAAATTTACATTCATCTTAGTAAAGAAAATATTTCTAATAGTTTCTTATAAAATGTATAGATAAAGAGACATCTATAAAAGAAATATGATTTTAAACAACAGGATTTAGACAAAACCCTTAATATACCCAAAACTTACTTTAGTTTCCTCCTTCTGTTCAATTGAGGAGATAATTCTCCATGAGGCTCGGCGGGCACCTATGACATTCTTGTAGGCAACAGAGAGAAGGTTCCTCTCCTCAACTGTGAGCTCATTGTCTGATACATTGCGGGAAGCCACATTTTTCATAGCATCAACCATTTCTGAAAACAGACAATCTTTAAGTGATGATAACATGTATAGTCTTACAACATAAAAATATTTAAAAGCTATGTTCATTGTTACCACATTTGTTACCTGGTAACCAATTTGAACATTATATTCAGTTTCATCTAAATATATACAATCTAAGGCCATACTGGTTCTCAACTGTAGAATTATTTAAATAAAATATTAGCTTCTATCTCAAGCCACATGATAATCAACTGCTCTCACGAGATCAGCAACAATAGGTGAAACCATCGTGGGTTGGTGACCTTTCGCTACTAGCTAACCCTCTGATCTAGAATATTCTATCATATTTCATCTATTAACTCTTCAAGGTAGGATATGCTTCACTGAGCTCAATGACATCGATCGGGCTGCCTATTGCCCACTAAATGGGAGTGATACCTTATCGATATCGATGTCTAAATTTGTCTCCGAAAATGCAATTGAGTTATGTTAATGCTATATCCCCTAGAAAAGTCTATCAATTTAAGCATTAAAGTTAAAAAATAAAGTCTTATATTAAAATAAAAGGCATCCCACCGGCGGATGACGCATCGATCGTTGACCAAGCCTAACGAATACGTCTCCATTCTTACTATATCAATTATATTGTAAAACTTAAATGTGTGATTACAGTTTTACTGGTTAGAAGGTATCAATACTCTATAAATTAACTCTCTAGACATTCACTTACGAACTATAATTTCTAAATCATCTATCGACTGTCGGCGAAAATAAGAAGAAATTTTAGGGTCTCCTATTATAATGTACAACCAAAATAAATGCTTACCATCATAGCGTTCAGCCTGTTCGGCCAATTTAGCCTTGTACACATTATCTTCCCTTTCCGACATAGTGGATTACAACTGATTTTTCACTAACTAAATCCAAATCGCCAGGTCACTTATTCACCAAGATGGCCGCGCCCGCCAACCGAATCCGAATTCGATCTTCAACTAAACTCCGCCCATGACGTCATATAAATGGCAGCTTCCGTTCAACAGTTGTTGCCATAAAATAATATGATATTTGAACACAGCTTATATTTTTATCACAGATTAATTAACAGCTTCAAATGGAGGCCAATAATAGAACCGCAATATAGTTAGTAGCAAAATTAATGTAAAATTCACTTTTCGTTTTTTGCCTTGAGATTACGTGGAGCATTTATTATTCGCAAGGTAAAAAGGAAAAAACATATTCATAAAATAATAGCTTTATTGCACAATGATAATAAATTAAAATTCAGATAACAAATTATTATAACATATAATTTTGTGTTGAAAATTAATAGACGACTTAACAATTTACTAGTATAGCGTTTTATTTTAAAACTAATTAAATATTAATAACAATCTCTGAAAATCATAAGTGACTTGCACTTCAAGTTAATTGTTGAATGCAAAAATTTTGATAAGAAAATAACACTTATTATGCAGATTTAGTAACAAAATGGCACTGTTAGCCCTTTGACACACTAGAAAGACATTAAACATTTTTTTTAGAATCAGTACATTCAACAGTTAATTAATTATTTGTTGATTTATTTATAATCATAAATAGTGCAATAATAACAGTATAAGCTAAATGGTTTCGAACTCTGACGAAAAAAATATTTTATAGGAATATGTTTTGATCATAAATCATAAGAGACTACAATAAGTATTTAAAATAATTATACACTATTACTATACAAATCTAACTTAGGTTAGGCTTTCAGAGTATGCACCTCCCTAAAGCACGCGTGATATATTGCCTTAAAAATACGTATCACTGCCTTTCTGAGCTTCTTAAAAAAATTGTATTTATAGCAGATATACATATATAGTGCGAACATGAACTATTTTATAAAAATATACATGACTAATATGTTTTATGTACATAGTATGAAGAAGTAAGGCGAAACAAGATTACTTTGTGACTGAGTTCACGGTTATGGAATTTTGTAAAATGGCGACACTATCTTTCACTTAATTTTGATTCTTTCGGATAATTATAATTTTATTTAAACATAAAAAAGATCTACACTTATAATTTAGATTGATGTGTTTTCAGAATATAATATAAGGGAAGGATATTCCCGTGCAACAAGTTCAAGAAGGCAAACAAAAGCTTGTGGTGTGCGAAGCGTCCTTACGGAAAAATGCTTAAGGAATGTTACCTAGGGCAATAGACAAAGCATAAAAATTTCTCGGAGCGCAAATACATTAGCGGAATGCTGTCCATTTGGGCATGGTCCCTTTAAACGTTTCGTGTTTAGAAATAGTAGTGACTGTAATTTGGTTTATTCACTAGCTGCAGGACTGGCAATATTTATCACAAAAAAATAATTTATATTTCACTACACATACAAGAGATTGCTGTTGAAAATATGACGCTTTTCATCTGTAACAAAATTTCAACTGTACATGTTAACTCTGAATATATACCAATAATAAAGAGAGTTTTCACTCGGAACATCAAATCTGGCTTGAAAGGAAGTCTACCTTATATATAGTTGTCTCTCTGGGAAGCAAATTTTAGAATTTGTATGACACAGACAACATATACTTATAGTGCCTTCTTATTGTATGTTTGATAATAAGGAAGAAATGTGCCGATTTATTTTACAGCTGGGCAGAAATCATGCCTTGCCATTTCAACGGCAGAAAGTAATGCCCCGATAATTGTATTATTTATATAAATCGTTTCCACAATCAAACATTTATTTTCAAACTACGCTATAATATAATAGCAGTTCAAAGCACGCCAATTATAGGGCAATAACATATACGTGTGCGATATTGTTGTGCTAAGAACTTTTATTATCGCTTAGTTTGAAAAGAGCTTTATGTGGAAAAATTCACGCGATCACACACATTTTCCTCAGGTCGTTTTCTTGTGGGTCGAGCGCATCGGGCGCTGCGAGCTGTTGTTTTCTAGTTACATCTGGTAAGTATGAAGTGTAGTTTAATCCTTTCCGTTCGTAGAATAGAAGATACGCGGCTGCTGGGTCTATGTGAGGTGCAGTCGCACCAGGTGGAAGAGGGAGTTCGCGGCAGGAACTGTCATTGTAACAAAGCCAGGTGCCGCTTGGGTGACGCACATAGGCAACATAGTGGCCGCCGCTTAGTTGACCAGTGTGAGACTGAAATTTATCGATCATTTTTAGCATTATAGTCAGCTGATTATTGCTTTTATAACAATATTATTAACATTATTCAAAAATAACTAAGATTATTTTATTGTAATTACGGCCCCACGTTTCGGGTGCTTTGCAGAACGTCGGATCATGCATTAAAAAAAAAATAGTTTAATATGCACTACTCCCTCAAACTACTGATGACTTTTATCTTTTATGAACATATTTTTATTGCAAAGCTGTATAAGAGCCAAATAATATAATCATTAAACATTTATAACTTGAAGACTGCTGGACTGAATCTGATGGATTTTAATTTCTTTTACTTTTTACAGAACAGTCAAATAACAATTCAAAACAACGAGAAGTGACAAAACAAATAATCTTCCTATATGAATTCTCTGTTAATTGTCTGTATCACATTCTCCAAAAACTTACCACAACAGCATACAGCCTATATTTCAAGTCGAAAGGATCCTGTTCGGGTACCAGATGGTGCTTGTGGTAGTCCATAAGGTTATCATCTAGAACAGGCGTCGTCACTAAACTGCTGGACTCCAACCGTTTGCGACCTCTTACTTCCACTTTTTTCCTCTCCGACCTCGTTCGGACTCTTTCTTTTTCGGTACCTTCATCTTCTGTCTCGCTCTCTGATATGGGATCGTCGACATCTACTAATAAAGAGGATTTACGCTTGCAACTGAGTTCTTTATGACGAAGAATAGTCTCTTGTGGAACGGATGCGAGGTACTGCGTTGGGTCGAAGTCGTGGAAGGGGAAGTTGACGACCTTTTGAGATTTGATCCATTTATTGTTCACGTATTGGAAACGTTTTAGATGGATTATCTGTAACCATCAAGTTTTATTTTCAGCAAAGTTTTTTTTACAATATTAGTTACACACTAATGGAAAATTTCAAGAATACTGTATAAATAAATAATATGAATATAATAAATAATATAATTAAACTTGATATTGTATAAAAACTTATTTAGGAAAAATTTAAATATTGATTTTTTATTTTTATTTATTTATTTACATGAGATACACATTACAATATTATAAGATGAAACATAAACCTATTCAGGTTTTTCCGTCCATCCGAAAGTCGATACAGAACAAATTATATGCTATGCTATGCTTAAATTAAAAACTTTAACAAATAAACAAAAAAGTAGACAATTTCTTAAAAGGCATTATATATTACTTAACATAGGTGCGTTCGTACTGATTAGCGTTTAGCTTTTAATATCCTTTTTCATATCTCAACTCTTAAGTATATAAATATCTACTTGTGATTTTGACATAGATGTATAACCCAATAGACTTACGAGAACTGGTGGAGCTCGCCATATCTGCAGTTTCTTGGTAGCGGGCTGAGCGGTGCGGCACGCTGCGCACTGGTACCGCTGCTCCAGCCGTTCCTCAGACGTGAACGCTTGAAGACAGCTGCCGAGATCTACGGCGCTACTGCCTGCACGTCGACACTCACCGACTGATACGTGCTCTACACAAGCCTGTAACCATGACATAAGACAGATTAATAAAAAAAATGAGGATCATAAAAGGAAAATTATTTTTTATTTGAAAATTATTTTTAACTTCAGCCCGATGTTTCGGATGCTGTGACCACGGCTGCTGCAAAGAATCCGAAACGTCGGGCCGAAGTTAAACATATTTTTAACTATATATATATATATCGCGTTTTAAACCTTTAAAGTGTTTTGTTTAAATCTAGCATATTGTCTAAGTAATATGATATGTATGGAATATATCGTATTACTAAGACAATTGATTTGTTACCTTCTCCCGAGTGGTTTGGTATCGCAGATGCAACGCCGTAGGGTCCCAGTCAATGGCCAGCATGACACTGTGCCTCCCGCGTCGTCCGTTTGCTACCAATACACTAAAGTCGTGAGCACTCAGCTCGAAGAGATCACCATCACTGTCAACTTCTTCCTGCATAAGAATCAATAAAAAGTTATAAGGACATTGGTCTATCCATTTTCAAAAAGAAATATTATTTTTACGTAGTTACTTCTATCCACACAAATAACAGATACAATAAGTGACTCTTAATTCACTTAAATGAGAATTTCCCCCTAGAACAAGGGCTTTTATTTATTAATTTATTATTATTCTTACAGAAATACATGTATACACAAAATTAGAAATAGACATTTATCAAATAATAACGTGAATTCTAGTTAAAAAAAAATAAGGCAACATGGTATTAGATTGGCAGTTAACAACATATCAGGATGTATAAAAAAAAGAATGAGCTGTATATAGCTTAGTAAATCATAAACAGAGTTAGCATAGAAGTATTAAAAACTTGAACAATTTTCACATGTTATTGCACATGATTGGATTACATAAAGTAATTACACATGACATGGTAGCTCAATTTTTTACAGCAGGTGCACGGAACGCCAAGGAAAGGTTAAAGGCCCGTGTCGACATTTTTTTTTTCAAATGTAAATTAAATTGAAATTGATTGTTGCCAAATAAAGTATTATTAAAAAATCTGCTGCATAGGGTTAGATTTATATAGACATCGCCACAGAGGAATATAAAAGAAAGGATGCCATCGGATACGAGTGTTAGATAGACTAAACTCACATAGGGCCTTGTGACAAGTCTAGCGCTGGCCTGCCGATGAAGCTTGGCCCTCGCAATGGGTGAACTATTTTCATCCACTGCTGTACTCCAGTATGTCCGCTCATGAGTGACTCTCTCCGATGTACCTGGAGCATTAATTTACAACAGACGTTAACTTAAAAAATCATAAATACTGGCATACACTCATCGGTGTCAAGTCTATAGAAGATATATGCAATTTTTTATATGGATAGACAAGCACAACTCGATGATAGTAAATACCCCAGCTACATCACATTTAAACAAGATGCACTGGTGACCCATTTTGGCTTTGGATATTCAGAAATCCACAGACTGAAACCGAAGCGCGATTAAACTTGATAGCTTCTCATCTATGATGGTGGTTTATGACCCGGACGGAACTTCAATATTTCTATCATTCATTTAATGTTTAGATTTTCAATATATTTCACAAATCGATTAGAAAAATGATAGACCCGGTGGGAATCGAAGCCACATTCCTTTGATTATCAGCCTTACATTGCTACCATTGCACCAACGATCCTGTCTATTTTTTCTTACTTGACATTTTTGGTAAACAAACACACATTTACATAAAAGTCCCAATCATGAACGCCAGAAACCGTTACAAACATCGGCTTAAATTAAATAAACAAGATATTTGTTGTGGTCCTTTGCCAAGTTAGAAAAATACACTACAAATATCATTATTTTACATCATACCTGCAGGTTGTGGAGCGAGCAATAAGGGCGTGTCGTCACAGGGCAGTGCACATCCGCGACATAGAGCCGGCCAACCACAGCGCGCGCACCACGATCCTTCGTTGTTCACTACACGCAGCGTAAACGGAAACTCGTAGCCCAGGCTATCGTCACTGATAAAAAATGCTTTAATTCTTAGAACAAGTCAAGAAAAGATACTATCGGTATTACATTTTTTATGATTCAGTGTTTCTTTTAGTTTTGGCTATAACTCAGAGCATCGACCGGTCCCTATATTTTGTTTTGATAAAAAAAAAAATGTTATTAATTACACTACTAATACTAGTAATGTGTACTATCCGCGTTTACAGACAGTATTTAAGATTTATATAGCTTACCAATCAGTAGCATGGTTGTGTCGGTCTGTGCTCGGCGGACGAGCGGACAAAAGACGCGCCAACTGCGTCCAGACCGCAGCGTAAATGTCACGCCCGCTGGCACCCGCTCTCACTGGGACCACTACGGGCACGCCGAACAGCGCAGCGCGACACCGTTGCCAGGGCAGAAAGTACGCGTCGGACCGGCATTGTTTTCTACGTATTTCAAAACAAAATATTACATTTCGACGTCAATGTCTAAGACATAGAAGATATAATAATAGTATATGTATTATTATTTAGTTGACTTCAATGTATCGAAATACAACTATACAATGGCATTCGATAGAATCTGTTGTACGTGTAACGTACCTGTGTACAGCTATAAGGTAATGTGTGTGAGTAGTAGAACCGTCAGCCAACTCCTCCATTTTGTGCATATCTGTAGGGGACGAGGGGAACTTGCTTCCCAGCGCATCCCCTCTATCCCAACGTTCTATTCCCGTGCGTGGTAATGTTCTACTGCGTAATTCACTAGGCCGTCTCTCACCATACATAATACCGGGTGGGCTCTGGGACATAAGAATTTCCGATCTTGACCGCTGAAACGGTCACACTTTTTATTGCCATTACATCCTTGTCTATGTCTTTGCATTGGCGAAAACGAGTCTTTCTAGAAATTTTGAACGCTAGAAGTGAACGTGCTGGAGGGGATATTCTAAACAAAGTTATTTGTAACTTCTTTGAAAATTACCCCCTTGTTCAAGATTCAAATATCTGACACACTAAAGTATACATTTAATTCATAAATAGATAAAAACACTTCTTTAAATTGCTTCTGATAATAATAAACACGTTAGTTGAAACTATTTTTTATATGCAATTTTTAGGAAATAGGTACATTTTGATATAAATTACGGATAACGTAAATTAGGGCAAATATAGGTAATGTAAAATAGTTGCTTTTTATCGTGCAATGATTGTTATAATCAATAACATGTCGATAAAAATAAAAAGAACTATTCTCGTATAAAACATAATTCCAAAGTCAACTCACCTCCCAGCCTTGCGTACCTGCACTTTAACTTCTAGCTATGTGAACTGTGCAAATCAACACATCGAGACTACTGTTTCAACAAAATATATACAAAAACTACACTACATTAGCCTGTACGACCACGCAACAAGACACGTTTAAGTGACAATGCAAAGACCACTGAATAAGCGAAAACTAAAACTAAATAGATGTAAGCGACTATGTACACTGGCATTCTGAATTCATGAGTTGTTTCCTTACATACCAGGACTATGCTAATTTCTTCTTGGTTCTAGTAATTAGTACAATCACAAACCACGGAGTCCTGATTACGAATCCCGGATCGGACTAAGAGTTAGTTCGGTATTTGTTTTTTTTAAAGATTTTTTTATAGCAACCCGAACTTATAATTACGACCCGAAGTTACGGTAACATCACAGTCACAATATTGCTAGAAAAACGTCGGGTAGTAGCTAAAAATTAGTTATATAATATAGTTCTAGTTTACTGCTTTTTTTTAATCGTATGTTTAAATAAGTGCGTAACTAATAAATAGTTAGTATTTAAATTACTTCTATTAAATGCCGACCAAATATGATAAAAATTATGGATAATCCTAACATCCCTTCTTAAATATATTATTTTGAAAAATATTATTATCGCATAAATGTGCCCAGAAATAATTAAGAGAATTTTATGTTTATTACAATAAAATCATTGTGCTGTTTTTGATTAGTAAAAACATCGAAAGCTTTTTTGCGTATTCTTGTAAAAGTCTTGTCTACTAGTCTATACTAGTGGACATTAAATATAATAATTAAAATATTTATTCTTTATTAGCAATCCCTTTGAATTAGTAGTAGTTATAAAAGAATAGTGTATTTACAAAGGATTGTTTTATCTCTAAGAGTTAACGATCAGGATGAGTGGATGTTACGGATGGATGGATTCGTGGTATGTCAGTGCATGGCATCTAACCTTAAAGCAGAAGAGTGCGGGCATGCAGAGGCTGGAGGGCGGAGCGCGGGGCGCATCACTCACCTCCGCGCTGCGTTCCGCGCTAACGCTTGCATCTGTGTGATCATATTAAATATATTTATTTTATGATAGAAGAGGCTAGACAAGCAAGGGCTTCGCTTGATGGTAGGTCAGTCATATAACATCTAAACTAGGCACGCTATCGATCTCTTTCGCTTTTAGATATCTGGAAATCCACAGACTAAAACCGAAACGCGATTAAATTTCATGGCTTTTTCATCTGAATGGTCGTTCGTGACCCGTCGGAATTTAAATACACCACCCATTCAATATTCAGATTTCCAGACGAAACCAAATATTCTGGACCCAGTGGGGATCGAACCCACGATCCGTTGATTATTAACCATACCATTACAGCAACGAGCTAGACAGAATAAGGTGTTTACCAAGGTTGAATCATTTGAAATATTTCAGCAGTATTATACTGTTTGGGGAGTATAATAAATGAGTAAAACGAGTTTTATTTGACATTATTATAACGCGTTATTCTTTAAAAATTGTAGTTATACTGACCATGTAGCGACGCCTCTATCTCGGGCGTCAAAGCGGCCGGCGGCACCTCGTACGCGTACAGGTCGCAAGCGGTACTCGCGGAGACTTTGCTTGAGTCGTCCAGGATTCTCCCGATTCGGCATCCCGTTAAGAGCACTAGCAGCATCCTGGAAAAGAAGTAGAATTATATATTAATTGACAACTTACAACAAATAATGACATAAACATAAAAAATCAATTTAGATTACGGCATTTCGAGCTGTTGCTCTAAACAATTGAGCTACCGTGTCGTCACAATCGGTTAGAGCCTGGAATCACGTGACGTCGTAAATGAACCGAAGAGATGCTATGAAACTTTATTTTACTCTTTATACTAAGTAAATAGACTTACGATTCTGAAGGCAGCCCACAGAGTTCAGAAAGAGATTTCTTCAAGTCGAAGTAAGTTCCCTCCGAGTTCACACGTACGCCGTACTTCACAGGTATTGAACCGTCCAGTAAAATTACTGCAATTTTAGATAACATATAATTGATGTTATATTATAGACCTAAAGAGTATTTTAAAGCTTTGGATTTCATTTATATAAATTTGTATTAAATATAAGTGTATCCTTTAACTGTTTCACCAGTATTTTTTCTGTATTTCTATCAGTATTTCTTTATGTTTTAATTACCTTTAACTTCGGCACGCACAAAAGCCTCCATAGGTAGCGGCAGACTGAGCATATTAAATGTATCGAACCTCAACGACTCGCGCCCACACACTGAACATCGTACCCTGGAGAAATAATCATTATAACCGTTGGTATATGCTATTTTTTAAGATTTTATTTATGTATATATATTACAATAAAAATAAGTAGTAAATATGAGTAATATATAACGACAGGCATTAGTATCTTATGAAACAACTAGCTGTGTCAGCGACTTCGTCCGCGTAGAACAGTTATTTTGGGCATCCGAATTCGTTTTTGCAAACCGAGGAGGTTTCATTTTTATAAATATATTCGTCACGGGAGGATGTTTTATAGCCTTCCTCGATAATTGCTCTAAACAACACAAACTAATTTTTCCCGAGATTAGCGCGTTCAAACAAACTCACAAACTCTTTAGCTTTATATATTAGTATAGATTATCCATGTTCCGATTTACACAACAACACCCACCTCGATTTCAACTGTCCATAGAACAAATCAGTCATAATAGACGCGTTTCTCGCTTCGTATTGTTGCCAGGCCTCCGCCGCTATAACTTCGTCCGGCCGGCGTTCGTTAGGCGTAGATGTGGCGGTGGGCGTGGGAGTGGGAGTGGGTATAGAGGCTCTATTTAGATCCTCGTGTAGCGCGTCCAGCAACCAAGCTAATAGCTCTTGAGCGTCGTGCTGTCCCCCGCCCGCGAGAGCGCGTGCCCATCGCGAGACACACCAGCGCACGCGCAGTGGTGCTACTGATCTCGCCCCACTGCTCCAGACCTGAGAGGATTCAGACATCAATAAATACTGCTTCCAAACATTGTCACAGCCAACTATTGTATATAAAGACTGAGATGAGAGAGAAATATTCTACAGATGTCGTTAATCCTCCGTTTAATTTGATAGTTATCATTAATTTCTTACTAATCTTTCTTGCTATAATAATCACTTCTTCATTTAATAATCGAAAACAAATTGAATAAATTTTCGATTCTGGCAGGACTTGAACCGGCATCGTCAACGTTCCGTGCTGTTGCTCTACAAATTGAGCTAAAGAGACCTCATCATCGAATTTTTCAATTTATTGTATTATTTTCGATTTTTAAATTATATAGTGCCATCATGTGCAATAACATTTGAAAAATAAGAAAGTTTTCAAACCCTTCTTCATCATTATAATAACTATTATTATTATTATTCTTATCTTACGGTACATTATCTCTTATACATTTCTTAAAACGGATCTCTTTTATCGGATTAAAACTCGATATATGTGAGTTACCTTTTTAATTTTAACTACGGCCCGATTTTTCCCAATGTATGTACTATTTATAACATAAGTGTGTTTATTATACTAGAGAGCTTAACTAACCTCTTTACAGAGCTCCCCATATCTCACAGCCAGTGCTCCGCCGGTTCCAAGTGGATTTGTTGTATTAACTTCGTACAGATGTAGACCAGAGTTGAAGTACCGTCTCAGAGGACCCGTGTTCCACACCTATATAAATACACATAACTACTGATATATCTGGACATTGGTAAAATAATATAAATGATATATTACTAGGCGTAATATGTACGGTTTAATGACTGCATGTCAGCCCAAAACTGATTATATTTTTTTATTCAACCAAATAAAGGTCAAAGGCAGCAGGACTTGCATGATATTCTGGTCCTTTGAGCCGGATGTTGTACGACATATAGTATGCTACTGATTTATAAAACAAAATATTTACGGCTTGCAACGCTGCATTCATAAAGCAAGTGTTGCCAAGATTGTGCAGACCGGTCGCACCAGGCAATTCCGGGGCTGTCAGTGTCTCACGCCGTTCGGTCACGCGACAGGAACTGTAAATGTATAAAATATATACACGAAACGCTTTAATAAAATAATCTATTTTCAAATCAAATCCTAAACGATACTTACGCGACAGAGATCAATACTAGTAAGCTACTATCTTAGTCGCAAATAGTCTTATAAGTTTTTGGTTACTTTAAAATGTAAAATTCCTACCTTAGCGCACCAATTTCTTCAGGCCAAGTGAGGTCAGAGTTGCGCACTTCTAGCAATAAAGGAGCACGTTCTGCCAACCCTAGTGCTTGTAGGGTGGGTCTTTCGTCATCTAGCAGCAACGAACCTTCATCACCGGATAGAGACCACAAGCGGACATCTTCTCTAGCTAACCCTAATGCTTGGCAGAGGAACTCGGTAACCTAGAATTCATAAGTAAATTCTACTTATTCTCAAATTTTGTGAATTACAAAGTATGTTATGTAAGTTATATACCTGTTTTACGGTTGCAAGCCTAGAAAATGCTGCAGTGTAAGCCAGGTGTCGGTCAGGTGGTGATGGGGCGCTAACAGTCGGTCCATAAATGGCCCCGCCCACACCGATGCTACCAGCTCCCATACTGCCCATTCCGCTCATAGTCACCGTTGATCCTACGAAATAAATGTTATCATTAGCTAATTTATAAATAGGAATAAATTTTAGTTTGTCTACCGTTAAAGGTACAAACGGTTGCTCTGATTAAAATTCTATATTCACTATAAGTAAGTTCGTAAGATCTATTCCCACCTAACTATATTTTTTTAAATAAATTTATAATTTTTGTGAAACATGTTGAACTACGGAAATATGGATCTTAAATGGGCTGCAGAGATAGGTCAACAACGCATCGTGTTAGATGTCATATGGCTGCGCTATTTCATCATTCATCAAGTGAGCCCCATCGCTTGTCTGTCCGCGTCTAAGGTAGAAAAAATCAAATCTTTTTTAAAGCAGAAAGACTATAATTAGCACTTACTTTGTGAGTTAGGAACATGACGTAATATTTTCAATTGCAGAGGGTAGAGTTCCAGCTCTACATCCGAGTTTGCTGGTCTTATCACCTGCAATGTTGACATACACTTTAGGACATTTTAATCAACAAAAACAAACAAAATTATACAATAGAAACCTAAACATAAGAGTCGGGTAAAACGTATAAATATATTTAAAAACTAGCCCAAAAACATCTATCGATAAAAGAGACACACGTATGTCTGTCCTATGCCTCAGAATGGTACTTAAGACCTGTTCTGGACAGGGCTTATCTTATCAACCCCAGCTCTTTAGACCACGTTACCATGTTATCCTGCGGTTGGATCTACCTAAGAACTAGGACATATATTCTACTATGATGTAGTATATTTTACCTGTCTGGGCAGTGGGTCCGGCCCTCCATACCAAAGCGCTATAGCTCGCCACAGCGCATCAGGAAGCAACTCAAAGTCGCGGTGTTGCGCAAGAGTCACATCACGACGCAAGTGACCCCCTTCACCTGTCAGCGTGCGCACCTGAACATATCATGTCATTTTTAAAACTAACCGGTTTTAAACGTTATATGGTTATGCTCGGTGGTAAAAATTTACACTTAGCTTTATGTAAGAAATCTCAAAAACGAATGGCGTCATTTTATATCTGCATATTCAAGTTGAGAGTCCATTGAAGTGTCTCTTGGCTTATACAATTACATGTGCTACATAAGTACTACACAATTACGTACTAAATATATAAATTAATATTTAGTACGTAAGCGTAACTCGGCAAGCTTTTCACACAGAAGGATTATCTCTACTGGTATGCTCAAACTGTCATAATATAACAATCTAGGATATATAGTTCCTCACTGTAGATTGTATACCTTAAGTGTGTTTGGTGCAAGCAGTCTCGAGTTGTCAACATGGCCAGGGTGTGGATGGGATCGATGCAGCGGATGAGGTGGTGGGGCCGAGCTGACCCCGCTACTACTACCTCCACTGCACACTGAAGCCGTCTCGGCGCGCCACATCAGGGAACCCATGGATTCTGAATGAGATTTATATATACACAACAGATATACAAAGTTTAAATAATAACATAAAAAGGTGTTCAAATTTTTTTTTAATTCTTGCAGTTATAAATAAGCAGTAAGGGATTTAAACTAAATGTATTCTTTTATAATTTTAAATTTGTCATAATAGTGAATGCCGTTTCCCAGCGTGGGGGTTGCGGCGAAACATTTCTGTGCCCGTTTTACTGATCGTTATACAGGCAAGTAGTGGATCAAACTTCTGTGCTCAGTCCGACCGCAACAATTTGTTGTTTGGGATTCAAATCCAGGACCTCTCACGCTTGACTCAATGTTAGTTCGTAATCATACAATAATTATGTAAGTATTATATTTATTTATTGTCTTCATATGTAACTATTTTTTCTAGTGATAACAATATCAAATTATTCACAACTACCCGCGTGATAAGTAGAAAATAATTGTATACTTAAGTTTATCATGTAAGCGATATATAATGAATGATAATTAGCATAGCACATGATGTCTATTTTAAAAGTATCTAGTAAATGTACCAGTTGAATTAGTAGTGAAGCTGTCATCGCAGACAATAGCGTCATCTATAGTTCGTGTGTTGCGACAGCAAGAGTGGGGGGGCCCGCTGGAGTAGAGTAACCACGCGCTCCACCAATCCGCAGACACCAGGTACCAGAACTGTCCCACGGAGAGCCCTCTGCAAGTTTCCCGGCGAAGCCAGCCCAGCACTGGAACGTTAAAAAAAATCATACACAAAACTCAATAACTCAAAAGTGCTTTGTTTGAACTCGCTAATCTCTGGAACTACTGGTAGGAATTAAAAAAATGTTTTCGTGTTGGTTACAGCATTTATCGATTAAAGGCTATAAAACATGCACATGCACTGCGAGTAATAGGAGCGAAGAAACAGCGGGAAATGTAAAAAAAAATACAAGGAAAATTATTATTCCTTGTGAGCCTCCGTTGCGTCCAAAAATATGTATGAAACAATGATTCTTCTTTAAATGACTAATATAATGAGTATGTCTTCTTTCTTCTATCTTTTGTGATTCACTCGCAAAAACGACGAGACGACAAATTTTGTTGTTCAAAATAACTTTAATAATCTATGCGGACGAAGTCGCTGGCACAGCTATTAACAATTATAAAGCGCAATGTTTAAAAAATTAAAACTAAAATGGGGAAATCCTTTTTAGTTTTAATATTTCGTGAAAAAAAATATCATACTCGTAATAAATAGCTAAATAATTAGGATCATTCAAGACAGTGTCATTCATATAAATCTAGAATATTCTAAAATATCGAAAGATAACCGACACAGTATTTACAACGTAGAATATTAAATATAAAAAAATCCACTCTTTGACGACCCATTAAAGTCTAATTACGTATTGGGTCATGAATTTGTCATAATTATTTATACACATTAATTTTTTGTTCTACAACTTAATTCAATTTTACAATAGTAAGTATGTCCTTGTGATCTTCAAGCATATACGTATTATTATAATTAGAAAATATTATTTAAATGTATCGAAGTAAATCTGTCAAAATATCGAAACACAGATCTGATAGCTATGTTGACAAACAGTGAAGTTGCCTGCGCGTGCGCAATAGAGGTCGGTTTTAAAAAAAATGCTTGGTTTACAAACGCCTATTACAGCACATACATTATCATATCCACCGCGACCTTGCAAATGAGAAAGATAATGTTGCGAAATTATCAGGAGGGAATTAAACCGTTTACTTAACAGTGATACGGGGGCGTGGACCCCTTTGTGACTACACAGAATAATGTAATTAGCGAGACAGCAAACAAATGCGTGGAATTTTTTTATCGTCTCAGCTTGACCATTCCTTTGGGAATTTATGAATGAACTTGAAACAAAAGGTAAACAGATATCTATTTATAATTTCAATAAGCATACATCACTACGTTCCGTGTAGATATTGTTCATATAAAATTTGTTTTAGTACAATAAAGAAGTACAATTAGCTCATAAACGTCACGGTATCTTTATTGTCGCGTTTTATATAAAGAAAATATACAATTTGACTTTAATCCTTAAAATATGATCTGTTTACTTTATTGAAAAGAAAAGTCATTACATACAAAAATGTAAATGCTTTTTAAGGCTACGATATAAAGAGAGTACCAGTGATTGTGACTAATATAGTGTTTTATTCATATAAACACTTGTAAACTTCTTATTGTCCCTTATAATTCTAAATAACATTTACATTTAAATAAAACACTTTAACGGTTTAAAACGCGATATATTAGTTAAACTTATTTGGAAATGATTTTTAACTTCGGCCCGACGTTTCGGATGCTTTGCAGCAGCCGTGGTCACGGAGAGACTAAAGAGTTAAAAATCTTTTCCAAATATGTTTAACTAATATATCGCGTTTTAAACCGTTAAAGTGTTTTATTTAAATGTGTACTACTCGCGTAAACTATAGACAGTATTTAACATTTACATGTCAGCGACAAAATGAGGTATAGCTAATTTATGTTGATAAAGAAGTAAATGAGAACCTATATTGCCATTTTTTGACAAATCAACGCATCTTATCTACTATTTTACACATGCTTCGAGTGACAGAGACAACATATTGTATAACATGCGAGGTTAACTCACCAATATCCCGCTCATGGTGTTTGCAGTGTGGCCGCAAGCCCAGCACAATATGGCACACTTCGAACACAAGCTCGAGAAATGGAGCAACCAACGCCTGTGCACTTTCAACACTCCATATAAGGAAGTCTTCGGCCGCTAATGCCATCTCCTTTATACTGTCATCATCAGCAGACCCTTGAATTACTTCGGACTTTTCTTTGTCCTAAAAACACAATTTTAACTTAAATAAAGCCTTTTTAATCTATATTAATATTAGAGAGCTGAAGAGTTCGTTTGCTTAAACGCGCTCATCTCAGGAACTACTGGTTCGAATTGAAAAGTACTTTTTTGGGTTGATTGACCGTTAAGGCTGTGTCTAATAGGAGCGAAGAAATAGAGAGAAATGTAAAAAAAATATTGATCGTTGACAGTTTCTGTTTTGTAGTATCTTTTAAGATCTTTTTAGATTGGCTATAATTTTTATAGATCAGAAGAAGGTTTGGAGGTTGGTTCAAAAAATGTTGATATCCAAAATATACCACGCCAACGAAGTTGTGGGCACAGCTAGTTTAATATAATTTGTATTAGCAGAGAAAATAATGAATACAACGCGACACATTGTAAAGTCCAATTAAGAAAAGTACAGATAGATAATAATATGTTTAAGGACATGTTTGTTTTCAATTACAAAGCATTAGGGTCGTAATTTGTGGTCACAACTTAAATGACTCATATCACTTTAAACTGACCTGATGCAACATTATAATGTCTTCCTCGTATGTCGGTCCGAGTTGGAATATAGGTTTTGTGCCATTTTTCGGTACAGTCACCAACTTGTCTCTCAGGTTAAGAAGAATTGTCTCAGCATCAAATCCCTTTTCGTGGTCATAGTCGCTGTCGGAGGGTGTGGACGCTCTGGAACCCTGATTCTTGATGGACTCATTCGCCACCGTACACAGTATGTCCACCATTTCAACCAACTCCTTCCTATTGAGGACGCCATCTCGATCCAAATCGAAAACTTTGAAGCAGACTGTAAACAAGGTTTAATAAGTATTCATAATCATTCGTTCAAAGCGTGTAATAGTTTTGGAAGCATGATCAAATAAGGTAGCCGAGAACTCGTTAAAAATTCGTCAAAAATAATACTACAACATACAGTAAGCAAATAAAGGAACAAGTACCTCAATATTTTAGTTAAGGCAGATGTGTACACATTTCCAAGAATTAACAAAACCGTATCGGATGAAAAAGAGAATATTTCGTGCGTGTAATAAAACGGACGGATGAAATCGATATTAACTAACGCGTGAGCTATTAGTGTTGGATTTATTACTGACTGCCTAATACGTTAAAAAAGTAATTAAAGTTTTGATTCGAGTAGAAAACGCCGTTGTGCACTCGAATCGAGTGTATTCAGAGCATCGACGGAATATAGATAAGATATGTTAATCTATCAGTAGCAATGACAATTAACATATGTAACTATAGATAATAATGATTAACGTAGCTATTGAGTGAGGTCCCTTGACCTATATCTACAAGATCGGCGTTATTAGTCAAACTGTGAAATGTTTCTATTAAAACTGAACTATTATTTAATAGTAAAACATTAAAGACGACATAATAAAAAAAAAATACTAAAAGAAAAAATAATAATCTATACTAATATATAAAGCTATGGAGTTTCTTTGAACGCGCTAATCTCAGGAACTACGGGTTCGAATTTACTATAAAATATCGTGCTCTCTGACAGATACAGCGGGAAATGTGAACAAAACGGGAGAAATTTTTCATCTCTGATAAGATACCTAAAAAATGTGTATAACAGAATGATTCCTCTTTAAATGATCGAAAAATAATTCCGCAACGCTATATGTCTATTTTTTAAGATTAACTTGCAAGAACGACGCGAATGAACGCGGTCGACGTCGTGGCTAACAGCTTAAGTTTACAAAGATGACGGGGTTTGGAAAAACTTGTTTGGATGCCCAAAATAACGATTCTCGCGGACGAATTCGCTGGCACAGCTATCATATATGTGAGTTCATTGGTAGTTAGTTTATTCAGGAGTTTTAAGTAGTAAAAAAAATATATTAAAACCTAAAATAACAAAGTGTTATTCAAATACAGACTACAGCGAACGTGACAAGTTTTTTATGTTAATTCTTAGCAAAATATTCGTTCGCTTTAAGTTTCTTTCCTTATTACTATCCTCCTTCGTACCTCATTAGTTAAACGCGTTACCCAGCATTACGTGCATAAACGCGTGATGTCGTGGGGTCGAACTTTGAGGAAAATAGTTTCGGATGTACCAGACACAATGTGTCTAATACAAATACCTTTAATTTAGATCAGATGTGTGTCAAGTCCCATCGAGGGGAAGGGAATTTTCACTTTTACATTTATATTGCTATACCGAGAACACTGTTTGATTGTAAGATAATTGATAACATTGAAATGTCTCCGGTCTTATATCAGATATCAAATAAGATTGCAATACGTATTCAAAGTTTAAAAATATATGATTAAACAACTTAAATGATAATACATATTTAAAAAAACACTTTAATAGTTTAAAACGCGGGACCACGGCTGCTGCAAAGCATCCGAAACGTCGGGCCGAAGTTAAAAATCATTTTCAAATAAGTTTAACTAATATATCGCGTTTTAAACCGTTAAAGTGTTTCATTTAAATGTGTAATACTCTCGTAAACTATAGACAGTATTTATGATACAAAATATTGAAATAAGTCGTTTTTAACGGTTTAAACCGCAAAATATATATGATTATTAAACATGGTGGGCGTCCCTAATGTCAAAGTCAACCTACACTAGTGCATATTACTTACAGACATTATATTATACATATTGAGAAAAATTAATGATTAATATTTAACTCTTCATGATTTAGTTTATTGTTCTCGTACTTTCATAAGACCAGTTAGAAAATGTACTTCAAGATACCTATTAGAGATTGTGGTTATATAATACCAATGTAATAATTCCAACAGTTTTTGTTCTAAGAACTATAGGAAGATGTGTTATTGTTTAGGTAAATAATTATTCCACGATAAGCTACGAAGAACAAGCGAACAATATAGATGAATATTCACGGAAATTATCAGTAAGTGTAGTCGACGAAAATCTAAAATGACAATCTCGTTGAGAAAATACAAACCTAACAAGATTATATACACCATGTGACTTACATTAGGAGAGTAAATGAGAACCGAGATGTCTTTTAGTTTCAGAGCTAAGACCAAGGTTACACATAACAGTAAATCAGTAATATCATCACTCATCATCAATCGTAAGTAGTTTAAATTACTTAACGGCGTAACAAGTGTTCATGTGACTGACTTGACTGCGCTAGACCTTTTTAAATGAAACTTTTTAACGGTTTAAAACGAGATGTGTATTAGTTAAACGGATGTCTCCCCGTGACCACGGCTGCTGCAATGCATCCGTAACGCCGGGCCATAGTAAAAATAATTTTCAAATAAGTTTAACTAATATATATTGTGTTTTAAACCGTTAGAGTGTTTTATTTAAATGTGTACTACTCGCTTAAACTACAGACAGTATTGCGCTAGACCTTCTCATGTCCTATATTATGTCTAGTCACTGACTGTTCATTAAATGCATCATCAACTAAACTAGTAATGCGTATTAATTTAAGAAACAATGAGAATTCTATCAAAATGTGACTTGTCGTTTCCTCAATTACTAGCTGAGCCAGCGACTTCGTCCACTAATAATATTTATTTTGATCATCCAAATTCGTTTTTCAAACCCTTTTCTCTTTGTAAACTTAAGATTGTACCCACAATGTCGGTCGCGTCGCTTACCATTGTTCTTACAAGTTAACAACTTTTCAGCCGTATTAGTATAGATTTCAAAAATGTTTAGTAAATGGAATAAGTTTGAATAACTAGGCATTTTTCAATATGATTTAATCTTTAAGTAATTTATTCATAACTTGTATCCAGCCAGTTTATGAGTAAGTCTTCGTATGAATAATTATTACGTGTATTTTCTTGTTTATATGAAGTGTATATAGAATAATGCACACCTGACCTTTGAAGGCGGGGAGTTCAAATCTCGCGCAAAACGTTTTTTTTAACATCTAACCAAAATGATATAACGAATATACGTCAATCGTTACGTTCGCTACTTCAAAGTTTTGCGTTGCTTTAGGTTTAAAATTAAGTCTACAGAACCGTATTGAGTTAAGCGCTTCTTAATTCTCTAGGGTAAAAACGGCGTAAAAAAATCTAGATATTTTTTTACGGTAGGTTTTGCTTTTTGTGCTTACTATAAACCGGTAGCACTAGCAATTAGTATTAAATATTAAAACAAAATTATAAGACGATCGCACAAATCTTGTGATACATTAATTTGGTTATTAGGCAACAAAGGTTATAAATCACGCAATGGTAAAAACAAAGATTTCCTTTAGTACTGGAAAATCTAAGGCCGTTGTCTTATATGCTCTCTGTAGATTTACGCAAAATTTGTAATGTCTTGTCTTCTTACAGACTGAAGTGAGATGGTACATATATGAGGTTTAGATTCGCGTGTTTTATTACTTTGAATGGCTATTTGTCGATACGCGTGCTGTTAACGAGTATGGCTAATAGCCAATACATATGTTATTATACAAAAACGCGTCACGTCGCTTACTATAGCGTTTATAGAAGACCACAGCCTTACGGGGGATTATTAATTATTTTTTCTACGAGAATATGACTGGCACGAGTTGGACAAGTGTGAAGCTCAACAGACCGAAAAGATGATAAGCATTAAAATCATTGATTGCTTTTTTTCATACCTCCACAGTCTAAGTACAATAAAATGACAACTTGTATTTAAGATCGTAAACATAACTTTCAAGGACTTCTAAGACTTGCAACAAACAAGTTTCCTGCCAATATCCAGTACGGGTACGGGTACAAATAAAATATTCACTCTTTAGTGTACAGGACAACACAACATGTTTCAAGAAATAATTCCTTTAAAGACACTTCTTGGAAAACGAATTTCAAGGCCAACACCTGTTGTTTTTGCTTTTTTCTTGTATTCACGTCAAGTATTGTGATTTTCTTATAAAACTAATTGAAATATTTGCGATCAAACGGGTATTAAACATGTTGGTTTTCTTGCCAACAACCCAGTTGTACACATTTGTTAGTCATATAGTGCGTAGAGAGAGTATGTTGTTCACATAATTGCATATAGCTCGTCAACCTAACTAAAACAGATTAAGTACTTACATTTGAGTCGCTCAGTCTGTGGCCCTCGACATGCAGCACTCAGACCACAACATAGCTCCTTAAAGTCAATATGACCATCTTTGTTCTCATCAAATGCCAAGAAGAAACCAGTCACAGCAGATCTTGGTAGGGGTGGAGAAAGGAGTGACTGGAGGCTGTTTGCATCTAACTCTCCAGTAGGGGTTGAGTTCCGAAGAGACCAGAAACACTTTTCCAACTCTATTATATCCTACACAAGGGTAAAAGAATGTTAAGAACATATCTCAACTCAAATATTATTTCTATTAAATGTGTCGATCCAAAAAATTAAAGTTTTTTAGTATTCAATCGCTGAAGGAGAGACAACTGAAAATTACAATGTTTGTTTTAATATATAACAAATATTGCGAAGTACAAGATAATTTTAATGTACTGTAACAATGTAAACAAAACTACAAACCCTATCTATATTGATAAGAGTCACAAATTTAATTTATTGTTACAAAAGTAGTTGAATTAATAAAAGTAAGTTTTTGTTTGAAGCAAAATCACTTTCATCCATGATGTCATTAAAACAAAAAGTAAGACTCAATTTGCATATTACATAAATTAGGATTTTTTGGAGAAAAACATATGTGTAGAATATTCAAGAACATAAACTATTGATGAAAAATGTTAAATATGAAAGGTGTAGCAAATATTACCAAGAAGAAATTATTAAAATATATAAAAGTTACTAGGTAGGTAAGCAACGAAATATATATTTTATATAATAGATTATAATTATATACATATTACATGTGGGTATAACATTTTTGATTAAATTAATTATACTTACTCTCTCTTCTAGATGTGTAACACCAGCTAAGCTTTGATAAAACGTAGGAGTTTCTAAATCATGAACATGATTCCCTCTATCATACAGAAGCCACTTCGAAAGAATTGTAGCATCCTTGTGTATGAGGAGCCAGGATCGAAATTGTTCAAAAGACACTCTCTCACCAGTTCCAAATAAACTAGTTAGAATTTCACCTGTTCGTGGTGAATTGGTTACTGGTAATGATGTGTTCTCCAAATGCAATGCTCTTGCAAAATCTTTCTTATAAATGTATGTGCCATTTTCATTTTGATTATTAACATATAAAGTCCATAAGAACCTAAATGAGTAAACGTTGCAATTAAAAAAGAGGCAATGTAATGTGTATTAATTTAAAAAGTAGTTGGGTTAAAGATGTTACTTGATTTTTTCTTCTAAATTTCCTTTAGTGAGGACGACGACGCCGCAAAGTAAGTCTTTAAACGCGATACCCCGTTTGGTGCCACCGCAGGCTTGATACAGCCACTCAGCAACTTCGTGAGGAACTCCATCGCAGAGGACTTCATGTATAAAAGCCTCCAAGCTCAAAGCTGTACCATTGGCACCAGCGCATCGTTTGAAAGCTTCGCGTATACGCCTCAACTCACTATCAGACACTGCAATTAAACAACGATATCGCAATTACGTATTTATTTTATTCACAACACAAACGCAATAGAACTCTTCGCGTACCTCGCTTAGAGGCATCTTCGTAGGATATAAAACTAGGTTTTGAGTCTCGTACGCCCATATTCACGGAAACATTTAATTTCACATCATTCTAAAACATTAAAGATACAAATTATGATTTACAAACTACAAAGAAACAAAATTGCAGCTGACAGCTCACGTCGTGCCATGTAGCCATATTGAATATTTTTCTCCTCGGTGTCATAGTTCTGTCAAAGATATTGACTTGACAAATAACATTTTAATAACAAGGTTTGTTATGACAGCTGATTTTTGATTATCGGGTAATCTGTGATTCCTTTGTGAACATAAATCATTTGAACAATTACTTTCCTGAAAATTATTACAAACAACTAAATAAGCAATATTTCGAAATCTAAACCCCGGTTGATTGTATTAATTCAAACTTGAATCTGATGAAATTTATGTAGCCTTGGTAAATGTCTGTATCATTGTGTGTATTGCGTATTGAAGTGGATGAAGAACATCCAGAAATGGGAGATAATCAGAACGAAATTGGTAAGTAAATAAGTTTACTTATTTAAAAATATTGTTTATCTGACTGAATAAGTGATGTTTTAGATCGAGCTAAGGAGCAGAAGAAGAAAGATCGCGGTGCCAGGGAAACAAAAACAATAACGGTCGAGACCTATGCTAGTATTCTTACTGGTCCGAATGTTGTCCCTGGTCTACTACCTACAAGTTCTAGACGTTCACCCGAGGGTAGTACTTCAGATGAAAATGACGTTATCAGCTTTTTCTGCGGTAACCCACTTATAGAAGTTACTAAAGGTGTCTTGCATTTGTATAAAGAAAAGTAAGTTAAGATTTTTATCAGTATGTTTTCAATTTGTTTATATCTCTTTTCATAACTGTATACTCTATTTTAGTGAGCTAAAAGAGACTCAAGAAGCAAAAACGCTATGTCTTTTGTCTGTCCCGGGAGCTCTTGGTGCTCCCGACTTATTAGCATTTGCAGCTGCTTGTCAACAGGATATTGCCCATGTGAGGGTTCTTAGGGATGGCTCACCAGATCATTACATGGCATTACTTACGTAAGTATAATTAGAATAGAGAATTAGATTTAATATTTGAATTTGAAAAAAGCAAAATTAATAATTATGATGACCAACGTATTAAGATCAATTAAAATCTAAGATTCTGGGAGAATCTAAATACATTTTTCATATAATAAAATACAATGATGTATTTTAAATGATTGAATATGATTATAAATTAGGATGTTTCTCTAAAAGGTTCCGTACAAGTGAGGCAGCACATGAATTCCACGCAACATTTAATGGAGTGCCATATAGCAGCTTAGAACCAGCAGCAGTGTGCCACACGGCTTGGGTCTCACGGGTGGAATATGCTAGGGATGGTGCCCCACCACCAACCCATACTGAGCTACCAACATGCCCTGTTTGCTTAGGTAAATAATCCTCTACCATATATAGAAACAACAGATTATATTTATTTCATTATATTATAGAGTTAGTTTTAAACATAGTTCTTCAAACTGACCTACACGTAAGAGACTATAAAGTAAATATTTTTACCACATGTACTCTTGCACAAACAAGTGGCACGCTTAGTATTAGAGTGACCTGACTCAAATTTTTTGTAAAATTAGATAAATGCACTGACATTACTATAATAACGCCATCATCATAGTTTTATACGATTTGCCAAAAGTGTTTTTTTTTAATTCGGTCACTGTAATACTAAGCGTGCGAAGTGGTTAAGTTGTAACTTGTATACCTAAATAAAGGACAAATAATAATTAACTAATAATGAACTTCAAACTAATAACTTAATGAAGATACCAGAGATTTCTTTGAACTCTATAATTATGTATTGATCAATTAAATTTTTCTAATAAAAATATCTTTCATCTTATTGTTAGAACGTATGGACGAGAGTGTTGCGGGCGTTTTGAGCGTGCAGTGCGCTCACTCTTTTCACGCCGAATGTTTGATGGGCTGGCGTGATGCAAGATGTCCTGTCTGCAGATGCGCGCAGACACCGGAACCCCGGGACTGCGCTAGGTGCCTCGGCTGCGAAAATGAGGCGGCCCAAGGTAAATATCTTATCGTACAACAGTAGTAAATATGCGTAAAAATAAAAATTAATTACAAGAAACCTTACGTAAGTAAATAAATTGGAATTTTTCCCTTTATGTGTAGCATGCTTCCCTTGAGTATAATATAGTTTACACAAGACACAAGTCTATGTTCTTTACGATCAAGTAGTTCAAAATTCATCGTATTTCTGTTTCAGTCTGTGTATTTCCGAATATCTAAAGGCAAAATAAGTCGACAGCGCATTTGAGCTAAACCGAGGGCACATTGTTTGGTTTCCATTTCAATGCTTGTGTCCTATATTGTTTATAGCTGCTGAAGATCAAGGTGAAGGCGAGATGCGTGACACGCCCTGTGGGGTGGCAGAGGGTCTCCTAGAGGTCGAAGCTGGTACGCTGTGGATCTGCCTTATCTGTGGACATGTTGGCTGTGGACGGTTAGTAATTGCTGCTCAGCAGTTTAATTTAACACAAAACAATTTCAAATGTAAACTTTTTGATAGGCAACCGAATCAAATGTAACTAGAATGTTGTCTTTCTTGCTTACAATTTTACCAACAGCTGTCAAAATGTTCAGGTATGAAAAAGGGCATGCAGCTAAACACTTCCTTCACTCCAACCACACTTACGCTCTGCAGCTTGGTTCAAATAGGGTCTGGGATTATGCAGGTAAGGCTGTTTTAACTAAAAGCATAATGCATAACATTGTATATCCACTCTAAACATCACTGAGAATCTTATCAATAAACATCAATTTCTGATAATAAATTCTTAAAGTATTTTTTTATAAATAGCATTTAGATTTTGTATAGTAGTATTAAAGGAGTAAAATTATCAAGGTTGTATGAAATCACGACAAGTATATACTTAATTACATATATTTTTCCTTAAAATATGTATTTTTGTAGGTGATAATTTCGTTCATCGATTGGTGCAAAATAAAACAGACGGAAAGCTAGTAGCGTCAGAAGGAGCTGCCGCAGACCCAGAGCCGGCTTGCGGGGACAAATTGGAGTTCACTTATCTTCTAACGCACCATCTTGACACGCAGAGGATACACTTTGAAGAGAGAATCGCTAAGTAAAGTTATTTTGAACTAGTTGTGCCAGCGATTTCGTCCACGTAGAAAGCTTTGTCTTTTGCAATCTATCTAATCATAAATTATAGCTATCACCCATGATGTCGACTACTATACTGTCGGGGACATTTTTTAAATTTTTTTAGAAGAATAATTCTTCCATACATATTTTTGGGTATGTTAATCCGTTTTCGCAGTACACACAACCAACCCACAGTTCAAATAATTTTCCCCGTTTTTTCCACATTTGCCATTGTTTCTTTGCTCTTATTGGTCGAGCCTAAATCCTCTCTTAATAAATGCTCCAACCAACAAAAAATATTTTTTCAAAACTATGTTGGACTATTATGATATAGTCGTTCTTGAACAATTACACGAATATGATTGTCCTATTGTCTAAAGCAAAGTGTATTACAGGCTAGAACGTGAACACTTAGCTGAAACGGCTTCATGGCGATCCCGCGTAGAAGCGGCCGAGGCGGACAGCGCGGATCTACGTGAGAAAGAGCGCGCCCTAACTGCTGAAAATAAAACATTACATCACAAGCTACATAACTTAACTAACAAGTAATTACAATGCAATATTCTAGCAGTAACTTATAGTTATTTAGCGATAAAAGATAAGTACCTTCAGCCAAAGAAGGTACTTATCGTCTATTCGTTCACTCTTTTTTTTAACTCTTGAAGTACATAATATACTATTTGTTCTCTTTTTTAGCTATAAGTACATATTTAGAAACCTTGCGTATCTATAAGTTGTGTACCTTATATTGTTTTAATTTTTGGTACAAATTTGAACGCTAATTGAATAAGGCATTGAAATGTATGTTTTAATGTCTTCTATTTTACAGAGTATCCAAACTACAGGGAGAGTTGTCTGAGGAGCGTGGCTTAACTGCAGCTCTAACTTTTAGCCAGGCCCAGTGGCAGGAGAGATCGAGAGAAAAGGAGGAAGGATTTAGGAAGGAGGTATGATGATTCTTCTTCTTTACTATAAAAATACTTTTAAATACAACACTTTAACTGTTTAAAACGCGATATATTTCAGTTAAACTTGTTTGAAAATTATTTTTAACTATTGGGCCTATCTTGAGTTTATAACATACACGTAGTGTCATCTATCGGTATTATAGGTGCGGCGAGCTTTCTGTGGTATCGACTGCTTAGAGCGTAGTATAGACAAATTCCTAGAGATGACGCTGATTTCAATGAATTTTTAAAAGTTGCATAATCATCTAGTTCTTTCTGTAATTAATGTCTTCTTATTCTAGTCGATAGACCACATTATTTTTAAGTTGCAAAATATACAGAGCCGGTGTTTAATTTGGCACAGTAGCGCCAATAAAGTATAAATAAATGTAAATGAAAACTTACACAACAGCAACTAACTAAATACAGTTCAAAAACTAAGTTAGTAAATTAAAAATAAATTTAGATAAAAAAAAAATTACGACATGGGTGGGACATGAACACCACACCAACATCCAAACCATTCCGTCTGCTACTGTAACCAATTGAGCTACCGTCTAAATGGATTTTTAATTTCCTTAATGCAATCATGTGAAAAATAATAGTAAAAATTTACTTCATACTAGTAAAAACTTTTAAAAGTAAGTAGTTCAAGGATATTCTTCACTTTCCCTTTAGATAAATGAGTTGAAAGAGCAACTCCGAGACCTGATGTTCTTCGTAGAGGCACGCGGCGCACTCCAACGTACCGAAGAAGCCTCCCAGGAAGAAATACAAGAAGCTAGCGTTACCGTACAACAGGCCAAGCACAAGCCAAGGAGAAAAAGACGATAGATCATAAAAATCGGTTTTGAATTGTAAAATGGTACGGGTGATGTTTTGTATTTATGATTATAAAAATAAACGGAATGTAACTAAAGCAACTATCAAAAAATACTTAACTAATAAAGTAATATACAATACAAATATATAAAGCTGAAGAGTTTGTTTGTTTGTTTGAATGCGCCAATCTCAAGAACTACTGGTTCGAATTGAAAAATTGTTTTTGTGTAAGAGCATTTATTGTGGAAGGCTATAAAAATCAATCTGTGACTAATAAAAAAACGAAACAGCGGGATATGCGGAAAAAACGAGGAAGATTATTCATCAATGACTACGCTGCGACAACAGTTCAAGAATACCGAATTTTCCTCTTTAAATGATCTAAAAAAATGTCCGTGGCAGTATATGTCTGTCTTTTAAGAAAACGCAAGAGCAATGGGACCTAAACGACGATGGGTAACGGTTAAAATGTATAAAGATGAGCGAGGTTTGCAAAAACAAATTTGATGCCAAAAATAACATTTCATGCGGACGAAGTCGCAGGCACAGCTTGTTGAATATATTATAGATTATAGAGTTTTGAATATTACACTCTGTTTATTTTTTCATTCTATATATATTTTTGCATTTTAATCAGTCTATGTATATTTTTAATGAACGTATGAAGGCTTTTGGACTTCTGTAATGTCTCAAAAGTTAGTCTGCACAGTGTTTTAGTGTCACGGCTAGAGTGTAGGCAAGAAATAAAATTTTGACCAATAAAAGTTCTTAAAGCACATTTCTGAAATACTTACTACTTTGGAGACTTAACTTTTTTAAATGCAATAAGTATAATATTTAATTATTAGTCGGTGATACAGTTTTTAAGATAACTATGTATATTACAGGAGACACGAATCTTGGGATCTGGGTTGTATTAATGAAATCTACACGAGTGTTCTATTACATACACCTCGTGTATTTACGCAAGTTTGGTTTTTAACAATCTCGTTTACTCCTCCGTCCCGCGTTGTTCTTTGTATGGGATTGTGGGAAAGAGACAAAGCGATGTCACTTTGTCTTTGATAGATGGTAATCAAATCTTAAATATGATCGTAGTTAATTTAACCAGAAATTCAAATATAGCAATTTACCAACTACTTAAGATTCGTTTTACCTCGTGTACTTATTTCAATATTAAAAATATATGAATTTATAGATAGCATAAGTTGATGTTTTTCTGTGATAAATTACTAAGTACTGCTATTTCTCATTGAATAAGAAAAAATAAATAAATACAAACAAACAAATTGAATTTGAATTAGTCTAATCCCTAAGATTTAAATATTATTAGAGAGTTAATTTAGGCCGTAAAGTTTTATTTATTAACACCAGTCACCAGTCATTAATATCGGAAATCAGTCATAATATTTGTGTAAGGACGTTTATATTCGTATTGTGTACGTTTTACTGGGTCAATAAGGCTCTAAGTATAATATTGTGTCAGTAAACAAAAAGTGGAATATAATAAGAAATGGTAACTTGTCATTTCTCTCCACTTATTGAATTAACACAATGGCGGAGGACAGTACTGCTTCAAGAAAATATATTTGCTACCAGCCTTTGTTGCTGATTCTTAAAATGTCGCGAATGTTTGGAATAGCCCCTTTGACATTCGGATCTGATAGTATTAAGTTTTCACGGGCTTATTATATCTACAGTCTCATTTTTATAGCAGCTTTAAGTAAGTATTTTTTACTTAAATTTAATTTAATTATAAATACTAGGAAGGAGACTCAAAGAGAAAAAGGTGGTTGATCTTTTTTTGTATGAGTATTACTCAAAAATCGATTGTAAATTGAAAAAAAAATACGACACGAGCACCTCTTCCGCCATCTATACACATCCACATTGTTCGCAATAGGAGATTGTCTTTTTACTACTTGGAAGGCTGAAAGAAAAAAATTACAAAGTAAAACGAAAATGGTGTCACTGCATATATCTGAAGATAATTTTAGTCAGTATTCTACTTTCAGAAGCGACAATATTTGTAGGTTTCGTGCTAGATGTGACTAACCCAGACCAGTCGCTGCGTGCGCGCACATCCACTTCTCGTATCATCTGGCTAGCATATCTGATCGTTCTGACAGCTGTCACAGTGGTAGGATGCTGCGAGTCTCCCACTCGATGTAAATGTATGCTTAATGCTCTCCATCGCATCGAAGAGGTATTTTGATAAACTATAATATACTAGGTACATACATGGGATGTAGCAGTGTAACAAGTTTAGCTTAGCTGTTTGAACATGAACAAGACAAACGGTTAGTCTGTGGACTTCCGAATATCCTAACTAGAAATAGGCCGACAGCGACATCTTGTCTAGACGTTATATAGCTAGGGTATTTGTATTTCACGTAACATCAAGTAGACCTTATGATTGTCTGTCCTCTATCATAAAAAAAGGAAACAACCGAAAAGTTGGAAATTGTACTACATTATATAAAATGTTATATGTATAAATATATTTTGAAATTTAGTTTTCATTGAAGAAATCTACCTACCTTCAACGATTGAGCTACGGTGTCTCCTCCGTATACATCGAAATTTCTTAATCCTTCTTAATTTCTATGAAATTTTATATTGACAGTTTATAAAATGTTTATTAATATCTGTATCCATTTTTTAATATTATATTTCACTCAGCAACATCTTTTACAGATAAAAGATCTAATGGGAGGTGTTAAATCAACACCTTCTGATCTGATGTGCATTTACGCAACGATCTTTATGTTTTTGTCTGTTGTTATCGTTTTATCTCTTATTGATTTGCAACAGAATCTCCAGGCGGCATATATGCTAAATAAAGAAGGTACAGTAAGTGTATTTCTTTACAGCTGTTTACGTTGAACAATCCTAATTAATTTGAAACAGGTGCTTTATGGTTATCGAAACCAAAGTAAACTTACTTTGGTTTCCATAACCAAAACTGCCACCTATAGCTTATAAAAAAGGTGACTTGGTTGTTACTACCACGGTAGAATAAGGGTGTGGTGACTTCCCGGTAAGGAGGGGAATCAAACATGTAAACCAGATTACGATGTTATACTTTGATTATGTTGTGTGGAACTTTTATTTGAATCTCGTATGATTTTTACCGTGTATTTTTTACATTCCAGTGAGAACGATATGTCTTTTCTCATTTTTCTATGTGGATTATGTAATTGAGCTCTTGCTGGAATTTCAATTTATAATTATCGTGTTTCGCTTGACTCTGATCCTGAAAGCTGTAAACGAAGCACTATTACAATTACTGCATTCTATTGGTAGGCCCCATTCAACTTATTTTAAATTGATCGAAGCTACGACCTTCAGAATGCTACACAGATGCTGTAAAAACTAAGCGGTTGGCTTTTTTACTTATACACACTTGGGTCTTACAGAGAAAGGGAACAAGAGAGTCCACACGATAAATAATTACATGATACAAACTAAAGTTACAAAGCCTCACAGCGGTTATACCGTGAAGAAGGATTTTGGTAAGTACTTAATTACTTAAATATATTGAAAATGTGTAAATAGTACGTGCGGTGCAAGAAGTGGACACGGATCTTTTATGTTATTGCAGCGGTCGAGTTTTTTTACACGCATGTTATGGACGCTATAACTAAGTAATTAACACATTAAAGACCTTTTTTATTAAAAAAAATATTGTTCATGGTGAAACTTCTTGTGTAATTTTTAATTAAATTTTCCTAAGAAGTAAGTAAATAGACTTAAATAATTCCATTTCAGTTTCTGAAGAAGAATGCCGAAACGAAATCCGTAGACTGGCGTTAGTGTATGAGTTGGTGTGCGAGGTTGTACGAAATGTGGATCGTGGTCACGGGCTAATATTACTACTTTTGCTACAATCCTTCTTTTTGCACTTCATTATGACTCCCTATTATATGATAAACCTGTGTATGTCCCATTAATTCTTTACTTTTAATTATAGATTCGGGTTCTCATTTAAATGTTAATGTTTATCAAAGCCTACCTATAAATTATATGTAAATTGTAAATCTGTACTGTCATTGTACAATTCCTACATGATATAAAGATTTTACGTATTTTGCCGTTGACTACTTATATCTTGTATGTTTTGTATCTTTGTTTTTGATTTATTTTTTTGACCTAACGGCCATAAACTTATTTTAATCTAAATTTTAAATTTAATCAATACCATCATGTTCAAATAAACGTAAAGTTCGAAATGAAATTGAGGTATATCAAAGAAATATGTATACAATATCTTGTTGAATGTAGTATATATTCTTTCTAACGATCGTGGATTTTCTTTTTTTAGACCGTGTTCCTGACTTCTTCGCATCTATAGGCCAACAGATAGCCTGGTTCCATTTCCACGCGTCCAATGTCATTCTCATTGTGGAGCCGTGCCATCGCGTGCAGCAAGAGGTCCTACGCTTCATTTTACCTTCTTAATTTAATTGGGGTATTTTACCTACCATGAAATGAAACTCATGCTTATCTGTCCTTCTCTATTATTAAAAAAAACGCAAATTGCTAGTAATAAAATAGAAACTTTAACTTCTTCTTCTCTTCATGTTTGACGACATAGTATTACTATGATGTCGCTTTGTACCCCATTAAAGAATGATTATTATTTGATCTATTTACACATTTACCTTTTTTTAACTACATTAACAGTTATTTACAAAAATTCATATGCAACAGTATGTTTAATAACGTTACCAAGTTGTTGAAAGGAATGGAATGATAACAATTTTTAAGCCACAACATTACACTCTTACAGGATTTTCTCTTGGCCCCATTTAAATCTTCTATTATGTTTAGATGACCAACACTCGCTCATTAGTCAGCAAGCTTGTATGCCGCACAAGTTCGCATGGACCCCTTGCGCAAGAATTGGCTTCATTCATCAGAACTCTCACTCTTGACCAGCCTGTTGTATCTCCTCTGGGGATGTGTGTTCTTGAAAGGCCTCTTGTTATCACGGTAAGTAAACCACAACGCATCGAAAATAAACTGAAAAAAATTACGACTCGGGCAGGACTTACGGTCGATGGACGAACCAACATCATCAGCCTTCCGTGCTGTTGCTCTAACTAATCGCTACCGAGTCCTAATCGTCATCGTCGAATTTTGGGGGTTACCGTTCAACCATAGATTCGATCAAAGTAATAAATATCTCATTGCTATTCGTTACTTCTATACAAAAATGAAAAGGCTGTAATGACTGTTTATTTTCAGATACTTGGAGTTGTTTCTGCATACCTGGTGCCACGTCATTATTTTTCAATACCCACACATACACATTCAAACAATACTGCGAATTTAATAAATAATACAAAAACACTATAAAGTTGAAAGGATTACAATTTTTAGGTAATGTAGCTGAAAAAAAGCGTAGAACTAATATCCGACTAAGGTTTGTCTTTTTTCCTTTTTCATGTCAGAGTGACTATAAGTATAGGTATATAGTAAGGAAATCACACGGGATAAGTAATATTAACTTTTTATTTTATTCACAGTTTTTTCACTTATTTAAGAGTAAAAATATCAATTGCAGATATCAATTCATTCGGCGTTCTTGTTTTACATTCAAATCGTCTTTACAATTCTCTTTTTTTATTGAATTCATCTAATTCATGTTCCACTTTCAATACTTGTTCCATAACTTCGTCTGGTGTGAGACCATTAACAGGATTATCACCTCCATTAAATGATATTACACCGTCAAAATCATTCGTTTGAACATTAATATCTGCTGCATCTTCGTCTTGTGAATAATCGTCTTCAAGAATTTGAGTAACGTCACTGATGAGAAATGTTTTTAGGTACTCCAGAAATACTGGTATGTTTTTCATCTTGGCGAAATAACCGACGTCGTCTTTTGTTTTCTTTTCATTACTTTTTACATCTAAAACAATTGTATTAGCACTAAATCGATAATTATTAGAATTAATTTATAGATCGCTTGTATTGTATAAATCTTTGTGTAACAAAAAAGGCTTCAAAAGGCTACAGAAAAAGAGTTACGAAGAGATCACTTAACAGGAAAATTTTCCTTTATTACATAAGGCTTGTGTTTATTTTAATGTAGATGATTCATTCAGTGCCAATAAATAAATGCTTAGATTTACCTTTTGAGGAAACCACCGCAAAAACCAGAACAAAAGAACTAACAAATGAAATATTTTTGAAAAGCATAGCGTCGGCGTATTTCAAGAACAACAGCAAATAATCTGCACTCAAAATTTGTGTGCGTAATAACACCTTTGCTACGAATTACCATAAGATAAGCTAAACTAGTTAAAATGATGTAGTGAAATATGAACATAGCGTGATGAATTTTTTTTGTTTCCTGTACCTACTAATTATCACCACTTACCAGTAAAACGTATCTCTGTTTTTAGGAAACTATACTTAGACCTTAACTTAGTACCTTTTTCATTTTTAAATGCTATCGTGATTATTTTTAAAGGATGTTTATATAATTTATTGATTGTTGGCGCAAAAATGTTTATTCACAAATCTACAAGAAATATTATATAATACTTGCTAAAGGAACCTCAACTAGTTTGAATTGGGAGCTTCAAAGAGCACTATTCTGTCGGAACATTATATGAAATTAATCCTTTAATGATGATTGTATCATTACTATTATTATCATTAAAGGGATACTTAACATGCAAATGGCCAATTTCACAAATTACAGTACCTGAATGATTTCACCAATGTGTGTTATATATAGAATGTTTTTTTAATTGCGTCAGAAATACAGATAATCATGAAAGCTATAGTCGCGACGATAGTTTTGCTAACGTACTTTTCGGTAAAATGTTCTGATACCCTGATCAAAACAAAAGAATTGCAGAAATCCGTCGATAATTTTGACCTGTCGGAGGTTATGAGTGAATGCAATGAGACTTTTAGAATTGAAATGTGTAAGTTACTTAATTCCTGATCAACATGAACGCTAAAAAAGTTTAGTTTATATAATTTTAAAATTTGTTTTTAGCTTACATAGACTCTATAAATTCAACGGGTAGTTTTCCAGACGAGATGGATAAAACTCCTAAAGTAAGTGGGAATACATAATATTTTAACTCTAGGATTTAATTCTAACCGCTTTTTTCAAAAGTATTATTTAATAACATGGCTTGGTATTAGACATTGTATGGATGACAACAGCAGATTTGATACGAGATGATTAAAAAAAAACTACAAACAGGCATAGCTGCGATTTCTGTAATGCTGATAACGCAAAAATTTTGAGAGTCTCTTTTCCTTCTCCTACTCATATACGAAGAAATGATGTAATCTTGTGCTCTGTACGTTTTTACTTTTAAAACTTTTGTGCTTAGTGTTTCATCCGTTGCATGCTTGAGAAATATGAAGTAACGTCAGACGGAGAAGATTTCGATGTGGACAAGACTGTTGTACTTTTTTCACAAATGAAGAAGATAGGAGAAGATGATGCAAGGGATATAGTACAGAGCTGCGGTAAACGATGTGAGTATATTGTCTGAAATTTCTTTTTTCGTCTTGGAAAAAACCCCCCCCCCCCCCCCCCCCCCCCGGGGCGGGGGGGGGGGGGGGGGGGGGGGGGGGGCCCCCCCCCCCCCCCCCCCCCCCCCCCCCCCCCCCCCCCGGGGGGGGGGGGGGGGGGGGGGGGGGGGGGGGGGGCCCCCCCCCCCCCCCCCCCCCCGGGCGGGGGGGGGGGGGGGGGGGGGGGGGGGCGGCCCCCCCCCGGGGGGGGGGGGGGGGGCCCCCGCCCCCCGCCCCCCCCCCGGGCCGGGGGGGGGGGGGGGGGGGGGGGGGGGGGGGGGCCCCCCCCCCCCCCCCCCCCGGGGGGGGGGGGGGGGGGGGGCGCCCCCCCCCCCCCCCCCCCCCTCCCCCCCCCCGGGGGGGGGGGGGGGGGGGGGCGAGGGGGGCCCGCCCCCGCGGGGGGGCCGCCCCCCCCCCTTCCCCCCCCCCACGGGGGGGGGGGGGGAGCCCCCCCCCCGGTGCCCCCCCCGGGGGGGTCCTCTGTCCCCCCGGGCCGGGGGAGTATATTGTCTGAAATTACGTTCTTATCAACCAAGAATTGTCCATAAGCCGCCTATCAAATACCGTTTTCTTTATGTATTCCTTAATTATTAAGAGACTTTTATTTAAATTACTTTTGGGCACTTTCGACTATTTGTTAGTTATTAATAATTATTCATGTTTCTATTTTAAAATGTGTCTTAATTTGCCATCGTTGAGAATTCAAAGACACTTTCGTTGTTAAACACTAATTCAATAGCAACAAATTACATTTGAATAAAACGTACAGCAATTGTCACGGTTAAACAGACATTTTGAAAATAAATAACAATTATTCGATAATCAACAAGAACATTGTGCCTTTCAGCGGAATCGTGTAAATGCGAGAGATCTTACCAGTTCTTAAAATGTATATTAGAGAAGGAAATAGAACTAAAGTCTAAAACGTAATTTTCGCCATCAAAACGACCAGACCTATTTCAATTGTCTCTGTCAAAAACTCGTGGACTTCGATTCTTCTTGTGAGTGATCTTAGTGTTTAGTTATACTAAAGTAAAAAACTAAAATAAATAAACAAACGGCATCAAATTTACATTTTTATTGATTTCTTTACATCGGTAGTTATAAAAAAAATACATAAAATATCATTTTGAAGCAGCTTTTTTACTTGAATTTTAAAAATATACCATAATTGTTTCAGAATGAAATTTCAAGTATAGGTTGCAAAAGCTTTTTGGATAGCCTAAATACAATCTGTCAGTCTTGTACTAGCCTTAATACCAAACAATGATTAAATACCTACCCAACAATTATAATTTATTTTTCAGTCACTTCAGGATCAATCTTCTTATCACCGAATATGCTTTGCCATATAGATCCTAACCATCCCGCTTGTGGTTCTCTGTAATGAATAATTATGTTATTGTACGTCAATATTAATATAAAAGAAGGTAAGGTCAGAATAAAAACTCTGGATACCTAGTTGGTGGAGTGTTCGTAACCTTTCCAGTGTCAATATCATTGGACTCGGTAGTCATTGGAACGCTAAAAGGGAGGTCGGTGCAATAAGGAAATTTATTTTATTTATGGATTGCATTGTTAATACAATATAGAAGCCAATTTCACAATGTATAGAAAAAGTAATCTATGCCTTTACTTACTCCTTCTTACAGTTGTACATATTATTAACTTTCTTCACATCACCCCGGCTCAAGCCTTCTCTTTGGCCAATTTTAGAGTTGCTGATCTATAAAAATAGTACAATAGATATAATTTGAGCTATTGTTCTAATTTAATTGTGAAGTGTGATTAATTAGGGATTCAAACCGGCGATGTACGATGTACCGTGGCATTGTTTTAGCAGTTAGCCACCGCGTCATGTGTTTCAATCTTTTTTACTTTGTGCCTGATTCATAGATCGAATATATCTACAAGCAAGTGTTGATTAGACTGAGCCCCGCCCGACTTAAAATATTTATTATTACTCTCGAAAAGTGAACCAGGTAACAAAATACTGGACAATGCGTTTAACTACTAAGTGGCGAAGGTGATCGTTCTCACAATTTCCAATTCTATTCCGAGTTAAATTTGATACCTACCTTTGGTTCTATAGTTTTCTGTGAATTTCTAGAGAAGGCATATTCAGAGTAATGCATGACGCTGTTGTAGTCGTAACCAACGCCGAAATCGTCAGTATTCTTGGCTTCGGATTTCTTGAAATTTACCTCCGTTCCTTAATAAATAAAATTTTTGAATTTATTATTATAACAAATAATAGTACATACAATTCAGCGATAGTATATTTTTCATTGAGTACGTTAAGGCTTTGAAGTATTTTCGAGTCCTCGCTATAAGAAGGGTAAGTAACCTACTATACTACTAAAAGAGGCTTATGTAACGATGTTACCTGATATTATGAGATATATAAGGATAACATTTCAAGAAATTTAGCAGCTTATAAGCACAAAATCGTTAAGGTTGTCATTTAACTAAAGTATCGCCGTAGCTTATGCGAATAGGTCCACATATAAATAAAGCACCCCCAACGATTTAAAATACGAAATGTATTAATTAACTTATTTGTGTCTGTTCTGTTGTTCGTCAAAATGTAAGTATTTATTTCCAAATGTAGAAACGTTCTCTTGAAGTACCGTTTAACTTCCAAATGACAACACGGAACAAAGTTTATTTTTTATGATGGAGGAGGACAGAGAAGCTTGGGGCTCACGAGATGGTAATGCCCCAAGCATAAAGCATCTAAACACGATGCGCTGTCGATCTATTCTGGCTATATTCACAATATACACTTATACGAGTATTAGTTCCGTTTACCTGGCTTTATATTACTATATTTGATAGTGACGAAGTCATCTCTCTCAGGTCGGCTTTGTTCGTGCATAAACCCAATCGCATGTAACAGCTCATGTATGACTGTTCCTTTTTTCGTGACACAGCCTGGACTCTGTAGGTTCACCTCCTGTCGGCCTCCTGCAAATTACTTATGTCTTGCAGATTTTTTTTGTGGAATCAATTTTTATTCATTATTTAGGTACTAGCTGATCTGACAAACGTTTTTTGTCATATAAAGTAGGTACTAGCTATGTCCGCGACTACGTCCACTTAGAATAGTTATTATGGACATATTTTTTTTTGCAAGCCTTATCCTTATCTTTATAAATTATAGCTATTACCCACGACGTCGTCTACGTTCTATCGTAAATGCGGGATAATCTTAAAAGATAGCATAGACAGTCGGGGGTTGTTTTAGATCATTAGAGAGTTCTATTATATTTTGGTATCTAGAACCGTGTTCGCAGCACTACAACAGAAAACCTTAAAGGTGAAATTTTCCTCTTTTTTTTCACATTTCCCAAAAGTGTTTTTCGCTCTTATTAGATGCATTAGGCAACACAAAAATTACATTCAATTCGATCCAGTAGTTACTGAGATAAGCGCGTTCTAACAAACAAACTCTTCCGTTTTGTAATAATATAAAATATATACAATACATTGAACTGTATGATGATATTTTTCTGTTTCAGCCAGCCGAATAAATGCTTGTTACCGTATAGAAACTAAATATTGCTAACATTTCCAATCATTTGTTCTTTAAAGCATCTCACCTATTCTTCCAACACTAGACCAACACCCAGTTTTAGAACTCTTGATGATGAGGTAGTCCTTTTGCCCGTTGTAGGGCACGAAGCGTAGGCATGTCAATCGGTGGTAATCTGCTATAGCTTTCCGGATTGTATCTTTTTGTTCCTGAGCTAGTAAAATAGTTAGAATTTATTTAACATACAAAAACACTTTCTTAGTGTTTGTACGCCAAGTGGAATGAAGACGAGAAAGACGATATATGTTTGTCGATTATTGGTTGGCCACAAAAAAATATACTGTACAAGAGGACAGAGATTTTTAAATATGGAGGAAAACTTCGGATGCTTTGCAGCAGCCGAGGTCACGGGAGACCAAAACATCGGACTGTAGTTAAAATAATCTCAAAATAAATTTAACTAATATGTATCGCGTTTTAACTTTAGATATTAAAAACCTAGAATAGAACACGGTTTTAAATAATAAATTGTCATAATATGTTATTTTCTATTCTTACTGAAGCCTCCGTCCATCACATAAGGAATAATGCCGTCCGTCCACCGAGATGTCTTGTCTCTGATACCGTTTCTGGCGAGTCCTGGCATCAGGATATCACCCTCAAGATATTCACCCATTTCCTCAGGATTCATAAGGGAAGAATCAGTCCATTCTGACACTGCAACTCCTAAAGAAGAAGACATAGTGGTTACTATTAGGCAAATATTTTTTCTCTACAACCAATAGTAGTAGGTAAGCCGAAAACCTATAACCATGAGTGAAGTAAAAGCGAACAAAACCGCGGGATAAAACGATACATTAAACAACTAAAAGTGGGATTCGTTATCAAGGCATCGTTTCAAAAAGGAAGCGCTTCCGACTCTAGTTAGTTGACTCAATCAAACTTATCATGTCAGCTATAATTTGCATAATGTCTAACCTAAATAGCTTATGAAATTCATAATGCTAATATTGAAGAATTAAGAAATGTAATTCTGGTTATGACTGAGGAGGTTAGACAAGGAAGTGGTTCACTGAATGAAATGTGGAATGGGCCAGCCACATATCATCATATAAAGGTAACTTTGGACCTTGAATATAAATATACTTCAATTTAAGTATTATATATTGTTTTTCACAGAGTCGTAACATAAACAGATGAATGTTACAGAAAAAATATTAACAATTTAATATAGCTTGGGTATATTTCTTTAGTTTTTTGTTCTTATACAGACAATAAAAAAGTTATTGTCTGTTTGTTCTTCTTACACAAATAATGATTAAATAAATACATATCAGAGAAACGTCCTGGTAAAATGGAAGTATATATGAAACACAAACCGCTTTCATTTTTAGGAATCCCAAATGCCAGCTGATCCAAACCAGATATATCTATACTGTATTCTTCAACGCCATCGATGCTGTTCAAATCCACGCTATCCACGATGATTACATCGTCATCGTCTATTGGCAAGCAATTTAATACTCCGAATAATGTGAGGAACAAAAAATAAGACATTTTAAACAAATTTGTTGTAAGCACACGAACCGCGCGAAGATGTGTGACAATGTTATGGTAGGCGTGCCGAATTTATATTTTGGTAAAGTGTAAACATGCTGTCATGTTTCTTCTTCCTTCCTGATAAGAATTACACGTAACTGACGTGGATTAGGGTAATTACGTTTTTAAATATAACACTTTAAAGGTTTAAAACGCGATATGTATATAATATATTAATTAAACTTATTTAAATATTATTTTAACTGCGACCCGACGTTTCGGATACACCTAACAAGTGTTTGATGGCATTACTTAATTAAATAATAAAACGTACGTAAGACACGCTTAATTCAATTACTCATTAACTTCAACTTAAACATTCAAGATTCTTATTAGAAAACCGAGAGTTAATGTACTTAATGCCTGTTATGTGTTTAATGTAATGTTTATCAACTAAGTACTCGTTTAACATTCTCGTCAATTAATCGTTTGCCCAGGATACCAGTCCAGGACCTTACGTGTTTGATTCGCGTATAAGAAGTGGACCAATGTGTCTTTGAATGACTAATATTATAAACGTTGACTAATTAAATATATCTTTCATTCTAAAAACTATTCACAACATAAACAAGATGTCGGAACTCTTTCCACTTCGGAAGTGAACACTTTATTTAATTAAGTACACTCATCCTGTTATCTCATTATATTATTCAAGGTTTGAATTACGGAAATAATACACAATCAGTTGTAACCTATGATTAAAAAATCTTTTAATTTTCTGTGGATATATAATATGTATACCAATAAATCTTTAGGGAACGTTTGCTTTCAATTATATAAGTATTTATTCATATATAAGTATATATTAAGTGGTTGGTAAAAAATGATAAAGACTACGTCGTACGTACGATGATAACGTGATTAAATTATTAAATTTAAATAAAACACTAACGGTTTAAAACGCGATATATTAGTTAAACTTATTAGAAAATGATTTTTATTTACTTGCTTTGCAGCAGCTGTGGTCACGGGGAGACTGGGAACTAATATATCGCGTTTTAAACCGTTAGTGTTTATTTAAATGTGTAGGCACTACTCGCGTAAACTATAGACAGTATTTAAATTATTAAATGCAAATTTGGTCCCATTTGATGTTTTCAACCCTGAAATAGTATTTCTGAAAGGTATGTTGCACTGTTATCGTATTATCATTGCAATGAAACATAAAATAATTCCGTTTATAGCCATAGCATCGCATTCGAACAAATTCTAGACACGGACGTTTATTGCATACTGAAATTACCTAGTAAATTTTATGCTTTCCGTTATTTGCAAGATAAAAGTACAGTTCTATAGCTTAATTGTTTGGCAGTAAACTTTGTAATTTATAGATATTCTTACTTGCTTCTTAAAAATAGGGGACCCCCATTTCACTAAGTTTATTAATAGAACCATTACATGATAAGATTTGAAGCAACAACACAAGGCGCATATTATAGTGAAATAAATAAAAAGGTAAGTTCTGTATTTATATTATAAACTAGCTGTTTCAGCGACTTTGTCCGCGTAGAATAGTCATTTTGGGTATCCAAATTCGTTTTTGCAAACCCTTTCATCTTTATAAACTTCAGCTTAAGTTATCCACGACGTCGGTTGTCTCCCTTCCCGTCGTTATTGAAAGTTAATCTTTAAAGATCAACGAATAGCGTCGCGGACTTTTTTTTACACCATTTAAAGATGAATCAATCTTTCGTACATAGTTTTGGATATCTTGAACCGTTTTTGCATCGTACGCCTCGGAAACCCCTAATGATGGATAATTTTCCCATTTTTTTAACATTTCTGGCTGTATCTTCGCTTGTATTAGTCACAGGACGATGCCTATAGAGCCTTCCTCGATAAATGCTCTAACCAGCACAAAAATTATTGTTCAATTCGAACCCGTAGTTCCTGTAAGTTAGTGCGTTAAAACATACAACCAAACTCTTCAGCTTTATATATTAATATAGAAGTATAGATTAAAACAAAAGAGTAAATATGTATCTTCTGTATTTCTAAAATATTATTAGACTTGTATACTACGTCATTTATATTATTTACATGAGCATTCTCGCTTCTCAATGTTACTTTTAAAATAATATTCTCTCATTTATTTTTTTTACATTATACATCTTTTCAATTAGGCAAAATTTACAAACACTTCAAATGCTAGAAAATTCACAAACTCATATTTCACGATATAACAGAAAGCGGAGCGGGATCCTTAACCTGATAACAGTTTTCAGTGTTCATTACTTTAATATATCAGATATTAAAATAGTTTATTTTTCTAATAGATGAATACGCAATTACGAAAATAACGCGAACTTCGCATCAGTTAGAATGAGCATACATGTTATGAAGCGAAAGTGCAAACCCCACACTCAAATCAATAGACGTGTGAGTAAAATTAAAGTGAATAAATATAATTTTTGTACACATATAATTCGAAATATTGCACGCAGGATCGATGAAAATGAAGACCCCCAAAGTTTAAAGCTCGATTCAATACACGTTTCACAATTTAGATCGCATTAAGTAACACTGAATCTATTTAATGTAAAACTATTGGCACAATATTGCTTATCAGAGAACTGGACGAGTTCGCCCATTTCCTACGCCGAAACATGAGCGAAATGACAATTCGATAACATTCAAGTCAATAACAACGCGAGAAACTGCAAAACTTAACAACTACAGAAACAATGAAACTACAGTAAAAAATCGTACGAATCTTGATGATCAGTCAAGCGTAAATGTATCCTTGGAATATTTTGACATAGGGGCCCAATTCTGCTAAGTTACAGGGACCGGCCACAGACACGATAATTCTATACCTTCTGTTCACAGCAGAATTGGGTACGAAAGTCAAGGATCAAAATAGTCAACGGTAACTGTAACCACTTCTATTAATAGACTCGAAAATATAGCTCTGATTAGCACTAAGCTATGGAATTGGCATTTTTCGGAAGATGAAAAAATAGGCAAGGATACATCCAGGCTGACTGAAACACGATTCCGAAATCCATTAGTCAATGTAGGCACTATATTAGGACGGCCGGGAGGCCTGATTAGAGAACAATTGACGACGCACAATTTATCCAATATTTTATATCGGCTACGTTTAGGTCATTTTCGCGTCTAAATTCTGTACAGACTACATCATCTAGATAGACATCATCACTCTATCAAATTGAAATTTTAATTGTTTTTTAACTCGCGAATTAACAACATTAGACCCGATTTCACTAAGAAATATTGACATCGATTAAAAGTTACAAGCAATATCTAATTTTGGTATAAACTACTAGTTATATTTTCGTTATTATTTCTTGGTGAAATCTGGCTATGCTAATAAAGCGGGCAAAGCGCAAATGACGAAAATGTTCACAGGAGTTGATAGGGAACAGAAATATCCTTAATACTGCTCCCTGTCAGAACCGAACTTTGTTTCATTACATTTCCAGAACGAAAACGTAGATAATCCGTTAAGATTAAATAATTGATTTGTATTTACTTTTTAACTATATTCATATATAACACAGATCTATTAAAATACTCGTGAGGCAGCTTACTACAGGCGTCACAGTAAAAAGTTAACAGCTTTTTAGAGGCCCAGCTTAACCGACATATTTTAAAATGTAGTAAGTATTTAATCATTTACATTTTAACTGTTATATTACATACATGTTACAAAACTTGGCCAAGTACTAAAAAAGTTTTGTGACTACAAAGTTTACAAAGAGAAAGTCTAGTTTAACTAAGAAATCCGCTCCAAAAATCTGCTAATAATAATTGCTCCTTACCTTGCGGCAAAAATAAATAAATATATCTACACCATCACTTGACTGTACACAAAATGGAATTTGTTGTAGAAAAATATACTCCAAACTGTATCTACATCAGTTAAGCCATTACATGGCGTCGTCGCTACGCATACATACATTTTTACACGCACGCTCTTAACATAAGACGCACTTAAGGGATGATATACCGCACGGTACAAACTTCCAGCTTAGCTTAACATTACCTCGTAGAATAGAGATGGATTGTTTCTAAAACCATGCCTGATCGTAACAAATGATGGATCACGTAACAATGGTAAAATATTTTGGGACATCGATCGAACTGTATGATATACGTCCATGGACCTTAAAAATTGTACAACAAGGGCGGGACTTGAACCGGCATACACAGTGTTCCGTGCTATTGCTCTCAACAATTCAGCTACCATGTCACGGCATCGTCGAATTTTTTCAAGATATACATGCACCTCTCGCGCAATGTAATTTCAACCTTAACACTTGCGTATTAAGGTTGCGTAATTTAGGCAATCTATAATCGATTTTAAATGTATATACGAATCATGTGAAAAATACTAGTTTTCTAAAATTTCGTGATCTTTCAAATTCCGTCTCTATCCTACGACAGCGAAGATGTCATTCTTCCTTTTATCGTGATTGTAAACATTGATATTCAAAATATCACCTACGGACACAGCGGTTTAAGGTCGAAACCAAGTACACAAAGGTGAGGTAGTGGCACAAGATAATATTGTTTAGTTCTCAAACACATCACGAATTAAACGCACAAGGATCTTAGTGTTTTTCTGTTTTAAATAAAACGTTTGAAAATGTTCAATGAAATATAATCTGCTATGTTGATTTATACTGTGTAAGTGAGTGAGTGTGGGAAAATACAATTTTTATTTTTATATTAGTGTCTAATCGTGATGTGTTTATCCGAATCATAATTATTGCCCAAATACGGCAGTGAACACAAACAGTATACAGAACAAATGGTTATTAATAAAAATGCTATTCGATGTTTTTAAACAATAACCGCTAGAATTACTATATTAGGGATGATTAAATTGATTATTTCCTTCAACTAGTTAAATTACCAATTCATACTTAAAATAAATTAATTTATACAATAAGCTCATTAAGTTATTAAATAAAAAAAGACGCCAATATATTTACTATTTTTATATGTTGATTTGGAATTCGCAAAGATATTGGGTAATCAGCTTTTATTACGGTATCCCAATTTCAAGTTTAAGCAGTGAACCATTTATAATAAATAGAGCCTAACAGGTTCTAAGTAAGACACTATACTCTCTTTAAACATCTAAATATTTCAACGCGTTAGGCTGTATTTGCGTTTGTTCTAGGAAGAAATTGGCCGCTATAAGTCTAATGAAATTCGCTGGATCATATGTTTCACATATTAAACTGCGAGTCAGACTCGCACACAAGGGTTTCGTACAACAACGAAATATCAAATCTGAAGTATGGGAATACATTTTATTCTGTATATAGCAAACGAAATACTTAAATAGACGGCGATAGATGGACAGCGGGGTCTTCTGGATCCCGTTTTATGCTATAAGTACGGAACCCTAAAAATGAAGGATTGACTAATTAGCGCATGCGCGGCCTAAACACGAAATAAATAATCGATTTTAATATATCACTGACACTATAAAGTCTGATCGCGTTGAGTACCAGGGTCGCAGAGCGGGCGGGTGGTGTTCGGTCACGTGCTAGGAGCACTCGTTACCACGACCACGGGCTTCACGATCGTGGTCGCGCTCAGGTACTGCGCGCTCACGGTCAACGGCGCCACGCTGCCCTTCACCATCTGACTTTCAACCATCTGAAACGCATAAAAATATTATTAAATGACATATAAAGAATGATCTTTACAGTTGAAATAGAAGAATCGAAGAATCAATATTCCAACAAAGTTTTTGAATAATATTAATTTCTCTAGCATACCCAATCCTTAAACAAAATCTGTTTCATCAAGCCATATAATAATTTCGTATGGTCGAAATTTAGTTATTGTTCCTGCACCAGAGCAATTTTAGTTGTGATAAAAGGTATGGTGTCCACGGGCAGTGTATGAACTTCAGCAATGAAGTTCATTCTGTTACTATGTAGAATAATATTGTAAAAGAAGCGAATTCTATGTCATGTGTTAGCTACCCTTATATAGGAGGCCCGACTACAATTTAAGGACATAGCAATAAAGTACCTTATGGGTGAGAGTGTGTGTGTGCGTGTGGAGGAGGTGCGCGGCAGATTGCGAGACCACCAGCGGAGCCAGCCCGCTGACCACTACGCTACCGTTGTCTGCAAATTAAAATCATTTTTAAATTTAAGGTATTTAAATAAAACACTAATGTATTCCGCATTTTAAATAGTTGAAGTGTTTAATATTAAAGTGTAATACTCGCGTAAACTACAGACAGTATTTAGAGCTATTTAGGCAATATTTGTGAACTTATTTAAAAACTATTATATTATAAAATATATATACCAATACTATTTATAGTATTTTTGCGCTTTCTACTTACATCATACAACAATACTATAATAGTTTAGTTTTGTTTGTAGAATGTGTAACATCAAGTACTTAGATATGATCGGTTAGATATCTCTCATAGTTGCTCAGACCCACCATTTTTTTGTTAATTCTTTTGTCTAATACATAACAAACACAGTCAATTTGTAGAATATGGCAGCATTTACATCTTACGTTTGGCACCTTACATTGTCATAAGATATATATTTATTATTAAATATGTTAAATTCTTCTTACCGCTAGTGACAGCAGCTGGCGAAGCCGATACTATGCCGTTCTCTTTTGTCACAAGCCGACTACTCTCCGCTGTCACACCTGTAAACCAAACAAACAACATTACAAATTTGCCTGAAAAATTTAAATATATATATATATACATACACGTTTTTGAACAATTTAAAATGCAGTCTGTAGCTACCATTCGTGGTTTTGGATACTTTACAGTAGTTTCCACGGGAATTTTGATCAAAAAGGAAATCAAAAGACGTTTATAATGCCCAGCGATTGACTAGAGATACTAAAAAAGCGATAACAAAACAATTACCATTAGTCTGCAAAACTCGTAGTCCACCACTTGTCGATAAGAGTTGTATGGCAGCAGGGCTGACCATTAGACCGCCACTACTCACCATCTAAAATGATTCAAATATGAAGATAAGAAATGTTTTATTATCTATTAAATGTATTAAACAAAGGATCCAAATATCCTGATTTTAGTACTATCAGATGTTATTAGCATTGCATTTATTCATTTTATTGTAGTAAATATGATTATTACCTGGGATATAGGTAGGTGAATTTGAGCAGGTTGCACCAGTGTTCCGAACGTATCTGCACTGTTACCATTCTCTTGGCCATTCTGGAAATAAAACGTACTTACTACTAAAAAAATATAATGTAATAGTGCGACGTAAGTCTTAAGACCGGCTCGAAGGACCTCCGGATGAAGCGAGCCTTAGTGCTGGTATAGGTCATTTAGAATATTTGGATTTAGTAATTTAAACATATGTTTTACCGCAAGATGTAAGTACAATTGGGAAACGGATATACCTTATGACATAGTGTATATTTCCCGAAATTTCAATTATAATTTCAAAGAAGATTCACTGACAAGAATAACTTATATAAGGTAGATGCTTAACTCACCTGCATAGTGCATGTGGACTCAGCTGGTGCAATGGTGGTCAGCGTGAGAGAACCATGCCTCGCACCGTACGACGTGCGAACCATCTGCGATACAAAAAAATACGTCTCAGTTTGGACAATATCCTATATACATATATAGGCTGATAATTCGATAATATTTCTCGTATTTAGTCAGAATTAAAAAGCAACAAGCAATGCACACACAAATCATTTCTACGAAAGACTTGCATTTCTGTGAGAGTCAATCGGACTAATTTTACAATTAATTACACAACATCGAAAAATCTGAAATTCCTGATAGTAAATTATATTAGATATTTAAGTTACTATTGTTAAATACATACGCAATGTACGCCAGGCGTCGAGTCGTTCCTTAAAGCGTCACTGCTGCGCCGTGTCGTATGTGTCGTGTTGTGTAAACTATCACACACAACACGACACATACGACGCAGCGCAAGCAAATACTTGAAACATCCTTTTCAATCCTTTTCATGGCCATCAGTTAAGCGTTAGGTTTTTTAATAATATTCTAATCACTAATCATAATCCCCTACTAAAACTGTATTACAGGAACATTAGTAATATTAAATTGCATACAACTATGCTACTAACACAAGAAAATCCGAGATACAGCATACGATCTTGGAAACTTTTTTTTCGGTTTTCTAATTCTAATCCGAAGATTAAGATCAGCCCTAATTTCTAACTCTATACCAGGGTCGCATACCTGCGAGGTAGTGGGTGATATTTGTATGGGCAATGTGCGCAGCTTTGTGCTGAGGTTCAGAGTGCGAGGGGGCGGGGTCTCAGCTCGACTCACTGACCGCGGCGGCGAAGAGGTAATCTGAAATTAAACATGAATGTTAACATTACATATAGCACTACTGGATTACGTAAGGTGCTTTTATTCAATATAAGTCCTTACATGATTTATATTTAATATAATATACTCACACTAATAGGGATTCCTAGAAGTTGTCCATTTACCACGCTATCCTCCTTATCTTTTTCTTCAACATCTAAATTAAGAAAAATAAAACACTTATTATACACAATCGTGCGTGTTACCTACATAACTAACTGCATTTTCATAGAATTAGTGCTACTATTCAACAAATATTATTTCTCGTTAATTTATTGCATTACGTTAGAAAGAGATACAAAACAGTAGGCCTCTTTCTAACGGAGCTCAAGACAAATTAAATTCGGGTCATTAAATTAATAATATAATAAAATAATAAAAAACCAGCTCAAAACAACAAACTCTCTTCTAAACTATGTTTCGAAACGATAATATTGTCAAATATTAAATAATCTCGAACGAACGTACTAGGCTCGCAGAAGTGTAGTGGATGTCGATAACAGTCTGCGTACTCACCGTTGGCGCGAGGTCTCACAGTCGTGGCGCGAATGGTTACTTCTCGCTTCAACGCAGCTAAACGCTGTTGCGAGGCGATCTTCTCTCTCGCGAGCCTTTCCATCTCGTGTTCGCACTCGCGTTCCTTGCGTCGAAGCACCTGCGAACGAGTATTGAGGTCGCAGAAACTTCAAGATATAATATGTATAGCAAACACATTCATAAACCCTAGAGGTCTCTGCTTCCGGGTAGCCGCAGACCTCTTTTTTTTCTATAATTCAGCCAGTAGTAAAAATTGATTCCTTTTGTCCTTTAGTTAACGAACAAATATAGCTTGATAATGTACAAGCTTATTTTGTTTCAAATTGTAATGAAATACGGAGACAAATAATAATAATTACCTAACAGACGTATAATGTTAATATTGTTGTCAATTAGTTCCATTTCCGTGAGTGCCCCGAAGGCTTTTCCGTCAAAGAGACGAGTTAATGGCTGAATATGAATCTAATTGAAATATCATGCCAATAAGATAAAGTTCAAGAGATTCTTTGAACTTAAGTTAAAATACTCCATTAAAGTTGTTAGTGAAAAGGTAATTTGTTCGTTTACTTTATTTGTTTGTAAAACATGTTAGATAAGTATTAATTTATTTGAAATTGGAAGTTCTAATGTATTCTATTGTTTTTGGTTGCCATCAATTATAATATGTTATAAATATTTATACTTTTAAAATATAATTACCAAATTTAAGTAAAAAAAAAAGTATATTGTTAATACTTAAGCTAAGCGAATACCTGGTCATTTTTAAAGGTTATTAGAGATTTTTTGAAGAATTATCATTACCTATAAATCCGTTTTTAAACATAATTTTTGGAATATTTTGCACGTACAGCAACCAACATCAAAAAAATGTTACCTGTATGTATCGAATGGCCGAGCCCAAAATGGACAGATTGGAGGTCTTCTTATCATCCGGGGTGCCAGGCAACTGCCGCTTAAGCATCTCGAAGCACTCCTTGAGGTGCGCGCGCCGGTTCTTCTCGAGCTTATTGTGCACTTCCCTGGTGCCGGCACGAGGTGCACCGTTGCTCCCGGTGCTTCCATTGCTGCCGCTGCTGCCGACTGACGGAGGAGATGGGATTTGCGTTGGCCTGCTGGAATATTTTTTGTTATTGAATAGGAACTTAACATCTCTGATTTGATTTTGGGAATTGCATCGTAACGCTAATTAGTAATTATACACTGTAATAAAAATCATAAGCATTCAACCATTTAAATTAAGGTGTGGTGTACAATCGTGTTTAGCGCGAATAGTTTTATATAATTACTACTATCACTACTACTGATTCCTACCACCTATGTATAATTATTTTTTTAAATATAATTATTGTAATTTATAAGATTTCAGTATCAAGCTAAACATTGCGAATAAATTGATCTCAGCCTCGTAAGATAGTCCATTAAATCACAAAATAGGGGACTACATAACGAGATATTAATGATGCATGCAGCACCATGGTACAAGCTATGTATGTGATGAATATCTAAGGTACTTGTTTAATATTGATGACGCATCCCCGAGAACCTTGAAACCAATCACTTGGGACAAACATGCTGATAACAACTTAACGGAGAAGCCCACTTCTTAAGAGATTATTTTTAATTACTTTGACATGGATCTCGATGTGTTAGCACGGTCCTCGTTGAAATTATGATTAAATTGCGTTTAATAAACTTGCTTTAATCGATAATTAGTTGCATTCAAATAACAGATTTAAATAAAAAAAAAAGAGATTTAGACAACATTTTGACTATCATCGGTAATATTAAGTGGTTTAAAATTATGTTTTTAAGCAAAAAAAAGTAATAACCTACCAATATCCACAATGGTAACAAAGTATTTAAAATTTGTTCATTGTTATTTAATAATAGGCCAATTTTTAGATACATAATAACAGCTTCAGTAATCATCCTGTATGTAAGTTTTTATTACGGGATGGATGGCAAGGATTAACTTAAGATTCAATTATGACCCTTTTACATTTTGTTACGCCTTAGAATGTTCTAGATACGACGCATTAATTCGCTACATCCTAAATAATAGATGCACCCTTTAAATGTTTTATACATTTTATGTGCTGAAAAACATTGATCTCTTTCCATCTATCCAAAGATCCTTTACATATATTAATTTGATCGAGATCCATACAATTTTCTTTTCTATTTGCGGCGTTTCCTATTGAAATGATATGTTTGAAATACTGAATATAGAAATAGAGTAAAATATGGCTTAAATATATTAATTAGCTACGCAAATATTAAACAAAATAAGCCAAGTGCTTTCGTGGATATTTACGTGAAACCAAACAAAGCAAAAACCTTAATGCTCACTCTAATTTTGTTCTTAAATATTTTTTTTCTTCTAAATTCCAAGGCGAAGAAGCAATGCCCCAGCTGTTTTCAAGACCGCAGTTACTAGGGTACTATGACATACCCGTGACTGCCGTTCGTAGTACGCGGTCTGGAATGTTCTTGTGCGAAGTCGAGGATGGGCGGTGCGGGTGGCACGGGGGTCGACTCTGGTGGGGCAGGAGGCGCAGCGGGCACCGGGGCGACGGGTACCGGTACGGGTACGGGTACGGGCGCGAGCACTGGCGATGGCGGCCGCACAACACCATTGCGCGTCACCGACACTTCTGACACCCGCACTGACACCGGCAACTCCGGCTCCTCCTCTGCAAATAAAAACGATACGCGTCAGACACGCGACAATAAAATCTGCCTAACTGTCCGCAGGCTGGACAGAGAGCGAATCGCCGCGGTGGATCACGTCGTCCGCCGAGGCTACGTTTCGTGGCGGTAAACTACCAGGACAGCATAGATAGTTAAGAAGCTTTCTGCCAGGAACGTGGATGGGTGTGATGCCGTGGGGTTTTGAAAGTGCGACTACACTTCGTAAATGGTCGATCGATGTTAAACCGTATTGGTCGGTAATAAGGTTTATTTTTATATAATAATAGCAGCGTTCGCATGCAATCTAAAATGGGACAGATATATTTACCGACAGTTCGTAAGAGGGAGATAGCGAGAAGGCGTAACTTGTTTGACGTCATTATAGCCCATGCGGAGTTTGACGTCCGTTGCTACGCCAAAAATCAGCTGCTTGGAGGGAATACAAAAAACCGGTGTTCACTGCACGGGTTATCGGAGAACGCAACTACGTAAAGCGTGTTTGGATACAAAATTCGCTTTTAATAAACAAGTAGCATTTTATGTTAATTCATAACGATTATTGTTCTTAAATATAACAAAATCCACTTCAATAATATAATATATCAAATTCACCTACGTGTTTGTTAGATACTTATTAGAATACGTTAGGAACCACGTAATTTAGTTAATGTACGTACCTTACAACAAAGAGTAATACGATAATACGATTAGTGAAAAATTACCGGAAACACTAATTAGCTGCTTTGTTTATGTCTAATAATAACCAACTTTAGGTAGAAATATGGTTTTCCTTGAGTTTTTAATTAATACTTTTTCTTATATTTGGGCTGCATTCAATATTTAAGTATATATATATTTACTTAAACATGCTAAATAACAACCGGATGCACCGAGCAACCGGAGTACCGATATTGGTCGATCTAAGTATTTGACATAAATTTAAATACAGTCATACTCCGCTCTGTCCCGGTGTTTGAACTTTTGACTTTGACGAATATCTTGTATTCAACCGTTGAATTATTTACGCCATTCTAATGCTTACGCTTTACAATTGAGATATATCTTCACGACACATACAAAATTATAATGCTTTCTCTAATCACTACCTTTGTTGGTTTTTTTTGGAGATTTTTTAAAAAATACCAAATTGATATAATTCTGTATTTAAAAATTATAATTCGTTATTATTCTATAATCTATTATAATTATTATCATTATATTCGTTACTTTAACTAACTGCTACTACTGTTATTAAACAATCTCCACGTTTCTTAAATATTGTGGCAGTATATCTATAGCAGGTATATCTATCTAGGAATTGTAAATTCGTCTTTAGCTCCTTCTAGATTAAAATTAATGAATAATTAATATTTTTTTCCTTCGGCGACCATTTTACTATTTCACTTTCAGAGAAAGGTGAATAATGTTTCGGAATTAGTTACCTACACCAAAGTTAGACTTCAATTTAACACAGTTTCTCTAGATTTGTTACTATCTCTACTTAATCGTCCTTAAATAATAAAAGATCTTAAATTCAGTCTAGATTGAAGACTCACATGTTAGTAGTATCTTTTTTCTAGACATTTTCAACTTGACAAACTTTTGAGTCCTTCTGCAATCTCCTTTTTTTGCAAACTACTTAAATCTTCCGTTGTTTAAGCAAAGAATAAGCAAATAACGCGTTTCGTAAAACCAGGTCGTCGGAAGAGGAGTAAAGGGAACACAGAAAGTATATTGGATTTATACGAATGTCATTCATCCACAGGTTCATGCTGCTCAAGCCGGGGGGTGCTGTTGATGTCCTATTCGCTTCACGCACGAGTACCCGGGACCCAGACAGATAAAACGAATAAAATAAGAATATTCTCGAACAACAAGCATTTTCCTTGTTATGTAACCTTGTGGCTGTGATAGGTACGACTAAAGTGCCTCTATCGTTATTTTGATGATTAAGTTATATATATAACATTTTATTCCTAGAATGGCTACGAAATTTTTGTCTTAAAGATTATTTCATTTAACACGTTACGTGAAAATATACTAAGTTGGTATGTACCTATTGTTTTGACTTCTGAAATAAAAAAATAAATAACCAAACATTTTATAAATGAAATTAGAATTAAGATAATTGTAAGCCATACCTTATTATTTTCTTTTTTTAAGTTTATTATCATAATTATTAATTTGTGTATGCTAAGTAGTATTTAGTCATTTTTAATTTCGAGTGATCGCGTCTAGAGTGCCCAAAACGTATTCCTATCAGATATGCGATCCTGGTACAAATGCGCAGCCAGCGCGGCGGTCGCTATCGTTTGCAGAGGCAAACAAACTGTGCGAAAGAGTCGCCGAGATTATATTCATCCCGTTCCCACACAGTCTGTAGGTAATACAGGTTTAGATTTAGCTAACTTGGAATGAGTCAATTAGCAGCACGACCATAAAACAATGGCCAATGCAAAACATGTTATATAACTGATTACTACATACAATACGAACAATTTTCATTTGTGATGATAATTTTTTCTCATAATAAGACAAATAGAACCGTCTAGATTACAAATCCACAGCTGGTAACGCCGATAAGTCATGAATCGCATTCCCTGGCCCGAGCCCACGTAAATCGGAACGGATATTTGACGTTTGGGTTTGTTGGACGCGTGCGGAGTCCGTCACAATATGATTGTATACCTAATACTGCTACATATATTTAAAGATATAAGATTCAAAATGAAAGAAAAGTGATTAATTATTATAAGATTCACGTTTTAGTAAACGTTTTTTCTAATAGATTCAATGTTTTTTTTTAAATTATTGACGCTGAATACTTTCCAAAAGATATTAAATGTCGGTCACATATTATTATGTATGACTACAAAAAGAAGGAAGGGATAAACATAAACACATCCTAACGAAAGTGGAGATTAATTATGGATATTTAAATATGTCGAACTCCGTAGTTCAATAGTAACGCGTGTCGGCCAGTCTGGGTCCCGGATTTGAATGTTATTTCGGTGCGTCACAAAAATGTGTTCAACGATGTAAAAAATACAATCAAAGCTATTAAAAATTTGCGTAATTGCGTAGTATGATGAAACACTTGAGCAAACAAGACTTTAATAAATGAGAAAGAAACCTAATACCTACGTTGATATGAACAATTTTATCGCAATGTCAATAACCTCGAGAATCGCAACGCGGCCTATATTTCCGTAGCGTTCTTTTCAGCACGTGTAAATTATCTACATCATAATAAGCGATATAAAATGTATAGACACTTGTTAGTTACGACTGACCCATGCAGAGCAGATATTTATTTTATCTAGTTAACGGTCACGTTACATGTACGGTGGATTCATTATTTGGTAAGTCTTGATATTTAATTAAAACACTTTAAACGGTTTAAAACGCGCAATGTATAAGTTAACTTATTTACTATTTACTTAATCACGGCGCGACGTTTCGGATACTTTGCATCGTGGTCGCGGAGTACCTGAAGAGGGAGGGTGTCTCTAATGTCAAAGTCAAAAATCTACCTAATCATTAGTCGCAAAGCATCCGAAACGTTGGGTCTTAGTAAAAATATATTGTAAATCAGTAAACTAATACATTTCGAGTTTTAAACCATTAAATATGTTTTATTTTCCCATGCGCATCTTCTAATGAATTTTCAAAAACAAAAAACTATCACTATTTCTATATACCTACTACCTAATAACATATACTTGAAACTGTTACTTCTTCTTTTCTCTTACTATTCTCTGTCTCAACATTCTTCTCTTTTGAATACTGTCTGTAATTTACGCGACAAATACGTGTACGCGTTTAAAAAAAACCCTTTAACGGTGTAAAACGGGATATATATTAGTTAAAATTATTTAAAATATATTTTAACTATGGCCCGACGTTCCGGTCTCTTAGCAGCAGGACTCCCTTTTTAACTAATATATGTCGCGTTTTAAACCGTTAAAGTGTTTTATTTAAATTCTTCTCTATTGCAATATTATTCATATAAAATGTAACTTCAGAAGTATTTAGTCTTAAGTGCGTGCCAGAGGCACATTTGTTAACACATTGTATTTTTTATTAGATATGTTCAAAGCAACTATGTGTTAGTATTCCGATTATATACTAAACGACATTGTGTTATATAAACAAAGCTGTACACAATTACAATTACGCAACATACGGCGCACGAGTGTATTCTATATATGTTGAGACTTGCCTGAGATGCATTACGTAACATTATTATTCACATTATTTAATATTAGTGTATGATTCACTACATTAAGATCTTAAAAAATATATATATATAGAACATTTAAATAAAAAAACTTTAACGGTTTAAAACGCTATAGATATTAGTTAAACTTATTTGAAATCGGGTCGACGTTAAAATTAATTATCATATAAGTTTAGCTAATATATATCGCGTTTTAAATCGTTAAAGTATTTTATTTAAATAGGTACTACTTGCTGAAACTACAGACAGTATTTTATATATAACATTATAAACGGTCTAAACTGGGAAATATATTAGTGAAATTTCTTTCATCTGCGACCAGACGTTCCGTGGCTTTGCGTGACCACAACTGCTATATCCGAAGCGTCAACTAATAATTTAAAAAAAAAAACTACATAATACATCTTTGTCGCTTTAAACAGTTAAGTGCTACGCATTACTAGCCCAAGAGAAAACAGCTGGCCCATGCTTTTCTAAGAATAAAGCAATAATGTAGACGTTTCTTTGGAAAATATAACGTGTAGCGTGCCGCATTTCAACAATTATAACACACGAATTACAATGTAATGTTTACCGTGATCAAATATTATTTGCGTGTGCGCATTGTGTGGAAGGCGATTTTATTCGTCGCTGATAAGTCGCGGTAAATCTTCATAATCGTGAGTACACGGCCATGCTAAATGGGTGGGTGTGTTCACATTTAGATATTATTTGTTAAAGAAGAAATTACAATTTTGATAATGTTGTAATTAAGCGAAAACTGAAAGCAATAATCTAAAGTAGATATGGTTTGTTCAGTTCCTTCCCACAATAGGTATAAAAGTAAATTGAAAAATAAATCTTTCATGAACTTACGATTTAAATCTAAAAGTGTTGCTTTTCCACGTTTTTGACTACCAAATTTACTACTTACTTTATATAACTAGATACAAATTGAAATAAAAACATCTTTAATGGTTAACAGTGCGAAATATTATCTAACTTGATTTTAAATACAGCCCCCCCCCCCCCGCCGTTATCTTGTTTGTACATAGTTTTGTAGTCGAAAAGAAGTCAACTCCATTTCATTATTTCTCGTTTCAAACCGTTAATATTGTTCTTATTTAGATACAATGCTTACACGTACATTCATCTTTTTTACGGATTTTGCGGTTCAAAACTAACCGGACATTAGACATAAGTATATTTGCGAAGCCTAGTAATATTAAACAGCTTTGTAGCAAAACATTGACGCAACAAACATCCTGTCGATGATAAAATTATGTTGTGATTGAGAAGTGTGTATCTTTATAATTCAATATGTATTGGAAAGTATAGCATAAATTGTCAGTTGTATCAAGTAACCCTATCTATGTACTTATCTTGTTTATTCACAGGAAAAATTTTACATATTTTCAATCAACTGTAATTATTTCAAATCATCCTTATTGGCAAATCATTTTATTGTATTTTCCTGAATACGAAATAGAATCTAAATACACTTACAGATAATTTCTCTACATAATAAACGTAACTGAGACATCTGTATTTGACAGATGAGTAAAGCGAGTGTTTCTGAGTTCCTCCAGTCTACAATTCTTTTCATATAAACTGATGGCCGAAGAAATTTCGATGAAAAGTAATAAGAAGTATATTACAGTTTTTATACCAGACCTCTAAGTTTGACGAGAAAGCGTAATAAATTATTCACTGCTTTAAATATAAATTAACAAAAATCTCTGTTAACTCATAGCAATCAACTGTGCCGACTTTAATCAAAATTAATATACAACACTGTGCAGTGTTGTTCATTGACGAATTTAGTTGCGCACAGCCTCACTATTGTGCAAAAACAACACAAGGTTGTTCCGGCAAGGTCGACAAGACATCGCTCGTGATCGTCGCCGCGTAATCTAATTTGTACGTGTATTTCGATACTTTACCCTTACTAGTAGATTTTAACTACATCGTTCCCAAAGGAATTGGGTCTTTTTAAAAGCATTATATAATTGAGGTTTTTGAGGGAGTCTTTGGTACTGTATATAGCTTATAATTAACGATTACTACCAAGTCTAGGTTTAATAGTAGTAGGTGTAAGTGCCACTTCCCTACTGTCCAAAGCCAAATTGGGTCGACAACGCTGGGTATAAAAATACAACTAGAATCCTCATTTGTTCTTTATATTGAGGACTTACCTAAGTACTCCTTGATCCACTTCTTTTTGGGTGGTCTCGCCACCTTAACAGACTCCTTCTTAACAGGACTTTGGATGATAACAGACGCGGTAGCCCGTTCCGGATCAGATCGGGGTACTGGGTGCAAGGCAGTTATAACTGACTGTGGGTATCCATAATCATTTGTATGTCCGAGGGGTTGGAGATGTTTATACGCTTTAAGCGTTATCGGTATTGGTTCGACATAGCTTCCGAATTCTGTCTCCCTGGTATTAATAGCTATTGTGTGCAGCGTCTCATAGTATTCTCCTGGAGCGCCCATCGTGCCGAAGATCTCAGACTCGATGTTGCGACAATTGACACCAACCAAATTAACCTCTGAGGCTTCCATTTGCACGCCCATTCTATGCAAACAGTCTTCACTAACTACTCACTTTTGAAGTCCTAATTTTAACTGTTTTGTAATAGTCCTTTGCAGTTTCCATTTTACACTAACACTTATCTGATGTATTATTTATTTGGTTTTTAATATACTCCGTCACTGTAATTTGAATAGAGGGAATAAGTTGGTGCGCTTGTGTTTCTTTAAAACCGCATAACCTAAGTTAAAAAGTGGATTGCACACTTAAATTCTTCTCATTTTTGTATATACAATAAGTATTGTGTGGCCATTGTAATTGTAATTTCATAAAAATCCAAAGTTTCCTAAAAAAGTCTGTAAATTGTTTACGTAAAGTCCTTACAACTTCGGAAAAAAATCTTTATTGCTTATTGTAGGTTAGTACTTATAACAGTTAAGAAAAGGAGTAAAACAAAAGACGGCGAAGCTCTAAGAAATCCATTTACTGCGTTTGTTTGACCTCGAACTTTCAGGTATTTCATATTGTTTTTAAAGAAACACCAATTTCTGTCAAAGAAATATGGTTAATTCAAAAAGTTACACAGCGTAGACCGTCGGCAACTAAGAAAGCTACTCATCTGGCTTCGACAACTACACCTTAAGAAAATTTTAATACCCAGTCAAAAGTAAGCAAACATCGGTTAGTTAAACGCGCTCTGTTCACACGTATTTCGTAAACAATGATAACAACCATATAATCGAACAATAGCACAGAAATTGCCAGAAGGATTCGTTTTACAGTCTCTAACAAACGTTTTAGTTACTGTAGAAAAAAATTTTTTTTAACGATTCCATTAAAAAACAATAAAATGCGAATGTAGAAATCGATAGCCCCAGTGATAGTCCTCTGGAAAGAGACAAAACATATACAACGGTGACGAGTGAGAAGAGTGAAATAACAGTGTCGTGTGATTCGAAGGCCAGTGGCAATAGTGAGCAATCGGCTCAACAAGTGAGGGGGAGGGAAACGAACGCATGGCATGCACGGTGATATGATTGCGAGCCGCTGCTGCGAGCACGTGTACTCTGCCCCCTTCTCCCGTACCTCGAGACATATACTAGTTCTACCAACATCATGCGTTCCTGGTACATGGGACGGCCGTATTGCATAGTCTAACAAAGAAGTAACACGTGTATGTGAGAGATCATCCACACATCTTTGATTTAGGATTTGAAATGAGCAACGCGCGCGTGGGCGAGTATATCGTGAGAATGTTGTACATTAAAAGACATAAGAATCTAAATAAAGGAGATTGGTTAAATAATAAAAAATTAATTCAGAGACAGATAAGTAAATCTGAGACGTTAAACGCTTAACCTGTATCGATTCTATCGATTATTAATAATTTACAAGTTAACGTTAATATTAAGGTAAATACGAACAACGAACTGGTGTATAAGGGGTAAGGCGAAACTAAATTTGATTACCATAAAAGAGTGTAAAAGTAATGACGTCTGTTACAGTCAAATAAAACCCAGCTATACCTATTAGCAAGGTACGGACATTTGGCATGCTTGACACACATACAATGCAAATTGACACCGCAATTAGACACCAAGCTGATCCGATACTGACACAAAGAAAACAGCATAACAATAAATTTCTAGGACATAGGTACCATGTGTTATTATTGCGTAAGAAACATTACCTTTTCATAACTACATAGAATTATCCTTACTAGCTACGATACTAAATAGAAAATCGGATATGGCCGTCGTGTTCTATGCGATTGTTTTATTATTATTTAAAACCAGCTCCATATTCGTTAACCGCCGTAATAATTGTTACTAAAGCGCAAAATAAAAAGTTTTAATAAAAGCAGAAATTTTAGTACAAATCGGTAGACATTTTTAGCGTGAGGACGCGCAGTTATTTTTAACGTTACTATCAATTTCAATTGAAATATATGAAGGATCAGTTTTGATATTAAAGGTACAAATTGATAAGGGATTATTTATTAAGTAAGATATGTATCTACGTATAGCATGAGACAAAGTGTACCATTCCCTCCCAAATTCTAACCCTGAAATATGTAATAATGCCAAATAAATTTAATTATTTACGTTACTTGTATAGGTAATTGCTGTAATTAAGTTCTTGGACCACTGAATTGCGATAAACATACGTATACTGAAAATGATACAAGGAGTGGAAATAAGAATGAAACTAAAAGAAAAGTGAAATTAACTGGAATCATCGCCTGAAGATTACATTAATTCGAGATTAGAAACTGCGTCAAGTGGCATTGTAACAGATAGAGAACATAGTACAGTAATGAGTAAAGCAAACATTTAATATATGTAGCTACAAACGTTTTTAATGCATAAAGATTGGAAATATTTTAATTTGTACATTATTATTTGTTTACGAAATCTTCCTTAAATCTCAATATGTTAAGTAGTTACTGAATATATTTTTATGTTACACGTTTTTAGATTAAACGTTGGTTATTTAAAAATATTTAGAACACAATGCTGATGAACGCTTAAAGAAAAAAAAACGACAACTGAACAATACTAAACCAATTTCAATGACGAAATTAATGAATCAAATAATTTACGATCATCGAGAACACATACGAGAAAAAATAGCAGTCTCTCTATCGTTTTCACTGGATAGGATAATAGAATTGGATAAGCTAGTGAGCTTGCTATTTTTAAGTGGTTTATTAATCGGTCGTTCTAGAAGTGTTTGCACTCTAGTAAGGCCAAGGATAAATCGAAAAACGTGGGACTCAAGGTGGAGCCTTCGCGGGCTCGATGCGCAGTGCTGGCCGCTGGCAGACAGCAACCAGCCACTGACCACAACTAATTGTCGCTTGCAATGGGCGCGCACGTGTGAGGCGGCGCGCAGGTGCCGCCGACCTCGCGCTATCTCGTCTCGCCGCCGAGGTCACGATGATAACACACTCTATTTTCGAGCACAGCTGTTAGCTCGACCGATCGTGACCGTCACAAGCGCACCCGCGAATACCCCCATACGCACCGGACTCGCTACGCCGCGACACTTCGCGTGGAAGCGGAGGAAGCTATCGCCAACCGGCGTCGACAAGCTCCGCTCGACGACTGACCTACAATGAGGAGTCAGAGAGTGGCGTGCGGAGGCCGCAGTCGCGTAGAGGGCGGAGGCGGGAGGAACGCGACCTCCGATCCCCCCGCGCGTCTCGTTTCAGTGCACCGGCGAGCGGCGGCCGCGACCGAGCGACACCGGCGCGGGCGGCGCGGCCGGGCGGGCGCCGCACGCGCTCGAGCGAGACACTCGCACTGCAACGTTTTGGAATTTACATAACCACTAGGAGTTGCAACTCCCTTTGCACTCGGCGATAGCGATAGTTCCTCGCAGGCCACTGCAAAGGAGGTCACTAGCTGTCCGCCACCACCGGCGCGCACATCTATAGAATTTTAACTTCTAAGCGATGAAGTGACAGCCCGGCCGACCGATGACGTGGAGGTGGACGTTAGTCGGTCGGCCGCCGAGTCACTGAACCTAATCGAATAAGGTGAATGGAACATTGTAATCGAACGGCACGAAGGATGGTGCGAGTGTAGGAGTCTGCCAAGTCCGGTCGTGGCGCTCCTTTCCTTATGCGCGAAAACGCAGCTTTCTAATAATGCAGCCATTAACATCGCCCACGAGAATGGTTCACATGCTTATACTGGTTTTACATACGCTGATAATACCGCATTTAAAAAGTAGATTTAGTAACACTTGTTTACAAATGTTATCAGCAGAAAAAGAATAAACTACTTAATTTCGGCGTAAGGCATTGGTCTTGCAAGTGTAACCAAAATTAAATTATAATATTCTACCGTATAGTCGCTCTGATTACAGCGCACTATACGAGACAAATAGCGATCTCGCTATAAATAGTCACATTCCAATATTAACCGTGAACTCCACGTTACATTTTAACTTTGGTCCAACATCAACGTCATATCATGTACGCGGGGCATATACCTACATTAGGGGGATTATCGATGTTTTTCAAGATTTCCGTGAGGCGAAGTGTCAGGGAGGGTATTGTTTCGAGTGCAGGTCGCAGGGATACATAAACAGTGGGTGTTTATTCCGATAAGCCTGGCGGGAGAGGGAGATCGCTGAGCGACGCATGCGTGCTCTCGCTGACCTTGGCGCGGTGCAGCGTGCAACCCCCCCTCCGCGCACTACCCCTCTCGCGACTGCCCCCCCGCATTTTATGTACCCCTTGTAAACCACACCTGCCGGTTAAGCAGGTTGCGAGACGACCTAGCAATATGCCTAGATTCTATTTCTGGATTCAGTCCTCATCGTAATCGTTTGTGCAAACGTTTTGAAAACGAGCTTTTCGCACAAAGTCAATGACAAAAATTTAGTTTTTTGTTGTAAACCGCTAACAGCAGAAATCTTCGTTATTTGGTTATTTGTTAATACTGCATATTTGATAATGCACTTTTCAAGAATCTATCACTAAGACAGATGGTTAAAGGGATTGCGTCACACAAGCGACGTACATGATTTTTCGCCACTATAAAACAGCTATCAAAATGGAAACACAAGGGGGACTCAACCCACAGGATATCGAGATATGACGCGTATCGCGTGAAAGCACAAACCCGTGATCACATTGGCGTTGATTCAACTGCGCTCGTAGCACGAAAAATCACACTACAATGCATATTTCAGAGGTATATACTACCTTGGTCAGTATTATGTAGTGAACTTTCAAGCGTATTATCAAATCTATACCAAAATTATAAAGCTGAAGAGTTATATGAGGAACAAGTAGTTTGATTTGAGAAATTATTTATGTGTTAGTTGGACCATTTCTCGAGGAGGGTTTTGAGCTACATTAGGCTGCCACCAATAAAAGCGAAGAAACAGAGGGAAATCTGGAAAAATTTGAGAAAATAATTCGTCTTTAATCATTCACCCGGAATAAATACATTTCGCGTTTTAAACCAGTCCAAAATATTGCACAAGTCGTAAATGTCAAAACAAAGTTAAATTCAAGAACATACAGTGTTGAATTTGAAGAATAACGGACCAGATCAATCACATCGGTACCGTTTCTATCAATTAATGTAAATATACGTGTCTCACAGACAATTTCCTTAAGCATCTGCAAGTCTAAGGCGATATCAGAAGTCCAGTGAATGGATTTGAATCTTCTTAATATTACAGTTACAGGCATTATAAATAAATAAATTATTCCTAAAAGCCTTAAATAATAATTATTATTAAACATTACCCAAACATGACTTTCCTATTAGCTAAGTAATATCACTCAGTTATATAACCCGTTCTTTTTTAGTATTCTTCCAATTTAAATATCAATCAAATCTCAAAAGGTGAGCAAAATTTGAATACCTCATACAAAGTCATTTCTACAAAGGTCATATTTATAGTTAATGCTTTTTTAGAAGGAAGACTTTTTAAACTTTGAAATATTAAGTAAATAAAATATAATATGGAATATCATATTCTTTTTTTTTATTCACATATTTCTGATATTAAAACTACTTCAAATGTTATTTTCCCAAAATTTCTGGAGAATGAGACACGGATTTTACATATTATGAAAGAGATAACTAGGTAAGGTTATCTAATCGTTTGTACAGAATTAGATTACATAGCCTATGTGATGCATACCTATACATTTATTATTATTTATTACTAACTATAACTTATTACAAATATAAGAATCTTACTTTTTATATTGTTCACCTGGAATACCTGGAGAATTTTACATTTTAAAAAACTACTAGGAGACCAGGCCTGAGAGGGTAAAAGGAGGATATGAGAAAGGAATAAGAATCAAAAGAACCCAGCGCTTCGTTGAGGCGTAACCAGCAGTCACGAGTAAAATACCTTTTGATGATGTTCGCGAGGCCACACGATCACTTTCACTATTCTGTTCGCCGGGTACACTAGTGACCTTACACAATTCGATGCTATGACTCTATAGATCACATGATGTCTTTGATTGACGTCTTTAGAAATGCAACGAATTCAAGAAACTTCCAGAAAGGTTTCTCTGGCAATGTAATTGAATTTAAATTGTAAATGTGCAAAATGTTTGGAGCTGATCCATCAATAACGGTTGAAGTGGCAAACTGAAAGTATAATTTTAAAAATATGACAATATTTAGAATTGTCTGTAGTTTACGCAACACATATTTAAATAGAACACTTTAAACAGGTTAAAACGCGAAAGGTAATTTATCAATGATATTACGGTTGCTGCAAAACATCCGAAACATCGGGCTGTAGTAAAAATAAAATGTACACAAATGAAGTAATACATTTCACGTTTTAGACCGTTGAAGTGTTTTATTTTAGCAATATATAGTTTTAGTTATTTTTTTGATAGGCGTGCACAGAAAAACTCTTAATAGTTCGAAAATTGACTTGATTGGCTGTAGATTTACATCGGTAACTTTCTAGATTATTGTTATATGAAGACACTAAGAAAATTACTCATAGATCGATAAATACCCTACATTTGATCGGGGTGATGTCACATGTAGACGTATAAAAGTTTCACATGAGACTCAAACTGATAATTTTCCACGGTTGCAAATGATTACTTCACAAATAGACTTTGAATTGATTGGAACAGCGCATGTAACTCAGTTACGACCTACAGATATTCAGAACCCTCATTGGTTATAAGAGCATAAAACTATATTGCTTGACAAAGCCACAAGGAGACAGGGGTTCGATGCACATGGAATAAGTGCAGCGTAATCGCTGGCTTCGTAAAAATATATCACATTTCAATCGAATTAAGATGGTACATGTATGACACAAAATTTATGCGTGTGTTCATTTGAAACCAGACATGCGAAGCAAAAATCTGAAAATAGACACAATTTTGTTCTTAAATCTGAAGCAAAAATATATAATTTGTACAAATTTCAACACACTATCGAGATTCTTAGGATACAGCCAGTGTTGACGGAGCCTGACAGAAGTTGTGGTATATGGGGTTCCTTTTTTTACCCTTTCGATACGGAACAATAAAAATTAATCCTTAGTGTAAATCATATGCTGATTATAATTTGTATGGGCCCGTGATCACGGTTTCTAGAAAACATCCAGCCGTAGTTAAAATAAATTATTAACGATCATTAAAGAAAAAAATCAACCGGCTATCTTTTAACAAATATTCATTTATATACTAGCACACAATGTGTAAACATTTTTGACTGTTCAAAACGCGAAGTATATTGATTGACTTATTTTAAATTTAGTCTAACCACGCCGCGACGCGGACTTTTCGATTGCTTTGCAGCACCGGTGGTCACTACTGTTTTAATTAAATCTTCTACTCTCGTAAACTACAGACCATACTCAAATATCAATGTTGATTTCTATAGAATAGAAGCCATGAAGCAATATAACGTTTCAAACAATCAAATACCTACGTAGTACTATAAGTAATTATGACATCCGAGGTTGTGATGCAATGTAGGTACAGTTCACATGTATTGTTTACTCTGACCAAGCACTCCATATGAATATCTAGGACATCCAGCTAAACGACCTAGCGTCAAACGGAATAGTCTATAACTGGAGCAACACGAAGATGTTTGTCGTGTACACAGAAAAGAATCTTAGAAAGAAAATACAAAACACTAAAATTTTTCAAGTATTTTTGTTATTTGCTTTGGAAAAGGTTTCTGGTTCTGTATCTTATAGGAAAAAAGCAACATATATGAAATACTAGAACGACGTGCGATACAAATTATTTCTAGGGAATATATAGTAAGTAACAATCTGGTATATGCGTGAAAGAGGAGCGGAGCGCTGTGAACGAATAGTACATAAATAACAAAACACTAATTTACTACATTGCTAGAGGTGGGGTGTTAACGAGTGATAATGATAGTTATGAGGGGATGAAAAAAAATTTATACAAAGGGGATGGATAACCCTTATCACTTAGGGGTATGAAGTTGTAGTAACTTAGACTCTACTAAAGATGCATTTAAAATTTCATAAAAAAACTATCGAACCGTTTCAGCGAAGTATGGTAACTAACACTGTGACACAAGAATTTTTACATTAGATAACCCTTTAAACAAAGCCAATTACTTGTCGGAATGACAGCGTCTCGTAAAAACCGTATATTCGGCTTCGGTTAAGAATAAGGCGTAGTTAAGTCGACTTTACTGCACCGTTATCGATACCCGATTTTATGACGCCCCTAACTGCGAATCGCACAAAACCTCGGGTGTTTAGTCATAGTATGTCACGTGAATCATAGCGTAGCTTGGTCACACATAACACCTTTCTAGAATGAGACAGTTTGTATTATACATAGAAAAAACTTAAAATATTTTCAACGGTTTAAAATTATAAATAATAATAATACTACACATTTTAAACCGTTAAAAGTGTACAAACAATATAGTGAGTCTTATGTAATAGTATTATAGTGGATCTTCACAATAAATTTAATGTTTTGATAATAACATATAGACACACCTAAGTTGTTTGATTCAGAAATATGAAGTTAAAACATTCGTATTAAAACAAACAAATAAATATTAATTCTCTATGGTTTATACCCTTAAAATTAAAAAAGTAAATTTATCTGAACATAATGTTTTCAATTTTAGGAACCTATATTCTTTTTTTTACTAAAGGGGACAACTGTACCCACTTAATTGTACTAGTGTAGTGTCTGTTGTGTTGTGATAAATGGATATTTTAATTTTCTGTACGTACCTCACAATACCAATATAAAATAAATATAATATGTTGTATGGAAGTCAAATAAATAAACAGGCCATTGTCCCAAAATTATTTTTTCTAAGTTCCTGCCCAAAGGTTTCTAACTGAAATAATAAAAAATGGTGAGCATTTTCCATTCGATCTAAACACTACTAGAATGGCAGGACACCGTTCAACGCGGAGAAAGTTATAGTGCGTGACAGAGCGACGTAAACATCGTTCGTGGACTCTAAAAATCGTTTACTCACAACCGCTGAGGTATTTTCTTCAATACATAAAGTTAAGCATAGAACTAAGATCACTATACAAATAATAAAATATAAATAAAGTTTATTAATCTACAATTCTATGACCCATGACGCAATAACTGGAAAGTGCGAACTGCACCCAACTTTTTGACTACCGTAGTAGAATGACAGATAAACGTCGCTTTACGCTGAGGATGTCGGCTTAAGTCCAGCCCGAGTCGTATTTTTTTTTCAATTTATTATCGATATTTAATAAAATAAGTCCCTGTTTTTTCCTTTTACGAAACCCTAAAAAGCATACTAAGGATTTAAAGCCTTATATCAAACAAATGCCTTACTTCGGTCACTTGACGTTAATATAATTACTATTTTATTAAAAGGTATTAATTATAGCAAGATCAATAAATCTCTTATCAATGATAAAATTAACACTGATTGGTTTGACACGTGAGCATCTGTTTCCACTGACCTTTCTATTCAACGTCACAAAGATAAAGCGATAGGTACATCTAGAAATATTTAAATTCTACAGGCTTTGTAATTTCTATTAATATTGATGTGAAAATTTATATGAAAAATAATTCACGCCTAAGGGTCTAATCAGATGTTGATAAAGGTAGAGAATATAGGTAGCATAGACAATGGTAAGTTTAATTCAATCATACTAACCGATAAATATATTTGGGATACACCGTGGTTACAGTTTACATCTAAGCTAATATTTTTTATAAGAGTGGAGCATAGACAAGCATGGGATTAAATTTTAACGGCTTAAAACGCGATATAGGTATATTAATTAGTTTTTTAGTTTATTTTAAACTACCGCCCGACGTTTCGGATGCATTGTAGCAGCTGTGGTCACTGGGACATGGGGTTAGGTGGAGGGTGTAATAGCCTAGACATATAAAATCTAAACTAATGCTATCGCCTATTTTTGCTTTGGTCATTTGATAATCCAGACTGTAATCGAAACGGGCACACTTTACGGCTTTTTCATCTGTGGACGCTGGTACCTGGTGGTTAGGTAAGCCTAGATTATTTAAAAGTTAGTAATGTATAGATAACAATGACTGAATTCAAAGTGTAGCTTCTGATGTATATTGCAAAATGCAAAGATGTCTATCAAGAACCGAAACCGTTTCTAATTGAATTTCAATAAGTGAACTCGAACTCTCGAACCCGATACTATCTACTTTAGACACATCAACGTGTTATGTTCACTTTTAGTTGAGTTCAGATTTCAGTCTACATGGCATTGACTTCAGCTAATCAGGACTCATCAGGAAGAGTACAAGTCAAGTATTAGAATATTCACTTTGAAAAATGTTCAATACTTATATTTAATGATATTAAAACATTAGATTTAAATAAAACACTTTCACGGTTTAAGACGCGAATTATATTGGTTCAACTTATTTAAAAATTATTTTTAACTACAGCTTAGTTTTAAGTAAGTGGTCACGGGGGTCTCCCCGGCTTACTGCTCAAAGCACCGTCGTCGGGCCAATTAAAAATCATTTTCAAATAAGTTTAACTAATATATCGCGTTTTAAACCGTTAAAGTGTTTTATTTAAATGTGTACTCACTCGCGTAAACTATATTGGACAATATTTTTTTTGCATTCAAGTTTGATTCGCGTCTTCTCTGTCTGTACTACTAGCGTAAACTACAGACAGTATTTGGCAATGTAATGTATATTGCCATAATAAAAGACTAGGTGGTAAATACTACGTCAGTATAATTTTAAACATATTATTATCATGACCACAAATCCCGAAGTTTTTAATTGAAATATTCTATTTAAATCTTTTGAAAATATATAAGTACTCCTGTCCAATTCAATCTAAAAAGACGTAATGTCGCGGACGGTTAATCATCTTAAAATGAATATTTTTTCATGCATATTTTGGGTAACTTGAACCGTTTATGCAGCGCACGCAGCAGAAGCCGACAAAAAGTGAGTAATGGGCTCGTTGGTTTGATGGGGAGTTATTCTAATCAATTTTATAATTTTTCTGAAACATGGACTTCGTCTGGAAATCTGGATTTTAAATGGGCGGCAGGAATATCGACCTTCAGTCCAAGTCACGAACCAACCGTCCGCAGATGAAAAAGAGATCAATTTTAATCGCGTTTCGGCTTTAGTCTGTGGACTCTGAATATCCAAAGCCATCTTGTTTAGATTTTACATAGGTGGGGTATTTTACCTACCATCAAGTGGATGTCTGTCATCCTCTATCTTAAAAAATCTAAAAATAATTTATCAATTTAAACTAGTACATGAGATTAGCTCATTTAAACACACTTTTTTTTAATTCACTTGGAATATTTTCGTATTCGAGAGCAATAGATAGCTAATAGGAAGCTATCGGCGTACATTAAAAACGGGTACGTGCCGCTTTTACCTTACCAGCAGTGGACCGTTACGCAACCGTGCCTTGTGCTACATTCGTGTCAAAACTTTAAAAGGCTACTTTGTTTCTTTAAATGCAGCGAGTACGATGCGTCTGCGATCACGACAAACCCCCCCTCCTCCACACCGGCTCCCCCCGCCCCTGATAACTTGTGACACAGATGAAGGGAAATACAGCTCTTGCACACGCATCGCACATAGTGCAAATAAATTATTTAGTTAAGCGACTATTGCAATTTTCGTAATTTATTTAATTTGTACGGTAGGTACTGTACTGTAAGTGTACGTGCCGTGATTTTGGTAGCGCGACTAATATGGTTCAATGACTTCTGATAATCATCTAATTAACCGCATGATGTCAGGTTTATATTTCAATTCCTTGCTTGGCATTTGTGCTTTATCTAAAATAATGTTACTCTACGTTAAGTCTTCGTCATTGCAATTCGATCAGCTGACCGCCTCTCTGCCTGTCGACTGGTAACTTGACTGACGTTTATTAGGAGACGAATGCGTCATACTCCAGCTCTAGGCTCGCCGACCACGTACGCACTTGAACAATAGATGTAACACTCAACCGCATTCAAATCTAATCCACACTCGCAAATATACACGCCCGTGTGTGCTAACACGGGACACGTGTAATACTCTCGGAGGAGGCACCGTAGCTAGTAGCTACAGCGTAAACCATCCGGCATTCTCAACAAACATAAACGCGATAAGGTCGAGAGTCGCTTGCACTGCGCTCTAGTAATTTAGACCTACAATTTTCTCACAAACGTTCGAGACACGTCGAGGCTGTCGACGCTGATGGACTGGATCTATCATAGGATTGCTCGTTGGGATGGGAGTCGGCGAAATTCGTCGTTCCTTTGTTTACGTGGGGCGGGGCGGGCGCGTGGCTCTCAAGGTCAAGAGCCGGCGGCCGGGACGTCCGGGACGTCCGGCTGCATCTGGCAGGACTTACCGATATGCAGGCGTCGCTCTTGCAGCTCGATGAACCGCGCCGCCTCCAGCAGGGTGTCCAGGAGGCTCATATCAGACGCGGGCCGCGTCGAACGCGCCCGATGTCACGCCGCGACTGGCCACGCGCGCCGCGCTCCGCTCACGTGGCCGCCGCGAGGCCGGACCAATGGGGAGCGAGCGGCGCCGTCACGTGGCCGTCGGCGTCGGCCTATCGGGGCAGAGAGAGTAACAAGTCGGGGTGGGGTGTGATCAATGCTGCTGCAGATCGAATGCACTCGCGGTTCACCGGCGGCGCCACGCGCTCGCTCCTTCGAGTCCGGGCGAAGACTTTCACATCGTTCTTTCAAGTTCGTTCACACTACTTTTCCAAATTAACAGAAACGTAACGAGTACTGCACGTGTCGGTTCCGTTTTAGCTTTGTTTATTAATTATTGAATCGATGCCAAGTTGCCATGAATACTTCGAACGACGCGTACTGTTTACGTAACAGCCTTTTGCGTTAAGGATTATCTTTTACTTGTTGTCAGTACTATGTGTACAATTGCAATAGAATTAGAATATAAACTTCTACAGTCAGAAAATCTTATACGATTCCTATTAGAATGACAATAATATAATACCTATTCTAAGGGAGTTTATTTTATATGGCGAAAATAACAATATTTACCACTTAGAAAATTAATTATGATAAAAATCAAACAACTACATAATTATATACTTTATTCAATTTAACTATAAGGTATATTTACTCTACATAAGACTACAAAAAGTTCAGAAATATGTTATTGTTAATATACGTAGTAATTTCACTATAACTGATGGCATAACTCCTCTGAGGTTACAACAGTAAAAAATCTTGCCAAAAATGTGATTAGGTTCAATTCCTGAAATTATTATTAAAATATTTAATAAACAACAATATTGCTTGAAGTAAGAATATTATCACTCTGCTTAGTAAATGAAACATATAATATGGGAATTGTAACAACTTTCTACATTATATTATAACTAGCAAAGAAGTTTAGAGGCAAAACTATTTATAAATATAAATGTTAAAGACAAGAAAATAAATGTTTAAAATGATATTCTATCATCTTATTATCTAATTTTATTGCTTTCCGTTAAACCATCGAATTTATGGCCTTATTCGGTCCTAAAAAGTACAAGAATTGAAAAAAAAAAATAAGTATACAGATCTTTTAAAAGAAATAAAGAGTAACTAGATTAAAATAGCCATGAGTACTCATTAAAATAAAATATTTTTAACTGTCGGGCCTTCGTTAAAAATAAATCAACCAATATTGCTAGCGTTATAAACCGTAAAAAGAAATGTATTCAAAAAAGCTCTAAAACTCGAATTACATCTCGGAGGATATATTATTTATTAATTATATATCGTCTACAAATCAAAGAAAATATAATATTACACACCAGCCAACATTCCTAGTAAATAAAATTTGCCTAATACATACATACATTATTATTACATATGATGATTCATAGAGTATTAGTAAATAAAAAGACATATATATATATATATAGAAAAAATACTAGGTAGGATATGACAGTACATATAATATCATTAAGGATTAACAAGAATTCTTACACAACAAAATTTCATGAAAAAGAAATATAGTTTTAATTTTTTTATGGGGTTATGATATTTAAATATATGAAAGCATAGTGTCTTTTATTTTGTCTATCATATGAGAAATAACAAACATATAAATAAACAACAATTTCACAGTAATTACAAAAAAATCTAACTTATTAAAACCCTACTAAAATCTTTGATCACAAATATTGGTTTTATTGCCACACAATTACATTGTGATTTACAAATGTACCTGATTTGATGGCAACGTCTACAAAAGCACATAAATATGTACGTACAATCAACACTATAAAAAGGTCAATGACCCATTCTAGGTCATTAAAAATATCTGCCATAGAACTAATTGTTAGTGCAAAAGTATTACTTTCAAGTCAAGGTGACGTACAAGTCAGGTTTTTTTATTTACAATTAAAATGCATGCTAACTCGAAAAAAATGGGGGTCACTTAAGCCTAATACAATTTTTTTTATTATTCATATATATATCTTACATGTGCATATCGCACCAAATCGATGCATATGACACATAGATATTGATAGACTATAAAAGTGTTTTAATAATTATTCTATACTAAAAAAAAAACAATAATCAAGGCTACCGAAGTTTCTGTACGTACATACTCTGTGGCAATCCAACTACAACTAACCTACATCACGCGCGCACTATTCGCGATCGTATATCTTCAAAACCTCTGCTGCCCTGGTACCTCGCCTCCTCTAAAACAAAAAGGATTCATTTACTTTCATACAAATAAATAATGCGCATTTCGCATTGCTAAGAGACCCCTTTTAAAGAAGTATTTTATTTAAGTCGCGTTAATTTGTTCTGGATCAGTTTAATGGTCTTTCATAACACTCTATACATTGTACTGGGGTTTAAGAAACAACAAGAGTTCAATTACTAAAATACGCGCAAATGTAAACGCCTTTCAACGTTAATAAGAATGCGCACATGTTACTTTTATCAACTAAATATTAGTTGTTATTAACGCAATGATTCATTACATTTGTTACATGGTTCGTTCGTTTTGGTAGAAAGATATACAACATTTTTTCATAGAAATGGAACTTGGAATTAAATAAAATAACCTGTAAATTATAATTATTGATAATGTTGTTGTATAGCCATAATAATGAAATTGAGATGTGTGTTTGTATGCTTTATCTGTATTATAGAATTATAGCATATTTCGAATGGTTTTGAGTCAATCTTAGCTGCAATAGCTGACCGCGTTTTACTCCTCGTTGTATATTGCCTGTCACAAAAATGCGAAATTCTGTTTCTCCCCATGGGGCATGGGGGCGAACATATTCCTGTGTCTCTTTCACTTGATCGGCACTTTTACTACTACTGACAAACAATATATCGTTCTTTCTGATTGGAACTCCTGGACATTATTTGTTTAACGCAATGCATTAACCCAAGGATGGGGTCAAAATAAAAACGCTGAATTGGTCATTACCTGATATATTTGGGGAGTGTGGTCAAGTACGTTTGTGAGTACTTGAGCTTCGACTATCGGCTCAGGTTGCTAACGTACAAACTTTTCAGCTCCGTCTTGGGCGTGTTCTCGAAGAGGGCCGCTCGGTTCTGCCCTTCACCCTTCTTGACCCAATGCCCGTACACGCGGAAGGCACATCCATCTATTACCTACAAATGGGTTGTGACAAGTTTAGAACCAAGTGTCACTAAACTATTAAAATTTTGAAACATATCTTGTCTGTTGAACATGATATCTTATTTATAGAAATTTAAAAAAAAAAAAATATAGAATTTTTGTATCTCGGCCTTTAAACCCTTTATTGACAGTCTTATTTATAGAAATAAGTTAAGTGCATGTAAAAAAGAAGCACCTAATTAATTAATTTTCAACTGAAAGCGTCTTTTTCATTGACGAATCTAAATCATCTATATATATTAAGATACCTTTCTGAGGACCCGTAGAGTATAAGGGTCGTGAAGAGCTTCGTGCAGAGGAATAGCACGGCTGGCGGTGTGAGGCAGGTGACGTAGCCTCACAGCAGCACGGACGGTGATCATTGCTAGGCGCAGCCGCGCACGCGCATTGAATCCACTTGATTTGATTGCCTGTTATAAAAGATATCATAATGTTTTTTTACAGTGATAGTACGGGAAAATCCGAAACTGTAGAAGATCATTTGGTCTGGTTTTCCGAAAACAAAATAATAATAAATAAAAGTCAGTTTGGCTTTAAAAATTTTGTTTGGTTTATACATTCAGAATCAGAAAAAATTAGGAATATTTTTCTGTATCAAAAATATACTTCTTCTTTCGTTTAAAAAACTATATGTTCTATGGTTTGGCTTTTCTCCATTAGACTTAGTTAAAAACCCACTTTATAGTGTTAAAAATTATCACGACATAAAGCAATTATGTTATTTATTATGGTAGAAATATCGAGGGAAATATATAAATTGGATCAAGAGAGGAAGATAAGATTGGAATGATTGGACAATGTTAAATAAATAATAATAATAAAAATAACTATAATTAATGTTAGTGAGTATGTTTAAAGACTTTAGTGATTTAAAATAAAGATGTGACTAATTTTGTCATATGGAAGAAACAACATGTTAATTAGTCTGTACCCCAAGCAAATACATGTAAATAAAACATTTTTTTTGTAACCACAGCTGCAACATAAATTCAAGATACGTTAACCAATACACTTCGCGTTTTAAACAGCCACAAGTGTTACTAGTTTATTTATAAGTCATTTGTTTAGTTAAGTCTAACTTATGTAGGTAAACTACACATAGGATCATGATAGTGTGCTAGTAAAAGGATTGTTTTAAAGTTAGTCCGCTGATTTTTTATGACACAGTATCCAAATTATTAGTGTATCCGTTATTGACTTTTACGCAACAGGGAAACTAAGCCAATACCAAGGGCTTTTAACTCACTAGATTATATCTAAGTACCAAGCAATCAGGACGTACTAAGAAGTAAATGGTGACAAAGCAAAGCAAGTGACATTACCATAGCAATCTGATCGATGCGCGACATCCGTTTGCCGGCGGTTGAGAAGGTCTTCTTGAGTGGTGTGACGTCCTGGTCCCACAGCTGGGTAAGACAGATAGTGAGCGACATGCTGCTGTGTCGAAATGTCGACACTTGTGTCGTATCAAATGTCGAAGTGTAAATGTCGTAGGCCAAGTTATAAGCCAAAAGAGGTTTAATGTATCAAAAAAAAAACAATTTAATAAATAGTTGGTGCGTTCCATGAACCGGTCAATTTAACTGACCTCCGACATTATACACATGAAAAAGAATTAAAAAAAACTAATTGTTTTTCAGAAACATTTTACAGGTTACATACATGGTATTGATGTATGTTGCAAACTACAAAAGCTCATAAAGAATAAAGACATTTTAGCCATGCTTTCCAACTTCATAAGGAAAATTAAGAGTGCTGGGCGTAGTTTTCTTAATTTTGAGAATAAAAAGAAATCTAATATCTTGTCGTGGATATTAAATAATATTATCTCTAATAAGTATTTACCTTAGTAAAACATGTAACAAGCAAATCTATATATATTGTAAGGAATTGTTACTTTTACATTACCTTTGTGTGAAAGAACTGATGTTCTATAGCATCGTCAATAGCGATTCTTTCGCTCGGTTCGACGACTAGAAAGCGCCTTATGAGATCCTTTGGGTCCTCTGAAAGTTAATAAAAATATTTTCTGTAGTTTAAGTAAGTAGTACACATTTTAGTAAATCACTTTTAACGGTTTAAAAGCGTAATATGTAAGGTTACTTATTTTTGACAAGCCCACAAATGATTTACAACAGATGATTTATATAATTGAAATCAGTCATTTTACAGTTTGATCCTATGATAAATTGAAAGACTGTGATAAAGTGGAATGCATGTGATATATTTGATGTAGGTTTGATGATGATATAGATTTCTTTGTCCTCTAATCATAAAAAGCAAATATTCCTTATATTGTAGCAACTGACCTGATATGTCAACCCATTCTGGACTGGTGAAGGAGTATCGCCCCTCCATGATATTACGTAGCATTACCATTTGCTTGCGATGCCAGAATGGTGGACATCCTACCAACCTGAAATGAAACCATGTAGAATGTATAGATATATTAATAAGTAAACATGTTAATATATTTTAATTAAACGCAATAAAAACGGATACTTACAAAGTAAACATTATGACTCCACATGCCCAACTGAAATATATTTTATAAAATATTAATAAGGTATATCTGTTGTTTATGAAAAATTATTTTATCAGATCAGATTCTAAGTATAGCTGTTTGCAAAAAGAATGTTTGCAAGAGCTAAGAGCACCATGCATCATGGCAAACTCTTTAAGCAACACCTCCTACTTCCTAAACTGGCACTAGTGAAGTATCATTTAACCCCACCAGGCTTCGAACCGTAAACCTCGAGATTTGTGGTCAAGTGCACTTACAAGTTATACTTATAACAATGGATACTTCCAATACAAATGTTAATTTAAATAATAAAACAAAAACTAACATGTCAACTTCTTTTCCATATCCTGGTGCATTCTCAAACATGTTAGCTTTTAGAGTTTCTGGTGCAAGGTAGCCTGGAGTTCCACACAACTCTACAACATTAATCATTGCTTATACATCAACAAATATTTTAATTTCTTACAAATGAGACACTTAAAACAAACATTAAAAAATTTACTTTGTGCTATGATGAATTATAAGAATTATAGATAACCTTTATAATAAACAAACTGTAGTCAGTAAGTATAGTCCCAAGTTTTATTATCATAAGTATGTAATTATGGAATAATTATATACCCTACCAAAAAGCTTTTCTCCATTTTTGAGGGCTTTAGCAAACCCAAAGTCTGTGATCTTAACATTTAATTGATCATCTAATAGAATATTCTCAGGCTTCAAGTCCCTGTGCACAATATTCTTGCTATGGACATACCGTACACCTTCTAGAACTTGCCTGAAACATTATAAATTTGTTGTTTTTACTTCGTGTTGCTGTATCTCCGAATTTTTAACTGCGCTAATAAGTCATTTTTCTGTACTCTGTTATATAAACATTAAGATGTAACAAGGACAACTACTATAAATAAATTGTAGTAATGTGATGTCATTTTCTGATGGTTAACAGTTACAAATTAGGGTAACTGTATATGCTACAAACAAGTAGTAGCTTCTGGTTGTAGTCAACTAATTGATGGAACCAATAGGTTAATAATGCTTGACGCAGAATATCATCATTAATAAGATGTCATTTAGGTTGCAAAAAATTTGCTAAATTGTTAGTGTTATGTGACATTTCTATTCTCTAAACTTATACCTAAATAAATTATAATATCCTACCTCATAATATATCTTGTTTTCTTCTCTGATAGAGTAACAACAGAAGTAAGATAGTCAAATAGTTCACCATTTTTGCATAGCTCAAACACCAGGAAAATGAATGTTTCTGATTCAAAGACATCTTGCAGTTCAACTAAAAGAAAGGAAATCTATTAAATGTTGACAAACAGCAGAAAAAATATACACATATATCCATTAAGATTTGTAAAGATATTTCAATAAGTACAATTTTCACTGCTACTTTAGTTGTTGATAAATGGACAAGTATTTTTTTGATTAAATACTACATAAATACAGGTCTTCAATCATTTTCACTAGAAGAACAAACTAGAATTACTCATGTCATCAAAGACTGTCATGTATAACTTATTCCTACTATTGTAACAACTCACTCACTAATATAAGGATGACCAGCAACAAGCCTCAGTATATTTATCTCTTGTCGAGTGGCATCCCTCATAGTATGTGTGTCAACTCCATCTTGTGACTCTTGACTGAGATCTATAATTTTAGCTGCAAACTCATGACCAGTTTCTTTCTCAATGCATCTTCGCACAGTTGAGCTAATCCCACTAAGAAAGTTATTTTTTGATTAGCTGTTGTTCTTTAAAATACTAGAGAAAATTAAGTTTTTTGAAGGTACCTTTAATTTTCCTACAAAGGTTAATCCAAATGAATGTGTCAAGGTCAAAAAGAAAACATAGAAAAGCAAATTTTAGTTCGCTTTTAACAATAAAGGGTTTGTACATCAGAGTTGGCAGCAATACACAATTTTAATATCGTGTCACAAACTCGAGAAACTATAAATAACAAATAGAACAAGACTTACCGTCCAATTATTTCTTTTGGTTCGTACTTAGCGTAAAACTCCTTCGCCGCATCTTTATCGGGTAAATTATCATCATCCTCTTCCTTGGCCATATTCACAATTAAATCACTTATTATTTATATTTTTCCAAATTCGATAAAAATCAAAATAGTCTAATAGGGAATAGGGTTACTTTAAAATTCCAAGTTTGATCTACCGTAAACAATAAACAGTGACTTGATATTTAAAAATGACGAGAAACAGATCCCTATTCAGCTTATCAAATAAGAATATAACAACTTAAAGTATTTACAATTTTTATTACTTTAAATTAAAAATATATTGGCGAGACATAAGTCTAAAGCAAAGAATATTAACTACTAGTGCTAAGTGCTAACTACACAGATGTCTACAGCCTCGAGATGTCTATAGTCTGCGTAGATTTAATAATCTTAAACATATGATCACAGAATATATAGACATATTATGTGAGAGCAGTGTAGATATTAATATTATATTATACCAACACAGTTTTGCTCTTAATTTTAATATCAATAGGTAATTAATATTAAGCTACATATGCATAAATTGCACATTCTTTTGCCAAAAATACTTCTAAACCTGTAATAATGAATCCAATGTCTCTTAAAAGTATACCAATGTTGCATTGTTAGCATAAAAAGATAAGAATATCTTGCGTAGAAACGCATATATTTTAAGATTGATTAATGGGTTTTATAATAACATAGATGATTTCAAATTTAAATTGATTAATTTCTTACAAAAAAAAAATTCTTCAATCGACTGAAACTGAACAATAAGTATTAAGATGTAGGTTGAAGACAAATCTACAGATAAAAAATGATGAATTTATAGTGTAGTTTGCCTAACAGCAGGACAGTGTATTTTTTCGTTTTGTACCTAAGCGTCCTAAAAAACATTTTTTTCGTATAAATCAGGATAAATAATAAAAAACAGAGATATCTATAGCTGTCATTCTGTCAACAGCTGATCATGTCTATGTCTGAAATGTCAAATATCTAGCATCTCCTTTCAACATATGTATGAACATATGTTTCGTTTCGACCTTATTTTTGTGTAGTTTCTCTTGTTCCGTCCGATGGTTTTGGTTTTGCAAATGTGTTCAAAAAGTTGTTTAATGGGATTATTTTGCAGTGATTAATTCACAAGTACAAGTAATTAATAGTTTACGTATTTCTTCGCTAAGGATTGTTACCAGCTATTTTTGAGCAGGTAAGTCTTATTGCGCATTCATTTGTGTTCCAATGAGTACAAGATGACAATCTTGTGCACCAATTGACTGCAAAACATATTTAGTAGGCGCCTAACCTTGAATCAAGAGTTCTGCAATGTACACTAAGCATATAATATCCTATAATGTACAAAAAACTTCTCAAGACAGATATTAAGTCAGAATAAGCTGAAATCAAGCAGAACCTAATAATGAATTGGGACAAAAAAGGATGTAGGTAGGATTGAAAAAGAATGGTACTAATGTTTTTTGTCTACAAAAGTTTCTTGTTATTTGATCTTTGTTTAATCATAATCAAATTTATAACTGGTAACATTTTATGGTTACCTGTAAAGTTTAATAGATGTGTCCAATACTATTCACACAAAGACCTTGTATTTAGTGTAGGCCTAGTAATTATTTAAAAGTGTTATTTAGTAGCAATCAGCCATTTTAGAAGTGAGAAGGTAAGTCCGCTCATTTTTGAAGATTCTTTTCTTTTTGTATTTTGTTTAAGATTTGATAATAAAACATTTTACTTAGGTACTCAGAATTTTGATAGCAGTAGAGATGATTAAAAACATTATTAGTTAAAGTACCATTGCATTAATGTTATTTTATATATTGAAATTGTTTTTTAAAAGTAGCTATTATGTTAAATGTTCTAAGTAAGCAAAAACAATCATTTTGGTACTAACTATAACCATCCTTTCTATAGTTTATTAGAAAAAACTGAAGTTTTAAATAACTGTGACATTTTTTATGGTTGCAATATTGAAATACCCACATATTTTTTCTTGTTCTATATAAATGCTATTGGATTTTATTAACTAGTTTTAGTTATGTAAATTTACCCTATAAAAATGTCTTATCAGTCTAAACATCCTTTTTACCTTACATTTCCCCTCACTCACAAGGAGCTTAAAAAATCAAGTCAACAGAAAGACAAGACCAAAAAATTCATATTTTCTCTACTCTTTGCTTTTGAAAATGTGAGCATTATTTGAGGGTATCTCAATATTTTCTTTAATATTGATAAAGTAAGATTATATGTAATTATTCAAAACTAATTACATATAATCTAAAGGTTCCTCTAGACTTCTAGATTTATTTCTTAAGTGTATTTTATTTTACTTGTATCACTATTACTAAACAAAGTGAGAGAACACTATATAATTACATAATATATCAATAGCAACCTAGCCAAGGTAGGATTATATTTTAGTTGGTCCATAGGCAATGTTTTATATTCCTTTCACTGGCAAACATCACTTTTGTAATCTGTGTACCTTTGTGATAGTAAAAAAACGGCGCCGTTCGTGCCTATCTGCGTAATATCCACGTCCTTGGCGAAGACTAGGTCGTTCAAGGACGTCTAGATGTCGAATTCTTTGTTCCTCTGCTCGAAACGAGATATCGAGTTTCTGTCACGTTGGTCGTTGATTAATCATATTTGAGGAGATTCTAATATTTTATTACTACCCTGTTACTGAGTGTTATCACAAAGTAATAAATTCCTTAATCTTCCTAATTGGGGTTTCATGAGTTTAGTTGTGGTTATAACTGGGTTTACAACTAAGGTTATATAAAAGAAATTATAATAATAATAAAACAATTTAGGGATTGTTGGTAGAATGGGGATGGGTAAATTTTTCTCGGGCATGTTGTAATTTGTCTGGAAATCTGGATATTAAATACGTGGTAGGAATATGTATTTAAATACCGGGTCTCGAACTACCGTCCATGAATGAAATAGCCGTTTATTTTTTCAGACTTACTATAAATTTAGTATTTGTTTTAGATGAATAAATTTCACTGTGCAGATTTTTTTATTGTTTTTTTATAGTAAATTACGAGGTATTTAATACACAAGTAAAAAAGTTATCAATATTACATTGCTTCATTTAAATTATATTAGCGTAGTATTTTTTAATTCAATAAACATAACTTATTCATAGATCCCACACAACGTAATAATATTTATTTGACCTATCTACGAGTGGGTACTGATTAAAAGCCCCAATAGTAATAAATTCGTTATTCATAAGTAGATAATTTAAAAACAAACGCGATAAGTCTTCCACGAAATTTGTTTTAAAATTACTAAAATATCCTTTTTAATGTGACTATCGTTTTTGCTGTTATCTAATTGACTGCTATTTTTTGTCCGTATGACGCCTGACTTTTTGCTTATTTGATTAATTTTTTGACACAAAATAAATTTGCTCTTGTATGTTCATTCTCCATTATTGACGCGATAGTTTGTAATGTATGGATGTTGTTATTTATTAAGGCTGGAACGGCTTGATTAATTTTGATAAATTTCGGTGTTAATATATAAAGACGTGACGACCTCTGGACTTTATTACTTAAAAAATCATGTTATGGTAGAATAATGTTATTTATACTGGCCAGTAATTGTTACTTGTTTGTTTTTACACAAGCTACGTACATTAACAATTATATTATAAACGCTTCCTCTCAAATACTTCCTCTATAACTTCACATGCTTCCAACCATGGTTAATTCATGCAAAACCTAACAGCGTGGGATAGATCTAATACAAAATACAATCAGTGGGTTATTAACACTTACAATAATTAAATACCAGCACGTGCCCTAATTGGCAAGTACGTGTAGTACGAATATTGCTCGAACAAAATACTTCACCCTTTGTTAATTGGTCATAATTAATAGTAATTTGTTTAGTACGATTGGCTTATGTTCAAACTAAATATACCAAATATTTTTGCTTCGATTTATTAATGAAATATTTTATATTTATAATAAACTAGCTGTGCCCGCGACTTCGTCCGCGTGGAATAGTGACTTGGGTTAGAGTTTAATTATTTAGGCTGTTTATTAATTTAGGTAAGGGCGCATTTAAGGCAGCCAATCTATATTGTAAGTGCAACTTTGCCGCAACACTCTCACTCCTACCCTAACTCCCACTCTCATTCCTACACTCACTCCCACTCCTATTCTCCTATTCCCAAAAAGCCAAAGAAGAAAGTTTCACTATTTTCGCTTCAAAAACCACGAATTTCCATACAAACTTTCATCCCCTTTTCAACCCCTAACCTTTTTTGGCATCAAAAAGTAGCCTATGTCCTTTCCTAAGCTCTAAAATATCAGAGTTAAAGCCGGACAAACAGACAGACAGAGTTACTTTCGCATTTTTTAATATTAGTACATATTTAACTTCTACTTAGATTTAAAAAAAAATAAAGACACAGCCGGTATTTGAACCGGCATCTAATAACGTTATTCTCTAATCTCTCTATATCTGTATCTGTCTATATCTCTATAATCTGTTCAACAACGTTTTTTTTTTTATAATTATATATTCTAGTAAGTAAATTGTCTTTAATTATTGGTACAGGGTAATAAAAAGGTTTCAATTGTTATAGGCGTTTTGTATTTTAAGAACAAATAGGTATAATGAAAAAATGCCGACTACATTCAAAATAAAATTACCTTTACACAGACTCGCTTACTTTATGTTAAAAAATAAAATAGTTATTATCTAACAGTTACAACCATGTAATCGTTAAAATGAATATCCGTAATTCTGCATTAATTAAATGGTGTATAATCTTAGGTCAATGAACTACAGTTCTATTTGCAGCTTTGTAAACAAGTCTAAGTACGTGTTAGTTATGCTCGGACCTCAAGTTAACTCTTAAGCCGGTGGTTATGAAAGTATTCAAGGTATTCCGAACAGACAACTTCAAATATATAATAATAAACAGATTTTTTGCAAAACTACTGGCATTTGCAGTTGAAAATAAATGCCATGGTTTTACAGGTACGATACTATATAAAATATATTTTTTTAAATAAAACACCTCTACGGGTTAA